AATGGAGACGTCTGCTTCTGTCCTCTTATTATGATGTCTGAATGGGGACATGGGGCTGTTCTTCTGTTTGTGAGCGAGCGAGAAGCCTTACCAACCAGAGACAATGGAACTGCCGGCGCTTCGCCCTTTCTCTAAGACAGGATAAGCTTGCGCACGTTTAGGGACTTGCTGCTGAGCTCTGCCATATTTCGCAAACATTTGTACCTGGACGAATTCATGTTGGTTAAAGAAAGTGGTGGACTGACTCAAAATTCTGGACTGTCAAGGATCATGGGAGACAAACTTGGAGGTCATAAACTGCAGGAGCTAGTTTTCTTCGCCTCGCTCTTCAAGTCACATGGACGCGATGATATGTTCGGCAAGGCCGCTGTTCCCTTCCCAGTTTCCAGAAACCACCTGTTGTTCTCTGAATGTACTTGGAAACCACAGATGGACGAGAACAGTACATGACGTCGATCGCCAGACCTCGTGGACGCCTGCTCTTTCTCCCTATGAGCCTAAAACAATGCAGTCTGTGCGATCGCATATTCACCAAACTTGAACACTCTAGAGGCATGAGCGATGGCAGAGATCGCGTATGAAAGCAAATTTATCTAAGATATTCCTGATCCCAGTCTAATCACCAGTCCAGACACACGAGAGCGCTGTAGGATTACAGAGCAAACCATGACTATAAAGATAGAGCTGGCTACCCCTCCTTCATCGTCCAAATCCAATCTAATGGAGCTACGATCTTTCGGAGCTCGTATCTTGCTTTCTACCCTTATCCGAGCTCTGCAAGCAAGATTTCAAATTAAGAACATTTGAAAGCATGGGAGCAAGGCTCGCCTCGTTTAATTTCAAATATGGGGAAAATATCCGTATGATTGACGGCCAGTAGCTCTCACTGGTCTGTTTTCTAAACATGATGAACTACAATAATGTCACTTCAGCCCGGGTCTGCAGAAAAAATCAGGAGACCATTGGTTATATGGATCTGCCGTTCATTTGATCTTCCAAAAACATCTATTGGTGGATCAATGACTCCAGCCGCTGAAAACGCAATTGAGCTCATTAAACCAGAAACCTTATGCGACGAAGGCGTTAGAATTGTCTTCCCTGAAATGCTTAGCTGAGACTCCGCTCACGGAACCAGAGGAAGAGCCGAATCTCACAGCAGAAAAAACTTATGAGTTGATCTCTGTAAGTATTCCACATGCCCGCTTAAATATCAGGGGCATACAGATTCGACGGGGTCAGTCCTAAAACAACACCTTAAATCTACTACATGTCCCATGATGAGCATTCATACACACTCTTCGCCTCCGCCACCAAAAAGATTCGTCGCAAACGATCTGCTGTCTCCACCGGACCCAAACGGAGTGCGGGCAAGATTGCCAAACCTAGAAGTATGGAAATCATGCAAGGCAACAAAGGATCTGTTGACCTCTCTCGGGCTCTGAAACAATGCATGCCCGAATTCACTACCGGCAATACACATTACACGCTACTCATGGAACTATCCGCAGACAGAAAACTGATTCCGGGAGATAGCCCTATGGCGTTGTTAGCTACCTCGAAAATCACCTTCAAAGGACTCCATGTTTCCATTGTCCCAGGCGGCCCATAATTCTCGCCAGGAATTACTCTTTATCATGCGCCTTCCCTGTGCACAGGGCCTTTCGTATATAAACCAAATGCTGTGTTCTATTACTTCTAAAGATTCAGGACAAAGTTCAAATAACTGTTGCCCAAATTACCAGAATGGAGCAACTATGAAGACACCTTTCTCCGTTGCAAAAGACACCCTCATGCGATTGCACTGCACAACGCAGTCTACGAACTATTACATGTTGGTATTCGATAGGCGGTCAATCTGCGTTATGTGTACACCAGGACAAGTGTCTTGTTAGCTAAAACCCGTCAATACGCGTTGGAATGGTTCATTTCCGTCGCATCCAGGGCATCTGAACCTAAACGTCACTGACCCGCAGCTATAGACCGCAGTTCTGTTCACAACGTAGACTTTCCCAATTGTCAAAGGGGAGACGACATGGGCCTGAGCATTTTCTTCCCAAGATTCTCATCGAACACAACCGCGATATGTATCCGCAGGGTTCCCGAACTGTCTATAACGACTCAATGTTCCGCCTCCTAGAGGAACACAGTTCTCATTCACACCTATGCTATCAGTTTAGCCATGTCAATGAAGCTGCAACATTAATGTGTCAAACACATGTATTATGACACGGCAATCCCACTCTCGAAACGCAAAACTCGGAGTATGCCATTTAATAACGCCTACATCGATCCAATAACGAAAACCGCTCGACATACTCAATATGCCCTTGCGGCCAAGCTTCATTTAAACTATTGACGACCTGCTAATGTGCATTTCGCATTCTGATTCCCCATTAACAATGCTCTGGACTAAAACCGTTTCGAGAATTGGGTGATGCACCAGTTCCGTCTCCCACCACCGCTTGGAGTCATGGAATCCGCGGACATGAGTGAAAAGAATCCCATTCTGTGACCCTCTCAAACTGGCTACTTCTACAAGATATAGGACCTTGTCCCATTATATTCCTACCCAAATGGACATATTGAATGTCGCTGCCTTTGGAGTCAATCTAATCGAATGCACCTGGATCCATGGTGTCTGTTCCACAATCCCAAAACAGCTATTCAAAATCAGCTCATGTCCGGCTTCGCAAAGTGCACCTTTTAAGCAATCTGTATGTTTTAACATGCTCCCACAAGCATGACTTCTAAATATGGAGCCACACATCGACATGTCTGTCGATTCATGCACTTCAGGAACTCAACGTCACATCTCAAAAGCATTAGGAATTCCGACCGATGCTTTCTGGCCCATTCCCTTCTTTTGCTCCCCAGCAGATACCGTTAAAGGATAGGGCAGGCGTGCTTATGTTTCGGGCGCTCCGACCTTTTCTAGAGGCAAAAGCATGAAAAAGAACAGCGAAAAGACATGGATTCAAATCACAGAGCAAATCATTACAGTCCCTACAATAAAAGCAAGGTACTGAACCGCCATGACCGTGTCAAAGATGCTCAAGCTTGAAATTGATGAGCGACCCACCCTACCGGCAAACAGCTACGTCACAGAAACGCGACTCTTGAATTTAACAGCGGTCTGGCTATAAAATGGTCGCACCAAGACCTGTTGTTCTATTCCGCTCACGAACAAATGTGCTTTACGAAGTCTCATTTCCCGCCTAAAAACTAAGAAAAACGGGAAAAAAGAGAGTGAAAAAATAGGCAAATTCCAGCCCATGAGCCGAGAAACCAAAGTGTCCCAAAAGAAGTGACATGTCCTGCTTCCATGGATGGCTTGGCTTGTGAAAAACATTACCAGTAGCAACAGCATGCAACCACGGACCCCGAACCGCGAAACTCCAAGAATAGGATTGAAAAAATCATGCTTGGAGCAAGCCCAAGGGTGGCAGCACGCGGAAACGCCATTAAAAACTTTTTATGAAGGTCTCCCCTTCCAGCGAGAATCTACATTTTCCAAAGGCATGGACGCTCCATTGATATAATTCCAAATGCCAGGTTCAAAAGTCCCTAATATATCTTCAAACCGAACTGATGAGATCAACACCGATTGTGAAACCGGCTACTCAACAGGTACGGACTAGAGTTGATGACGGTCCTGCAAGCGTCAACCGATTTGCTCAAATGTCATCTCTTGTGACCCATGGACCGTTCTTTTCCTTGATCCCTAATCATCGAGAATATAAAATACCCCGTGACTCTATTGGAGACCTCAAAAACCGAAAGTTGGAAGCAATGGGCCATGTCTCTCCTTGCTCGCTCCAGCTCCATACAGTCCTGCATTACCAATCCAAAAATACATGTTTATCATGCAACCTATGAAGGCGGGATCGAGTCCAAAATACCACCCAGGGCGAACGGAATATGGTGTAGAGCAGAACTCCAAAGCCCCACGATTCGGGCCATGATGGAGATCACTCTTGGAAGTTTCTGAACTAAAGGCGCCGAAGACTACATCAATCACGGTGATGCCTCTCCTTGCTCGTGACAGGGGGGCACGAGATTACATCAGCTAGAACGGCCTCTCAAGTCTCTACATGTATCTATATAAAGGGAGGGTAGATCCGGAAAGAACCACAGTACAGCTAGATGTGCCGCAGAGCAGCATCAAACAAAACGGAGATTCCAAAAGTGTATGAGGCCATTCCATGGGGACGCCTATAAAATTGGCTTGCGGAGAATTATGTGCTGTCTCTCCTCACTCATGAAATATCGAAAGCGAGCTGCAACACCCTAAAGTGGAAGTCAGATACGTGATGAAGACGAGTTCGCAGATAAAAACAAGTTACTGTCCGGTTCATGTGCCGGAGAGCAGAACCAAAAATCTGGTATTTACTTCAAGATGACCATCCCTCGAGCTTTCGCAGGTAAAAAGACCTCGACGCGAGACAATGTGCCTTCTGGCTCGTAACTTTGGACGGAGGAGGTTACATCAAATAGTGTTAACATAAAAAAACACTTGGACAGCGTCCATGTCGAAACCAGAACCAAAAAGATGCCTGAAACGCGCCATGTACGGCAGACGATATCAACATAAGAAAATGAGAATTGGTTATATGAAGGCCGCACTCGGTCGTCAACGAACGATGGTCCTGTTTCCTTACCTACACAGTGATTTCCGAGTTGAAAACTCGTGAATGCTTGCGCCATGTGGTGACCTAAGATCGATCCAGGTTCCGCTCATGGCTCACAGAAAGAAGAAAACAAGCAGAGTATCAAAAGCACCATGAGTCCGCAGTTTTTGAAGAGATAGTCATCGCCAACATGAGTGGCGGCTGGGCCTTCGTGACCTTGGGTTGGTGATGATGGTGATGATGGTGATGATGATGATGATGATGATCACCACCTATATGAACGGCGATACTGCGTGTTTCCCATGTCCGTAACAGCGTTGTGATCTCAACCGCCTCGAGAATGTCACTTGGGCATCTGGGTCTTACTACAACCTTCCACTGAATGTTTGCTTAGTAATACCCCTTTCGTCGCTGCAGCCCCATCACAAGCACGACACCACAGCCCAGACTCGGCCCAAAGACCAGAATCAGAGAACATCGCATATATTCCTCGCCCTTTGCAAGGTCCTCATCATCTCTGTATTGTCGATCTCCCTTTCTCCACGCACATTTCCCCATTTAATTCACCCTCCCCCTCGAAAACGCCGTCCCAAACGTCCAAAGCCCATACGTCGCCAATACACTGAGCAGCACGGGCAACGGCTTCCCTCCCGTCCTCACGGCGCGCGGGATGGAGCTTCCGGCCAGGATGACGGATGCGAGGAGGGCGAGTTCGACGCCGTAGGGGGCGCGGTTGCGGATGCGGTAGCCGCCGAGCATGTACTGCTGGTGTTAGTTCGCGCACTTTGTTGTAGGCATGATGTGAAGTTGTAGTGATGGATTGGGCGTGGGAGGTGAAGGATATGGGGTCGGTGGATTGCTGGGAGATGTGCAGCAGAGGGAGACGTACGAGCGATCCGACCGTCACGCCCGCTGCAACAGAGGGGACGGATCCTGTGCGCACATATCCCGTGATACCGCCGCCAGCAGTGAGGGCGCCGAGAACGAGGGCGATGGTGTCGGTGGGTGCCTGAGGTGGGTGTTAGCTATTGCTCGTGTACTGCACAGTACTGTTATTGACATGTCGTCATAGCCGGAGCTCGATTTCGTACTGTGTCAAATAGAACTTACCATTGCTGTTCTTGTGCAGTAGTACACTCGATATAATCGCAAGTCAATGAGTTCCGTAAACGCCTGGATCAAGTGTTTGATTCAAAGATCCTGAAGCTAGCTATTACCGGACGAAAACGCGGGGAGAGCTCCTCCCATTCATGCATCCATCGATTTCCGGCGCGGAGCTTCCACATCCCGCCGCCTTCCCGCAACCCCTGTCGATTTCGTTCAACTCTTGGCATCGCATCGGAAGTGGCCCAAGCTCGGTCTGGAGATTGCCAGATGCGTCGTGCATTCTGGCCTCAAGCTCGACGACATCGAAACATTTCCCGCCTCCGCAATTCTCGCAGTAGAAACCCAATTCCTTGCACTCCAGCCCAAACGCTCACGAAGAACCCGTCAGACACCCAACCTCGACCAAAATGGCACCAAAACACCGCTCCCCGGCCTCCACCACACCCACACCATCCAGCGCCTCACACTCATCACCCACCTCCACCACCCCGTCATCCTCCAAATCCTCCTCCTCCTCCAAACCAAACACACCAACCCACACCCTCGACGCCCAACAAATCATCACCTCGATATGGCGCAAATACCTCTCCCAAACCCCGCAGCGCGTGAAACTGCTCGACGCCTTCATGGGCTTCCTCGTCGTCGTCGCCGTGCTGCAGTTCATCTACGTGGTTCTTGTTGGCAACTTTGTACGTCGTCTTGCCCATATCCTTTCCCCCCTTTCCAAAATCGATGAATCCTTGGACTGATATAATGGTGAAATGAATAGCCCTTCAACGCATTCCTGTCCGGCTTCTCCGCCACCGTCGGGCAGTTCGTACTCACGGCTAGCTTGCGCATCCAGACGAACCCGGACAACGGCCGCGAATTCGCGGACCTGTCGCACGAGCGCGCGTTTGCTGATTACGTCCTCGGTAGCTTGCTGCTGCATTTCTTCTGCGTCAATTTCATCAATTGAGGCGATGGGGGATCGACGATGATTAAGAGAGGGTGGAATGGGGAGTGTCGTTGGTATGCGGATAGAGCAGGCGAAGCTTTTTCAACTTCATTTTTTTTTATCTTGGTATTGGCACTGGTGTAGAATCATAGCAGCAGCGAGGGGCGTTTCGGCGCAAAACGACATTGAAAGTATTCCCGCCTAGCCGCATCAAATCTGGCACGGCGCGCAACTGCAGAATATTCTTCGAGTCCTTGCTGATCACCAGGTCTAGCAACGGGATATATACAAACGTATATGTATTTGAATTATTTCAGTCCCCTAATCACTCCACTCATGCATGCATAGAAAATCATAAAAAGCCGCCCACATCGCCCTGAAATCCAAGCGCTCCCTGCCTTTTCCGTAACTCTAGGTATTCGTAAGGTCAGATATGCCGCCACAGCTATACACAATCTATTTCCCCGTCTCACTAGATCTCCCTCCCCACTCTCATCTCCCCTTTATTCCTCCAACCCAAACTCCCTCCTCACCGCCCTCCCCACCCGCCTGACCCCCTCCTCAATCTTATGCCCCTCAGCCGCCGCATACGTCGCCCGGAAAAACATAGTCGAATGCTCCTCGTCGGGATCCGCATAGAACCAGCTGCCCCGCATGACGAGCGCGCCCTCCTCTATACACCTCATAAAGATACTCTCCTCAATCTCCTCGACGGTCTTTGTGCGGTAATCCGGGTGCTTGGTGTAGTCGATCTGCATCCAGTGGAACATGCCCGCCATGGGGGGTTTCCAGCTCACGACCTCGCGCGGCAGGTACTTTTCGCAGGCGCCCAGGATGACGTTGCGGCGGCGCGTGTACTCCTTGCGGATGAAGATGAGCCAGTCGAGGTAGCCGGCGTGGCCCCAGTGCTCGTCGAGCAGCTTCCACACAATCAGCTGCGACATGCCCGACGGGTTCTGCGTCGAGAGGTCGGCGTGTTTCTGGTAGCACGCGACGATCTGCTGGCTCGCGGTGATCCAGCCGATTCGGCTGCCGGGCGAGATGACCTTGGAGAAGGAGTCGAGGCGCATGACGCGGCCGTCGGTGTCGAGGGAGAGGAAGCTGGGGACCAGGGAGGCGAGGAACTCGGCATGAGAGGAGGGTTGCGGTGGATCGGGTTCCGAAGACGAGGTATAGGGCGCCATTTGCAGGAAGTAGTAGGGCTCGTCTTCGATGATGTAAATGTCGTGCTTCTGGCAGACCTTGTAGATTTCCCTTCTCCGCTCGGCGCTCTGCGTTGCGCCGGTCGGGTTCTGCCCAGTAGGGACAGTGTACAGGAGGTGCGGTTTCCGGGCGCCGCGGGCGGAGACGTCCCAGGTGGAAAGGATGTGGTCCATTGCCTCGGGGAGCAGACCTTGCTCGTCCATGGGGACGCCGGCGAGTCGCAGACCCATGGGGAGAGCCGTCTCGACGGCGGCCGCGAAGGTGTAGTCTTCGGAGAGGACCATGTCGCCCGGGCGCGAGAGCATGCGGAACGCCATGTCCAGACCCGACGTACTCCCGATACTCATCGTGCACCTCCAGTCCTGATACGGGGGCCTATGCACCAGTTCCGTGTGCTCGGTGATCCACCGGAGCAACTGCGCAGCACCGCAGCCCTGGCCATAATTGAAGGCCGTGGCGATGTCGAAGATGGACTTGTCGTTTGCGAGGTCGTTTTTCCCTGCCGTAATGACGACGCCGGACTCGCGGGTTTCGGCCTCGGAGAAGTGGCCGATGGTAGGCACTTTGATGGAGAGTTCCTCAAAGGGGAAGTATTCGCTCGAGGGGAGGCCGCCGCCCAGGGAGATGAGGCCCGGTGTGCCGAGGAAGCGGGCGGCCTTTTTGAGGTTGTTGCCTTTGCGGGTTCTGGCTTCGTTGGAGAGGTAGTCTAGACGTGGAAAATTAGTATACTGAGTCAATAGGGAGAAGCACAAAAGAGGTTGTTTGAAACGGGGTAAACTCACGGTCCCAGCGTCTAGCCATGGGCTTGTCGTCGTAGTTGCCCTGACGGAAGTTGGCGCTGTCGGCGGGGGCGGCGGTGCCCCATTGCGACTTGTCTGCTTTTCTGCGGCGGCCGTAGATGTCGTTGCTCTTGGGGATGGGGGCCTTGAGCGGGTCCGGGAGGGTGATGGCCGTGGTGTCGGTCACGGCGTTGACTTCAATTGCTGCAGGCGGGGCCATGCTGTAAGTAGAGTTGGTGTTGGAAGGAATGAGAAGTAGTAGGAATTGAGAATTCTCCCTGAGCTGAGATTCGGAGAGGGTAATGGAAAAAGGCCCAAGGAATCGAGAGAAAATCTCAATCTTATACCAGCACTAATCCTCCTCACCACGCCCTGTGATCACTACGCCCTTTGACAATAATGGCAGATCGGGGAATTTGCGGACGAGAGCAAAGGATGTGCTGCGGTATGATGCATGCACCCCTCCTAAATAGGGCCGGCTACCCACGGATGAGGCTACGGAACCGAGGTGCCAAGACAAACATAGATCGACGTGACTCGTTCACAGCGGATACTTTCAGTCATTTTCATACGCCGTGCCGCGCGCCCTGTTGTAAATGCAAGGCGCAATCCTTCGATCCTACAGTCTACTCGTAAGCCTAAACCTCCACCATCGCGATTCCCCTCCACATGGAAAGGAAACACACAATAACCCACGCTCAATCGCACAATCCTCTTCAATACGTTTCTCCGACACAGGCCCTTTCCCTGTGAAAACGTGCCCACGTGCTCTCCGAGCGACTAGCGCAGGTGCTTTTCCGTAGCCGCAGACGTAAAGGTCGAACCCGGTAAACGTTATTATTGGTCGACGCAGCCTTGTTTTACCACGCTTGGAATCCAGCGAGTGGTGCCGTGCCATGGAATCCCGCTACCATCCGTGTATACAGTTACAGTTACACTGGAGAAGGGTGGACTTCGACTCAATATCGGAGGACATGGACAAAGAGTCTAGTGGAGCCCAGATTCTATAGCTACATGCTATGACTGATGCTGAACGACTTATGCAACTCCGACGCCAACTCCATCCTATGCAAGACACCAACAGAAGCGAAACCATGATTACACACTCAATGCCACCACAGACCTCCCTCCTCCATCACCAAAGATGAAGGCAGCCCCTATGCGTCCATCCACATTATCGATACCCCGAGTATGTAAGAAGCCGAAAAGGTAGACGAGGGTATCTCCAGCGCCTAGATGCAAATCGTCCAAACTTCACAAAGTCAACATCGCTCCTCCCTACATGACCACGCAATTCTCGTCCTTGCTGCCCTTCTTCAGCTTATCTTTCGACGCCGGCGACGAGCTCCCCGGCTTATACTGCTGTCCCGATGCCGCCGCCGAAATGACGGCGAGTCTCTGTTTTGCCCTCTCGTCCCCGTGGTCCGCCGCCCGGACGTACCAGACGTTGGCTTCGAGCGGGTCGCGTTGGCAGCCGATGCCCATTTCCGTGAAGTAGCCGACGGCATATTCGGCTTTGGGGAGGCCTGTGGTAGTCAGTACGGAATGGTCCAGATTACTATACGTGCAGCAGCGGGACGACTTACCTTGCTCGGCAGCCCGCTTCGCCCACTCGTACGCCTCGTTCTCGTCCTTCTCGAGCACGGGTTCCGCACCCACAATGTACCAAGCGCAGAGATTCATCATGGCCTCGGGCACCCCCGCCTGCGCAGCGCAGTTGTAGTAGTGGACCGAGACGGCAGGATCCTTGGGACACCGCAGCAAGCCGTGTTCGTAGGCCTCGCCCAACTTCAATGCCGCGTATGGATGGCCCAGGTCTGCCGCTTGCGTGAAGAGCTGCGCAGCGTAGACCTCATCCTTGAAGATGTCGTCCCCGAAGCCCGTCTCGTGCAGCAGGCCCAGCTCGTACGGCGCGCTGTTGTACTGGTGGTCGGCCGCTTCGGTGGCGCGTTTGAGCCACTTGACGCCCTCCTTGTACCGGTTCTGCAGGCCCATGTCTCCCGTCAGACATGCCTTTCCCAGACGTGTCGCAGCTCCGGGGTGATTCTTCGACGCTGCCGCACGGTAGAACTGGACCGCTTTCGCGTAGTCTTTGCGGCAGCCCCAGCCAAACTCGTAGCAGAGCGCCGCCCGATACCCAGACTCTGCGTGGCCGTGCTTGCTTGCGGCAACGAAGAGGGGGAAAGCCCGATCATAATCCGGCTTATCCTTGTTGAAGAGGCCCGATGCGTAGCCGTCCGCAAGGTAGTACTGCGCAAAGGGGTAGCTGCGGTCGGCGAGCTTCTGTAATATCTGGCGGGCTTCCCGTAGGATTTCCGCAGCATCGAGGCCAGATGACTTGGCAGGGGGAGCGGCGTGAGGCTCCGGGCCGTCAGAAGGGTGTTGGAACGCCATCAGTTCTCTCGCAAGGCCCACCATGTAGATCGCAAACTCGTACTGTACCACATTGTCTTGCGTCTTCTTCACATTCTGTCGGTACATGTCCAACGTCTTCTTTGTATCCAGCAAGCTGGCATTCTGACCCACCACCCCTCGCAGCTGAGCATTGCCGAAGACATTCGCCGTAGGCGCAACCTGCTGGTTGTAGGGGAGATTGAGCAGATCGACATACGATGTAGGGCGGGTCTCTGGCGACCGGCGGGCGACTCCCAGGTTCCTGCCATAGTTGGCGGGCGAGAGGTTCGGCGAAGGAGGCCCGCCCCCTGCGGAAAGGTGTGGGGAGTGAGTACGACCGCCGGGATGCAGCTCGGAGCCCAGCGCATATGCGGAGCTTGGTCTTGCCGACGAGGTGCGGGGCGGGTGTACGTCGAGGCCAAAGTTGAAGTCGAGCCGAGGATCACTGTGGTTGCTGCTGCTTCCGGGCGATGCAGACTTTTGACGCAACTGGCCCATGTCGTAGGAGGGACGGGAGGATGGCGTCGCGGTAGAGTCGTTGAGGTAATACGCATCTGCACTATAGGGTGCGGACGAGTGAGGGTGGCTGGAATAGGATACGTCGTCCGACGATTGCGTTTGTGCCTCAAATATCTGTTCCGACGTCCGCGCGTCGTTCACGTACACGATGCCATTTGGTGCCTCGTACGTATATTGGTTTTGATTGTGCACTTCGTTCCGCCTGTCGTCTGCGAGAATTTCCTCTCCTGATCGCTCATCATTCACATATACGATTCCGTTGGGGGCGGGGTATCGATTGTTTGCGGCGTCTCCATCTCTCGTCTTGCCGCTGCCGTAAATGGTGCCGGATGCGGCATGTGGCCTCTTCTCGTCGTCGTCGTCTGACGAGAAGGTGTCCTCATACTGCGCAGCACTGGAATGCCGTGCGTTGCAGGGCGCGTCGCTGATACTGAGTTGGTGGATGGGTATGTCCTTGGTCATGGCTAACGAGTTCCCCGAATCCCGATTTCCGAAGTCCCCATATGTGTCCTTTGAGGCTGATCTTGAATGGTCAGCAGAGTTCAGGTCCGAAGTGGAGCCAGACTGCCTCGAGCCACGCGCGCCTTCTACTGTATCCTCATGCTCACCAATATTGAAGGAGGGTATGCGGAGGTCCTTGGGTACGGGAAGCGGTTTTCGCCTGACTGGGCTCGTAGAGTTTGTGTAGCTTTCTATGCTCGACCGGCTGGAACGGTAGCCTTGTGGAGGAGATGTGCTGGGGGCGGTATCGTGGAGAGGATTTGGCGGTAAGCTCTCGGAAGGTGCGACTGATGCTTGGGCCATTATTTATGCCGTGGTTGTGCGCGAGTTGCGTAGGAAGGGTCGGCCGGCTTCCCAAGGTCGATCTTGGGAACGTGGAAGCGACTGGACGGGACCCCGTAGTGAGAGAAGGGTGTTGTAGAAGGAGGCAGTAAATATTTACAGGGGATCTGGTGGGTGCTGAGGGATGAGCGGCTTCAATGCCACGGAAATCGTTCAGCGGGACCAAGATTGTGAGATTGGGCTCCGCGACAGCAATTGTCGAAAGGAACGAAGGAGATATGTACAAGAGAGGTGAAGAGGTATTGAGAGGGTTCTGGAGGTGCTGGGTGTTGAGGTCAGCCAAAAGGCGGAGGTGAGTGTTCGACTTGTTGAGAGGGAGTGGGGGTGCTGATTGAAGGTCCTCGGTGCGAAGCCTTGCCGGTTTGAGGTGGGCGTAGGTGCAGCTGTGTTGGAAGCACGGCAGCGAGACTCAGGCACCGACGACGCACATGGGTCCGTTCTGGGAAATGGGGTGCAGCAAGAGAGAAACAGCAAAGAGTGAATGATTTGGGGAACGGGTGGAGAATCTTGAAATAGCGCAATGGGGCAGTGAGGACGCACCTTTTTCGCATCAGGGGTGGACCACTCAACGGATGGAATGCCCCGCGTGTACAAGTAGTAAGCAGGTCCCTTTTCTCAGTACGAGGCAGCCAAGCCGTTCTGGGAATAAGGTGATGGGTACCAACTGAAGCAGAGGGGCGCAGTTTTCGGACGGGACGGATCTAAGGAGAGGTTCAACGAGTGATGGGATGACTTGCTCTTTGGTGCCTTGGAGCAAGCAACAGAACACAGAAGTTTAGAGAGTCAACCGAGGGGGAAAGGTGGAGAGGGAGGCTGTGAAAGAAAAGTAGGTTTTGGGTACAGGTAAGCCCTGGCGCGCCAGGCAGCGGCAGGGCCCTATTTGTATACTCCATGTCGACCGAGGGCGCCACGCCCACCTCTGATGAGAGGCAGACGGCAGACGAAAGCAGCTGGGCCGTGGCCGTGTGCATTAATGGGACTGGGGACTGAGAGGGCTCAGCATTCGTCATCGCTGGGTTTACAATTACCAGAGTTCTCGTACTTGGTACTCCCTGCCCAGGAATGTGGACTTGTGCCATGGCCCTTGAGTTTTATAACAATACAATACTCCGTACATGGAACGACTTGATGTAGCGATCTGCTGGGGATCAGGTGCAATGTGCGGGGACGGGCATGGGTAGATGGGCAGGGCTTTGTACTTGTATACTTGTATGAAGCAAGTAGACTATCTTCACTATGTTTGATGACCGCCATGTCTCCGTCATCAGCAGGTTTCCGAGCAGTCTGAAGCAGCCCACGGCCCACGACTGCTAACAATCTGCCTAATAACTCGAGTATTCCCCTCGATGCATGCAGTTCAGCTTCAGCTTGCCCGGGGCGGCCCCAATTGCTTCTGGTGTGTGTTGGAGATGGCGGGCGGCTCAGCACCCCGCAGCACGTCCGCATCCGGACATGACGGATTTTCATGACCATCTTGTCTGCATCGGGGAGACGTTGATGCCGTTAGTTGGCCTGAGCAGCGAGTCGAGAGAAATGATGACCTTCAAGACGCAACGAGCAGCAGTTTCATCACCATTACGGAGTACCTATCGAAGACGACCTGGGTACGAGGGGTGGCGGTGGGAAAGCGTCGCGAGGGGTTGTTGGCACCGCGTTGCGGCTGACGATGGCGCGAAAAATTCAACACCAACGAGGCATCTCACCGCCGACAGGATCTGATCGGTCATGGGCCTGGCCTTTGTTGAGACCCTGTTTTTCCTTTGCCTCTTCTGGGGAAGATGCGGCTCTTCGATGTGGGTTCCCGCGACGATGCACGAAACAGCCAGGTCTGTGTGCATGGCATGCGCAACTCGACTTTCAACCACCGACCAGCTTCAACGACGCTGAAACCATGACGATGATGAGATGGTGAATAATAAAATAATAATCAGAGAAAGCAATCATCAACTCGCGACCTGACGCGGCGCAGCAGCGTGCCCTACACACATTTTCAGTTGGTACAGCAACCAAAGTGGCATGGTCCGCCCCAAGTCCAAGAATAGCCAGTCAGGGGCCCTCTCCTTGTCCTCCGCCGTCGGTCCGCTCGCTCGCTCTCGTCGCCCAACCATCCACAACGGGTGCCTTGTTTGTCGTCGTTCTCTCCGACCTCATCCTGTACCTGATAGTTTGTTCCAGCCCAGCCGGCTCCATGGCCGTCCTGTCCCTCGTTTGAACCGAGTTTCACCCTTCACGCGGCTGCTCCCCGCCTGCCTGCCCTTGCGCATCCCTCGCTCGACATCGCAAACACCAACCCACGCCTCTCCAAATCGCTTCTTGAGCCATCGGCGTCCGTCGCACTTTTAGCATCGCCAACTGCCTCTCCCGGAAGCATCGCTCGTTTATTTCGCCAACCGTGGATAGGGCCACATCGCTGATTTCCCAGGGTCGACGAACCCGTGTACCCCTTTCACACCGTGTGGAACGCACCCTCTCCCTCCCTGCCGCTCCCAGTCATGTCGCTCCCTCAACGGCCGAACCCTACTTCCCCCGGGCTCAATGAGCGCCCTGCCTTTCGGGAATCCGCTCGTCGTCGCCGTCCCTCCGACATCGAGAATTCACGAACCCACCGCCGCACCACGAGTAAAGGCGCCACCCACCCCACCTACGGTTCTCAACTACCCTCTCCTAACACCCCTGTACCGATGGAGCGTGATCCCATCATGGCCGGCCAGCACAACTCTCCCACTCCCGATCTGGGAAGGAAACGCAGTCTGATTCGCCCGGAGCGCAGCCGCATCGACCCGAGCCATCCCAACTACCACTACCGCCAACATGCACAGAAGATGACAGTCTACCCCTCGACAACGGGAAACGATCCCATCCTGGAGGACTATATGGAGGGTGAGACGGTCAGCTCCGACAGCACCGAAATGAAGCCCCCTCATCTTCGCAACGAGTCGAGTGGTCCCTACAATGACAAGCAGGCTCCCTTGGACGATGGACGACCAAACCGCCGCCTCACTCGTAGTAAGACTGCGGACAAGCTGGAAAGGCAACGGCAGAAGGAGAAGGAGGCGTTGAGGCCGCCGAGCCTGTGGAACATTTATTGCGCCGTCATAACGTTCTGGTGTCCAGATGCCGTGCTTCGCTGCTTCGGAAAGGTCCAGAAAGCCCAACAGCGTGCTTGGAGAGAGAAAATGGGCTTGTGCAGCATCATCTTGATGATTTGCGCCGCCGTCGGTTACCTGACTTTCGGTTTTACGCAGACCGTTTGTCCTAGTGGTGGCGCAGCACGCCTGCAGGTGAACAAGGTGGATCGCGGATTTTTGATCGTCCATGGAAAGGCTTACGATCTTTCTCGATCCGAGCACCCTCCTGCTCGAGGCATCCAGGAAAACGCCAACGTCTTGTTCGACTTGCCTGAGAAGAACGGTGGAAAAGACGCCAGCTTTCTCTTCCAGAATGTGAACGGTGCATGCAAAGGTCTCATCACACCGGCTCCTGGTTCTTCCGTTGTCACAAACTCCAATGGCGACATGGCTTGGTACTTTCCCTGCCGCCTCTTCAACCAAGATGGCTCGACCCAGCCCAATATGACCTTCCTGGGCTACAATGGCTTCCAATGCCACACCAGCGCCAGAGCACGACGCGAGTTCTACGGCCTGAGAAACACTGGCGAGGTGTACTTCACCTGGGACGACGTCAGGAACAGTTCGCGCAATCTCATGGTTTGGGGAGGTGATGTCCTTGATCTCAATCTGCTGCAATGGTTCAACAAGTCCGACGTCGTGTGGCCCAACCGGTTCGACGAGATCCGCCAGAACCCAGCAGTCCGCGGCATGGATGTCACGCGCTTATTCTCGTCCAGCTACGACAAGCAAATCGCCAGGTGTTTCACCGAGATCATCAAAGTGGGTTCCATTGACACTGAGACCATTGGTTGCATTGCGTCCAAGGTTGTGCTCTATGTCTCGCTCGTCTTCATTCTCTCCATCGTCGTGGCCAAGTTCGTTTTGGCTCTTGCGTTCCAATGGTTCATCAGCAGGAAATATGGTGCTACGAAAACCACGCTCGGCAAGACAGACTCGAAGCAGCGGAAGCAACAGATTGAGGATTGGAGCGATGACATCTATCGCCCGCCGCCACGCCTCATGGATCCTGCAGGGCCTGATCGGTCTAGCAAACGCGGCAGCGCATTCCTGCCCTCGACCTCCCGGTTCACGAGTCCCTACACCATGGATAAAGCTGCCAAGAGCCGCGCTCCGCCCACCACCATGACCACCAGTCAGAGCGCTTCCTCTCGCCTCCTCTCATCCAACTCCAATGCCATGTATAGACAGCTCAACACGAGCCACAGCACCCTTCCAACGCACGACGGCAAGCCTTCGGTGCAGGAGAGTCGATCCAGTCTGATGCTTTCAGGGACAACCGAGCAGAACCGCTATTCGACCATGGGCGAAGTGGAGGGTCCTGGTCCCGCCGGATTCATCCACGAAGCTGTCGTGCCTCAGCCCCCTCCGGAATGGCAGCCTTTTGGTTATCCTCTGGCTCACGCTATCTGCTTGGTCACGGCCTATTCTGAGGGAGCCGAGGGTATACGTACGACGCTGGACTCTATTGCCACGACGGATTACCCCAACAGCCACAAGCTCATCCTCGTCATCTGTGATGGTATGATTAAAGGCAAGGGCGAAGATCTGACGACACCCGAGATCTGTCTGGGCATGATGAAGGACCACGCCGTCTTGCCTCACGAAGTGCAGCCCTTCTCCTACGTCGCCGTCGCGAGCGGCTCCAAGAGGCACAACATGGCCAAGATCTACTCCGGTTTCTACGACTACGGGGAGAACAGCCTTATCCCCACCGACAAGCAGCAACGGGTGCCCATGATGGTCGTTGTCAAGTGCGGTACCCCTGATGAAGCAACCAGCTCGAAGCCTGGCAACCGTGGAAAGCGAGACAGCCAAATCATCCTGATGTCCTTCTTGCAGAAGGTCATGTTTGACGAACGTATGACGGAGCTCGAGTTCGAAATGTTCAACGGCATCTGGAAAATCACCGGCATCTCTCCCGATTTCTATGAGATCGTGCTCATGGTGGACGCCGATACCAAGGTGTTCCCTGACAGCTTGACGCACATGATCTCCGCCATGGTTAAGGACCCCGAGGTCATGGGTCTCTGCGGAGAGACGAAGATTGCCAACAAGCGGGCGTCTTGGGTGTCCATGATCCAAGTCTTTGAGTATGTGTCTGCGCTCGTATCACCTAACATCACGTCACTGACAGTAGCAGGTACTTCATCTCCCATCATCTGTCGAAATCGTTTGAGTCGGTCTTTGGTGGTGTCACGTGTCTACCGGGATGTTTCTGCATGTACCGCATCAAGGCGCCCAAGGGCGGTCAGAACTACTGGGTACCGATCCTCGCGAACCCGGACGTTGTGGAGCACTACTCGGAAAACGTGGTCGACACGTTGCACAAGAAGAATCTTCTGCTGCTAGGCGAGGATCGGTATCTGTCAACGCTCATGCTCAAAACGTTCCCCAAGCGAAAGCAAATCTTCGTGCCACAGGCTGTATGCAAGACGACGGTACCCGATGAGTTCAGGGTGCTGTTGTCACAGAGGCGTCGATGGATCAACAGCACGGTCCACAACCTGATGGAGTTGGTGCTGGTCCGGGATCTGTGCGGAACCTTCTGCTTCAGTATGCAGTTTGTCGTCTTCATCGAGCTGGTCGGTACGCTGGTACTGCCTGCTGCCATTGCCTTCACGTTCTATCTTAGTGAGTATTGCCGTTGTTGATGGTGCGGATGAATCGCTGACGTATGGCAGTTGCCATCTCGATCAAGGCGGCGGTGCTGCACACTGAGGCGCCGGTCATCCCCTTGGTTCTCCTCGCGCTGATCCTGGGTCTACCGGCCGTGCTCATTGTGGTGACGGCGCATCGATGGTCGTACGTCGCGTGGATGGTTGTGTACCTCCTGTCCCTCCCTGTTTGGAATTTCGTGCTCCCGACGTACGCGTACTGGAAATTCGACGACTTCAGCTGGGGCGAGACGCGCAAGACGGCCGGGGAGAAGACCAAGAAGGCGGGCCTCGAGTACGAGGGCGAGTTTGACAGCAGCAAAATCACGATGCGACGGTGGCACGACTTTGAAGCAGGTATGTAGCTCGGCGGGGCCCCTCCCCGGCAAGGTATTTGCATGTACTGTAGTACACGGGACTGACACGAGGCACAGAACGGAGACTCAAGCAATCGGGCGCATGGTCGCAGCAAGGCACGTCGACGACGGGGTGGTCGCAAGGACAGCAGCAACCGTACGAGTATGATGGCTACTATGGCCACTAAGCGTGGGACGACAGTGGCATGCCATATCTACCCCGAATCATTGCCGCCGCGCGGTGTGTGCAAGGCACTGACAGGTAAAAAGGAGTCTGCATTTTGTGCTATGATGCATTTCATGGGCTGGGGGTTTTTATTTCTTGTTTGGATAAGTGTTGAGCACAGCGCTGTTCTTCCTTTTTGTTTTATTTTATTTTTTCGTCATTATTCTTCTTTTGGTTTTCCTGACGGTCTTGTAGACGACGGGTCTGCTTATTTTCCCATGTTGTTTAGATGGGCGCGCTCAGCTTGTATTTACTACAGGGTTCGCCCACTTATTTCTTAATGGTGGAGGGTGGAGAGGGGGCAGACGCATAGTCTAGTCGTAGTAGGTAATTCCCTACCTGGGTCTCATTCATCATGATCGAAAGCATCGTTATGACGAGAGTGCTGACAACAAACAATACTGCACAATACATTGCGGTGAGACAGTGGCGGTCGGCTCAATGTCTTGCTCACGTTGTCCTTGTAGCACGAGGAACAGGCAACACAGCTATTGTCACACACAGCTGGAGGCTTGATAGGCTCAACTTACTGCAGTTATTTCTCAAAGTAGAAGTGACAAGTGGACAAGTGACAATTGGCCATGCAGCCTGTGCTACCCCAACCCATAATATTATGTACCAATGTACCACCGCTGCCACAAGGGTTTTGACACATGGGGCGTGCGGGGCCTTTCAGAATTCAAAACTCTTGCTCGGTGAGGGGTGGAGAGGGAGGAGGGAGGAGGGAGTAGGGAGGAGGGGATGTCTTTTCTAATAGATGGAGGCGGGGTTGGGGTGTGGTTCGGTTCTGTCCGAGTAGGGAGTTATTATTAATAAGGGGACACCGGCAGCAGCGGATAATGTGGCTTTGGGTTCGAGGAGGTTTTTGGGGGAGTGGAAATGCTGGAAGGCAAGTTTACGAGATGGTGATGGGCGTGCGGCATGGGACATGGTTATTCTAAATAGATATGCATGCAGAATGGCGGAGTTGGTGGAGTTGGTCGGGGAATGAAAAAAGACGCTGGGCTCTCATCCGTCTTTTCAATGTTCTTTTCCCCGTCGTTGCAGCCCGATGTTCCCTCTGCTGCATGCCCGCTGCTAGTCTTCGCGGTACATGTACATACATATCTACGACGCTTCTAGGGTCGTGGAGGATATGTACAAGTAGCGTTGCAGTCGTCTATTGTCTTTCGTCGCATTTACTACTGTCTCTACCTAGCCTAGTCGACAACCCCGGTCCCAAGCCGCCGCCCGCTTTTGGCATAGATTCATTGCGTTGGGTAGCCCGTCGACCGACCGCTTAGTTAACCCCACACTCTCTGCAACACTCCACCCTCACCTACCCAGTCGGCCTCCGCTGACTCCGCCAACTCTCATCGCCTCTTCGATCGCGACGACGAAACCCCTCGCTGCCGCATGCAGTAAACCCTTATCCAAGTCTCCCCTCCCGTAGAGGCAGGCGCTCAGTCCGGGAATTCGCCTTCCCAACAAGCAGCAAGAGAAAACCGGAAGAGAGAGCTTGCTGCCCTGCGCCGCACACCGCACACCGCACACCCAACGAAACAAGCGCTTCTCGGAATCCTCTTCTCGATCCTTATCCACCCACTGCCATTTATTATCATATCGCAAACGCCGGTTTACGGTCGTCTTATTCTTTTTCTCTTTGTCGCTAGTGGTGGTAGTGTTTCTGGGGCCTTGAACGGCCAGCACGACAACTCCCTTCCCTCCTCTTCCTCATCCGCGCCGCCGCCACAAACCCAAACGCGAATACCGCTATCCACGACCGCGGGAACGTCGATAACTAGTTCAGGGGACCTGGACGACTATAGTGGTGCTATGTCTGGATCTGTCTCTCCACCAAATGCGGGGGATCACGCCTCTCCCTGGCAACAACTGGATGAGGCGCTGCTGGCCGAGCTGAACGAGCTGATGGGAAACCCTTTTGGACAGCCTTTTGGACCGCCTTTGGGACAGCCTTTGGGACCGCCTAGTGCGGCACTGCAGGATTGGCTCAGCATGGTGAATTCCCAGAATTTTTCCGCCTGGAATGCGCTCGGCATAGGGAACGTTCCGATAGTGGCGGCCCATGACCCATCAGTTGACTTCTCCGGCATAGAGAGCTCTCCCGTGTCGCTCCATAACCCACCACCTGCCTTCACCATTAGCTATGGCGAATTCGGAGGCAGCGACGAGTACCTCGAAGTCCTTAACAAGGACCGCTTTCTCCAGCTCAACGACTTCTACATGAATTTCCTGCAGAGAGGAAGCCAGATCAAGATTCCCATTGACGGTGCTCCCGCCGTCATCACCCGCGCTGACCTCAACGGCGACGCCTGCGACTGGCAGGGCATAGATTGGCACATGCGACGGCTCAAGCGGTCCTATGTGCGGGCCGCGCGGGCCGAGTTCCAGACGTCCCTGATGCCGCCGGCGTTAAGGGAGGTGAGGAAACATATGCAGCAGATACCGAATTCAGAGAGTTTCTTTTCGTTTCGGAGAATGGACACGATGCATCGGGCTTGGATTCCGCATTTCCAGCTGCGTAACCTGTTGGGCGTGTCCAATACAGACATCTACTATGCAGCAAGAGACAAAGTGCTGTATACTGACTCCGAAGGTTCTCCCCCGAAGGTAGCTATGGACCTCAGCAAGTCGTCTACCGAAGCGGGGAAATTTCTTATCACGACTCTGGCCGTCAGCTCCGACGTCGTCATCGCCGGCGGGTTCGAGGGGGAATACGCGCTCAACAACGCACACAGCAACAGGCCAAAAGATACGGTAATAAGCCGCATCAACAACACGACGCGCAACTCTAAGTCCCACATCACGAACCACATCGGCCTCTTCCCCTCACGCACCACGTACAGCCCGCAGGCCGTCCTCTCCTCCAACGATAACCGCCTCCGCGTCCTCGACTGCACGACCAACACCTTCACGTACACCTTCACCTACCCGCAAGCCGTCAACTGCAGCGCCACGTCGCCCAACGGCCGCATGCGCGTCATCGTGGGCGATTTCCGCGAGACGCTCGTCACGGACGCGGAGACGGGCAGGGCGTTCCAGGCCCTGCGGACGCATGTCGACGATGCGTTTGCGTGCGATTGGGCCGACGACGGGATCCATGTGGCGACGGCGGCGCAGGATTCGAGTATCGTGGTGTGGGACGCGCGGAATTGGGCGAGGCCGTTGAAGGTGCTGTACTCGGAGTTGTCGGTTCCGCGGACGCTGAGGTTCAGCCCTGTGGGTGGGGGCAGGAGGGTGCTGGTCGTGGGCGAGGCGGACGATTGTGTGAGTGTGGTGGATGCGGCGGGGTTTGAGAGGAAGCAGGTGCTGGATTTCTTTGGGAGGACGGCGGGGATCGGGATGAGTGGGGATGGGCAGGGGTTGTGGGTCGGCGTTGTTGAGGGGAGTGTTGGGGGGTTGATGGGGTTTGAGCGGTGTGCGGGTGGGTGGGGAGGGAGAGGGGGACGGGGAGAGAGGCGAGATGGAGAGGGGGATGATGGGAGTGAGGGAAGTGATTGGGAGAGTGAAGAGAGGATGGATGGCGATGAGCAGGTCTTGTGCGGAAGGGCGGAGAGAAGGAGGAGACGTATGGGGTCTGGACTGCGGGATTTGAGGATCTGACGTTTTGTACTTGATCTTGTTTGAATTGGCATGGCATTGGGATTGGGATTTGGGATTGGGGTGAGCATGAGCGTGGGACGGGAATCGAGGAATGGGTGGGTGGGTGGGTTCGTCTTTCGTCTTTCGTCTTTCGTTTTTGGATTTTGGATTTTGGATTTTGGATTTCGGATTTGGATTTGGATTTGTATACCCCTCGTTCGTCATTAGTATCTATATCCCGGTGGTTCGCCTTTCATCTTTGGGAAGGAGGGAGAAGGCGCTTGGATGGATAGATCGGAGGGTTCGTTAGGCGCAGGGAGCAGTGAAGGGCATGGGTTTATATGTATGTCTATATATCTACATATATATAATTATTACTATAACGCTTCCTGAGTGCGGTCTTGCTAGCTTGGTGTTTCTGAAGAATGTAAGTGCGCCGTTTACTTGATTGTTCGAGCAAGGACAGTCGCTTGAGCGGGGTTTCGTTTTATAGGAAAGCACCTAAAAGCTAATCTATACTAAGATAAGAAGGAAGGGAAGAGGGTTAGAGAGTGTAGTAGGTCTTATAGACGTCGGGATAATCAAGAAAGAGGGCATGTTTACAGGTTTACAACTTTGAACGTCAATGGTGATGGTGATGGTGACGATGTTGATGAGATGCATATGGACGAAGGCGACTACCGCGACAAACAAACAATGCCCTTGTTAGATTCCTGACTCGTATAGCCATTCATGCAGCGAATGTTCTATACCCTTCCTTCTGGATTAGATCTAGAGACCTGAACTCACGCAAACTTTGGGAGCACATGCATTTGTGCCTTGTTGTCTTTGGATACAGCGAACACTGTGTGATACTAAAAAAGCAAGTTGTAGAGAGAAAGAAAGGGAGTTGGTGCCCGGCGCGAGAGGGATCTTTATATACTCCTCTCGTAGAGGCGTGGGTTGCCCTTGGACCGCCTCGAAAATTGGGAAACAGAAGGATGTTCAATGTTTCAAAGCTCTTCCCAAGATGGCGAAGGGAAGATGACGAGCACCACTACCACTATCTCCTTCTCTACCTTCTCTATCCAACCTCTTACCCACCTTTTCATTCTCCAAACATCTTGAAACATAGCCTTCTGTTGTGTGCTTTTATGCCAACAACACGGTCTCTCATGATGTAACTGCCGGGCATTTTCTTAAACGACTATCAAACAAGAAACAAACTGTATAGGAAAGCGGAACAGACTGCGCAAAGGAAGGAGGGTGTTTATATACCCCTTTCATAGGAGACCCTGGACTGCTGAGCCGGGCGACATTCGAGTCGCTAGACACAGGGAAGAGATAAGGCGGAGACAGTGCTTATTATTACTAGCACCCATCACTATCACCATCACCAAGCTCACCATACGCCTCCATCTCATACACTCATGACCACGAGATGTCGAGCCGGTCCTTCCACGAGGCCTCCTCGCAAGACGCACGACACACCATAAGATGTTCGTGGCTGTGTTTTGGCGACCAAGGGCAAGACATTGCTTGACAATCTGAGCATTTAGAGACGTCGCATTCGAAGGGAAGGAAATTGTGAGGAGAGCGAGACGGAGGAGGTGGGAGTTTATATAGATACTCCCGGCACAGAGATTATAGATGTGCACGGGATGTCAGGTTTCAAGGGGACTGAAAGAAGAGAAACGAATGTTTATAATATGTTGAAAAGATGCGGAATGTTTATTTGAGTAGCTGTGGCATGTCTAGTTCCACGTCCGCCTACATACGTACATATGTACATGTGCGATATGAGAGATTCACGCTATTATCATCACCATCACCATCACCACCACTACTATACGCCCCCTCCCTTAAACCAAACAATGGAAAAGAAAATATACATCACCATTCCAAACAAACCAGCCGTCTTTCTCCAAAAAGACCATGGTTTTTCCAGTTCAGGCCTTTTAAAATCGCACCTAAAGTGCCGCAAACTGTAAGGGGGAAAAAAGGGAGGAAGGGAGAAGGGAGGAAGGGTGTTTATATAGACATATACCTAGGAGACCCAGTACCGCCAACGTGCAACAGTTTAAAAAAGAAAAGAGAGAGGAAAGGCGTATGTGCAAGTATATTTACGCGCACATGTAGCTCTACCTTAGCATACCTTGCAGATGCGCAAGAGAAGCTTGCAAGGGAAGCTTGTAAGGGAAGCTCTGCAGTACCATCATAGTCACAAGAGAAATACTTTCTATTACCATCACTATCGCTATCACTATCACGCTACTACCATCAGCAGCTGTTTCTCTCTAACAAGGACATAGTTTATAGCTGTGCCGACTTTTCGAAATCGCACCTAAAGTGCCGCAAACCGTGAGGGGAGAAAGGAAGAAGGAAGAAGAAAGAAAGGAGGCGGATTTATATAGATTACCCAGGAGGCCCGGTGCCACTTAGGTAACAATCATCATTTGCGACGACACCAACGACGGTTCGAGAGGAAGACCCTTGGATGCTTGAAATTGATTGTGCCTACGTGCATGTTCACCCAGGTACAACTTTGCGTACGGGAAGTTCTGCATTACTATTATTATTGTCAGAGATATACACTCTATTGCCCGCACTATTACTATTACTACTACTGCCACGCTACTACCATCACCGTTACAACATAAGATCTTCAGATAAACTAGCCGTCCCTCTCCAACAGGCACATAGTTTTGCCTGTACCAATCTTTTAAAATCGCACCACTAAAGTAGTGCAAACCGTAAGGAGAGAAAGAAAGAAAGAAGGGAGATAGAAAGAAGGGTGTTTATATAGATATATACCCACACCTAGGAGATCAAGTGTAGCTTAGGTAACTAGTCGTGTGCAACGGTTCAAAAAGAAAAGAGAGAGAAAAGACATATGTTCAGGTATATTTACGCGCACATGTATTACTATCACTACCGCGCTACTATCTTCACCGTTACAACATCGCCAAACGAACCAGCCGTTCTCTCCAACAAGAACATGGTTTTGCCTGTTCCGACCTTTTAAAGTCGCACCTAAGTGCTGCAAACCGTAACTAGAGAAACAGTAAAAGAAGGGAGAAGGAGGAGAATTATATACCTATGCCCGCCAGCCTAGCTGAGATAGTCATCGATTGCGACGACGGTTCGAAACGAAAGGTGCTGCGAGGCTCAAGAGTATTTACGCCCTACTTGCATGTTTACCCGAACACAACTTTTGCGCAAGTGAAGCTCTGCCTCATCATCATCATCACGAGAGAGAGAGAGACTTTCAATCACCATCACTATTACTACACGCTACTACTATTACCATTACAACGTCCCAAATAAACCAGCCGTCCCTCTCCAACACGGACATCGATGCTCTGTTTTCCTTTTTTCAAAATCGCACTACTAAAGTAGTGCAACCCGTAGGGAAAAGAAAGGAAGAAGGGAGAAGGAGGAGATTTATATACCCGTGCCCACCAGTTCTAGCTTAGGTAAGCGGCAGTGCTCAATCGTTCGATAAAAAGGGGGAGAAAGGAGATATGTACAAGATGTTCATGTGCATTCACACCCACATCTATGCACTTATGCCCACATGCAGGTTCACCCAAACGCACAAGTTTGGGCAAGGGAAACTCTTTATCATCACCGTCATCATCATTACAAGAGAAAAAAAATGTACTTTCTATTACTATCACCATCGCTACTACCATTACCATTACAACATCCCAAACTAGCTTCTTGCCCCAACAAGGACATGTGTTCCCAGTCCTTTTTTTTTTTTTTTTTGAAATCGCGCCACCAAAATGCCGCAAACCGTAAGGAGAGAAAGAAAAGAAGGAAAAGAAGAAAGAGGGGGGGGTTTATATAGGTACCTAGGGGACCCAGTGCCGCATAGATAATTGATGGCGTTCAAATGTTCGAAAAGAAGGGAGAAGGAAAAATGTGAACAAATGTTCGAGTGCATTCATGGCCACATGCATGTTCACCCGAGCACGGCTTTGCGGCGAAAGGAAGCTTTGCAGCACCATCATCGTCACCATCACCATCAATCAGACACAGCACTTCGAAGCCAAAATATAAAAATGTCATATATGTCTAGATTCATCTACACTCAAGGCCCCAGAACCCCGCGCTAAAACCAGAAAAGACTCCGCATCAAGTTATAAAACCAAACGCAAGCAGACGCTCACAGCTCATCTCTCTTCCTTCTCGCCCCGCCACTCCCAGCCGCAGCCTCCTCCGCCTTCTTCCTCTCCCGTTCCGCGTTTTCATGCTTGGGTCCCTCCACGCTCTCATCCCACATCTTCTTCTTCGGATTGACTGGTCTGTCATTTCCCCTCTCCGGCAGCACCGTCCCATCCCCTCTAACCACCTGCTCCTTCTGCTGCTCCCGCTCCTGCCCTTCTTGCCGCTCCTCCTTAAGCTGTGGATGCTCCGCCGCCTGACTCTGCTCCGCCATCCTCCCAACCTTCTCACTCAAACTCTCCCTTAGATTCGGATCCTTCTGATACGCTCTCCCACCCGCTCCCACAGGTACGTACGCCGGCCTATGATCCTGCGCGAATTTCGGCGGTTTGTCCGTCGCACTCGGTTTCACAATCAAACTCGTACTCGGCTGTTCCGGATATGCTAGACTCGACGACGAGGGGCTTTTGGCGACACCGGCAGACGGGATCACGGCGAAGGCGACCCGGAAGACCAGTTTTAGCGGCCAGACGACAAACCACGTAATCGGGCCGTACAACCACCGCCGAAAGATGAGCCAAATCACCGTCGTGATGAGAATGTACAGCGTCGTCTCCAGGTACCACGTATAGCTCTTCTGGCTCTTGAGCAGCGTTGTGACGAGCGTCCTGCTCTTACTCAGCAACGTGTTCAGATCCGTGTACTTCTCGCCCAGTTCCTGTAGGGCCGCGGTGCTCTGTTCGAGTGTCTCTTGCGCGAATCTCGAGCGCGAGAGCTCCGATTGCATCAACGCCTGGGTGCGGCGGAGGGCGGCTGTGATGTCCGATGCGGCACCTGCGAGGACTTCTTGTTCGGTGAGGTTCGAGTTTGCGATTCGTCGTCTGTGGTTGGATGGGGGGGTAGAAGGGGAGTCGGATTGTAAGGACGAGAAGAGGAGTTCGCGCTCCTTCAGTTTTGCGCGGTCGGCGTTGCGTTTTGCTGCGAGTTGTGCTTTGCGGAATTGGGTGCGTGAACTGTGCACATGGGAAAAATCAGCCACCGTCATACTTCCTTTACTAGGCAGCATAACTATATGTAAGTGAGCACTCACGACTTCAAATCCTCCTCCACCCTCGCCAACAAAACCGCCAACCGCCCTTTCTCAGCGTCCCTCGCACTATCCCTCCTCCTCGCACTATCCCTGTTCAAACTCCGCTGCAAAGGCTGTACCACGTCCTCGACCTCGAGTCTCAAAATCTCAAACTCCTCATCCAACTGCTTCAAGTTGTCGTGAATCTCACTGCTCAATTCTACCCGAGCGTCCCCGTCTTCCGAGCCCGCGGACACGGTTCCGGGCTGGAAGTCGAGCTTCGCGAGGCGCTGGATGAGTTGTTGGGTCGCTTTGTTGGATTCGGAGAGGGTGGAGAGGCGGGCGAGGAGGGTTTGTGTGGGCGTGGGGATGGGAGGCATCGTGAGGGTGGGCGCGGCTTTGCTGCCAGGTGTTCCCGATGCAGCTATGACGATGACGATGCGAGGGATGTCGGGAGCGGAGAAATATTGATGCGAGGACAGGCGCACGGGCCATCCGCGGATACGATGCTCCTCCGAAGAGTTCAAGGTAGAGCAACATCGAATTATCGCGCGTTGTGCCGTCGCTCTTCCCAATTGTGGATTCCCCGGCGTCGTAAACCTCCGCGAAGTGCGCCTGACAGAATCCCAGAAACTCCAAGCCAAATCCCCCTACCCCGGTTCTCCTCTCTGCGCACCGCAAAATCATACCCTCTCATACTTCAACACGACCTGCGAAAATGATAACCCGCTTCCTCACCGACATCCGCGTGCAATTCAACCCCTTCTCGCCGTCGTCCAAATCCGCGCGCCTCTTCCTCTCACTCCTCCCGCCCAACGCCCGCGCCGACGGCATGAAGATCGAGTCCAAGATGTTGCCCCGGAATAGCAAGGAGCCTGCTAGGCTGGGCATCAAGTTCAGTACGTTTATCCCGTTCCATTCGTTTTTGATGGGTATTGTGCATGGATGGTGGAGGGGTTTGCAGGTTTGCAGGTTGCTAATTGCGGGATATAGAGGACGGCAAGGAGTTGAATCTCGAGGTGGACAAGATGCGGATAACGGAGGTGACGGAGCAGGTGGATCGGCATTCGAGGATATTGGCCAGGCAGGAGGAGTTGGCTGGGAACTGAGATCGGGAAGCGTGGGCGCTGTGCTGCGAAACAAAGAAATCCTCGAATGAATTGCGGGAAAGTCTTGGTGGTTCACATAAATGGAAGGTGTTGTACATTTAGCGATGGTCGGAAATCACTGCATTGCGTGGGGAAACGTTTATACAGTATTCCGGACATTGGGTGGTATGCTGGTGGAAGAGTGGTATGTACGATAGAGGATATACCCACGAGGCTCCATAGCCACAAGAGACGGAACTCAAGAGTCTTCTCACCGAAAGCTGGGGAAGTTCCGCATGGTTTCAATGGGCATTTGAGCTTGCTTTCTTATTGGTATCTTTGGGCTATGCTTTGAATTTCAAGGATAACTCCACCAAGGTTTACATCCTTTCTAGATCACGCAGAGAGACCTTTGCGATTGTCTTGCTGTTAGCTTTTATACGCCGAAACATTCAATGCTACAGTATCCGTCTCATACATCCTTCCGGTTGTAACGCCACGCCGCTTAGTTGGATGGGGCGCCGGAGATGAAGAACCACTTGTCGATGGACGGGTCAATGGGAGCCGGCGCCTGGTTCTCTCCCGGGGGAACGTTGAACTGGCTTGGGTCGACACGGTCGGGGGAGTTGGGCACATTCACGTTGGCACTGCGTCGTTAGCGGCCACAGTCAAGTATCAAGCAAGGTCCGGGGACTTACAGAGAGATATCTCCCTTGGGAGTCTTTCCAGTGATGAGCCTGTCCCAAGCCTCGGCGCACTCGCGGATAATGTCCGTGGCGTACTTCTTGTTCTTGCACTCGCCAGAGAAGGCGAACTGGTTCTCGGGCTTGCCGTCAGGGATCTTGTAGATGCGGAACCACTCGTTGGTAGCCCTCAGCAGGCCAGGCAGGTGGCGCTCTACGTCCTCAATGTCATTGAGCTTGGGAGCCAGCGGGTCTTGAACATTGATGACAATGATCTTCCAGTCGGTCTCCTCCTCGTCGAGCAGCGCCATGACACCGAGGACCTTCACCTGGATGACCTCTCCAGGCTTGGCCACCAGCTCGCCAATCTCGCAGACGTCCAGGGGGTCGTTGTCACCCTTGGCTTTGGTCTCGGGGTGTACGACATTGGGGTCTTCCCACGTCTATAAAAAGCAATGAGCGGGTGGTCCGATATCGGGTCAATTGAAGCCTACCTGAGGGAAGGCACCGTAGTTCCAGAGGTAGCCCTTGTGCGGGAAGCAGTTGCGGACATAGCGGAGCTTTCCCTTCTTGATGTCTTGCTTGATGGGGTTGAGGGGCTCCTCCTTGCTGATCTGTGAACTGTGTCAGTCTTGCACACAAGGGCATTGTCAATCCTGACGCACCTCCATCTTCGCATTGGTCCAGCGGGGGACCTCTACGATCATGTTCAGAATGGTCTGCTGCTCATTGGCATAGAGGGGGATGTCGTGGAAGGGCGAGACGGGGACGCCATCCTTCTCGATGTAGATGCGGTGCTCGAGGGTGTTGGGAGCGCCAATCTTGCGAGGCCTATACTGGCTCGGGGCGTTGGACGAAACCTGCGCCATGGTTGCGGTCGACGATGTGGAATAGGTATGGGAGGGTGCTGCTGTTGTGGGTGGTGGTGGTGAGAAGTGTGAAGCCAGCTGCTGGGTGCGAGACTGGATTTTGTTGACCGGGAGAGGGGTGGTGGGGCCTGCAGGAGCACGCAAGCTGGAAAGAGGACGGTGATTAGCCAGCTTGGAAAACGTCACCGCCTTGGGCGGGCAATGGACACTGCAGCTGGACAGACGGAAGCAATTATGGAGGGCACGTCGGTCAGCAGTAGCGCTCGGCGGCCTGATAAGTCGGTGAAAGGGCATTCAGATGCTACGGCAGTGGCGAAGAACGACGGTCGGCAATGGATTCGTTCTCTCTGCGGAGTTGACCTCCTTGACCCGAGGATGAAGATAGTTTCTACGGAGCTCGGACATTGGGAGATCTCCCCAGTTGTGCACGGATCACTTTGCGAGATCCAACTCCATGTCCGATGCTTCTCAGACGACGTTTTTGACTTCAACGCTAATACAATTTATGCGGTCGCCAAAATCCATTGGCAACAACATCATCAGTGTCCAAATACGACGTGCCTCTGCCGTCTTCTGTATACCCATTATATCCAATTGTGCCTGGCCTCTCAAGCAATGCGTCCCAATCGGTGTTCCCAAGACGCGGGACATGCGCATCAACGTCCTCCTCCCACTCGTCCAATTCTTCCTCCTGGTCCAAGGTATATAAGCTTTGCAAACTATCTCCATATCCAGGCTGTGGTAAGGTAGCCTCCCGTTCCCGCCTTTCCTGCTCTTCGTAGATACTTGGTCCTGCGTATTCAGTTGTCAAAGGGCGATATGTCTCGACCCCTGAAAAGCGCACCACAGGGGGTCTTCGATCTGTCTCCGTGATATTGATGTTGACTGAACCTCTTTCCTCATCCCAACTAGAGCCTGGATTGTTGATGTCACCAGGGGGTTCGCACATGACTCGCGCTTGATGTGGTATCCCGTCCAGTGCAGAGTCACACTGATGGAGTAGCCTGCCCAGCGTCGAAGAAGTTTGCGGATATCCATCTCCATCCTCTTGAAAGGCTTCGTGGAGACCGCCGGAATCCCCACGTGGAATGCGGATCCTCGAACGCAACGAAGTATCCTCCGAGCCATCAACTTCCTTTGAACGTGCAGCGCGTCTACGATCACGTTGCGCCTCGGCACGGACTGGTTTTCCTGTGGGCAGCGACGATAGAGAGTGTGCGGTTACGACGGTTTGGCGGCCCTCAGGGGGAGCATAGAGTCCGGTTGGCCAGCTAGAACTGGTGGCATTAGGAAATGACTGGCACCGAGACGGCCGGCGATTTGCAGGTGTCAGACACGACATCTGAAAGCATCCATTACTACCGTCGGGCAACCCCCTAGAGGCAGACGGAGAGGCCGGTGAGTGCAAGTCACCTCCACCACTTTGTGCTGGCCTCTTATTGCTGTTATCACGGGCGGAGCTCAGGTGAGCAGCGTCGAAGGCAGAACCTGCTCGTGCCTGTAGTGGCGGGACACTAGGCGCCCGTATAGACTCGGACCAGGAGATGTAGCTTCCACTCCTGTGCTCCGGACCCTTACTACCAAATCCCAAAAACGACGCTCTTCTAGGGACCTCGACAGTGGGTAAGGCGTTATCTGCATGCGTGAAGCGAGCACACTCCCCTTCTGCTCCTTCTGGGATGCGCCATTGACCATCCCCCTTCGCTCGGGTATTCACGTCTCTCTCAGCTAGGGCCGGCCGCACAGAAGTGAAATAGGCAGAGATCTCTTCCTCTTTGGCATGAGCGTGGTCCTTTTTGCGTTTCTTCCTGGTCAAACCTGGTTGGGCGGTGGCTTCCGGTTGGTCGGTTTGTTTCTGGAGGAACTTCATTTCTGAAAAGACTAGGTCGGGGACTATATCAGAAGTCAGTTATGGGCTCTCGAGTGCGGGGCGCTGCAGGTTGGGCTTACGGCCACGTCCCTTGACTGGCGACGACACCCTCCCCTTGTTGAAGAGTCCGAGTTTCTCCCGCGGCTTCAACTGTGTTCACATCAGTTGGAGGCCACCGGCATACATTCACAGGCGGAGAAATACCGTCAATCGATCTTGAGGAACATTCTTGGCGTGGAAGCTCTGGACCAGACCCATACCAGGCCTTTCGGACTTCTTGCGCCTGGATTTTCGTTTCTTCTGCTTTGATTCGCCGTTCCGATGGCGAGATGCATGCGCTCCCTGCTCCTTAACATGCTTTGACTTTGGCTCGTAGCGCTCCGGCCTCGTCTTGCGTCTGGGCCGACGGGCATATCGTTGGCTGGAGGAGCTGGAGTCGGATGAAGCGTTTGGCGGCTGATGTGCGTCGCTGCAGGTGCTGGTATCCCGGCTCTCGTCGGTATCGGCTTCCTTTCTGATTGGGGGCGGTGACTTTGGCTTTGGCGGCACTGTACGTGCCTCGAGGAATGAGCTGTCCGTGGTACTACGTTTTCGACGGCGGCCTTGCTTTGGGCGGGTTTCGGGAACATGGGATTCGAGCAAAGGGGCAGGTGTGTCCTGATGTGGGAGGCCGGGGGAGGGTGGCTGCTCAGGGAGGACGATGTCGTTGAGCCATTTGCGTATGTCCATTATTGGGTGTCGGGCTTAAGAGTCAGGGCTAATGGGGTTCTTGCGGGGGGCGACTGCGGAGGCGGATGGACTGGGCGCGCGAGCCGGGCCGTCAGAGGGATTCAGGAAGCCGTGAGCGATGCGACGGGGCCTGCGAAGGCTCAACTGTGGTGGTACAGCATTGTATGGCAGCGGTGCCGGAGACGAGTCGGAAGGCAGTAGGCGTCGAAGGAGATGCTGGAAGATTTGGGTTGTGTAACGGGGAGTGAGCATGGTGGTTGCACTGAAGGCGTGGAGGAGCGGTTTGGAGCGATATCACAATGCCTTAAGGGGGGCAGGAAGTGCGAGGTAGTGGTCCAGACTGGAAGCCACGATGGGGGCAGTTTCCGTCGACGCTCAGTGTTGGCGATGTTGGGTTCTCATTCCTGAACCAGTATGAGTACCTTTTGTTTAGAATTGCCTGGGGGAAATTTACCAGCGGAATGTCTTTGCCTGTCTCGAATATCTGTCATTCCGGCGGATGGACTGGAGAGATGGTGGAGACTTTGAGAGAAGCGGCGCCGGCAGTGCAGCGATGGGATTGGTCGAGAGCTGCATGGAGGCATGATATTGGCAGGCCTGCAACGCGGACACGACAATACATACATAGACAGAAGATGGAACGAGCCATGCGACGCTGCGGGGGATTTGCAGGTCATGGCTCAATGCTGGGGATGTGTGGGTGCATTTTTTTGTTCCATGCCTCGACGTCTCTTGCAGGACCCAGCTACCGACGCTCAGCGCGCGACATTCACTCTGGAGCTATCGCGCTAACCGTATTTGGTCAAGGCAAGGGGCGCACGAGCCAGGTGGGTTCTTCGCTGCCGGACCCATCGCCGAAACGTCTCCACACATGCATGGCCTCAACACATGGCGACTCCACGTCTTGGAGGGCTGCGATAACGCGCCTGATAAGCTTCTTTGGACATCACCAACAATCTCGTCCCCCTCCCCCCCGTGAGCCGTTGATCCAAGGTAACACATCTGCGCGCTGCCCAAACGACAAGCCCCCATTCTATAGACGAAACCATTCACCATTCGCTATTTGTCAGGGTCCAGTGTGGCGACGCCCCTCGTCCTGCGCTGTCTGCCATGATTGCTGAGACCGAAAAAAGCAGCCCCCAGCCGGCCTATGGCAAATCCTCCAACGTGCTCCCTTTTGCATACGCGGCACGGGCAAGCTCTGCCATTGGGCCCCTCCAACGACTCGTTGCCGCACCCGCAGCAAGTTCTGGACACGGGATGAGTGCTCCATCTCCTACATACTCACTTGCTACTTGTAGGTACTTCACAGGGCCTGCCTGGAGCCCTGGACGGCCTGGAGGCGTTCTTTAGGCGCCTGGGAAGCAGCCAGCCCTGGGACGACACATGCCTCTGTCAGCTTCCCCTCCAACAAGCAGACGAGTTCAAAAGGCCTTGCCTGCCCGGCGTGCCCTGCAGCGGATTTTCAACACCTGCATCCTTGGAATACGACACAATAGACCCGACCCGACCCTGTGCCTGGCTCGGCCCTCTTTATTACCACCCTGACCTCCCATATACCCACCTGGGCACCCCTCCATTCGATTGCGTGAGTGTTTGACCCAGCTAGCGCCTCTTTCACCTTTCTTGGGCGGTATTTGAGTGCCTGCCTCGCCGCCTTCTTCTCTGCCTTCACCACTCCTTCTTCAACCACCCAACGCCCGCTTTTCTCCCGCTCTTCTACACAACTGCTATACACCAGTCGCAAATCTCGACTTCCCGCAGCTGCATCGAGGACAGGATCCCTTTGCGCACTCGCCTATACTCAACCAACAACCACTCGAGAAAGAAAAAGTTCAAATGTTCGTTGCTGCCACCTTGCTCTCACGTTGCTTTTCGCTGCCCGCTCCTTCTGGAGCCGCGGCGGCCTCGCTGCCCGCTTTCCTTTCGCCGCATTCTCACTCCGTCATGTCTTGAGCAAGTCTGTCATGTCCATTCCTTCTGCCATCTACATCATGTTGCGAGTCCAGTCTTGTCGTCTGCTGCCGGCAAAAGTGCGCCCATTGAGACTGTCTAGCTCCCTCACCCAAGCCATGTCGAAGCTCTTTATTGGGTAAGTGTCACCCCACCCAAGCCCAACCCGGCAGCTTCCAAGGTGGGAAATGTACCTGCTGACGCCACCCCTCACTTCAGAGGCCTAGCCTGGCACACGGATGATGCCACCCTGCGCCAAAAGTTCGAGGAGTTTGGCCAGGTCGAGGAGGCCGTGAGTGTTCCTCCCGAGGACATTACCTGTGGGACTGCTGCTCATGGGGGATACAGGTCGTTGTGAAGGACCGCGACACTGGCCGAAGCCGTGGATTCGGCTTCGTCCGGTACGCCCAGGAGAGCGAGGCCGACACCGCCATGCAGAACATGAACAACGTCGAGTACGTCTATTCCTTCCTTTACAGGACGATTCTCAAGCACAAGCACTTTTGTGCAAACTCATGCCGCATCCAACGAGCGGTTGTCTCAATACAAGGGTCTGACTGGCTCCAGGTTCGATGGTCGCATGATCCGCGTTGACAAGGCTTCCGATCGTGGTGCTGGTGGAGGTGGCCGTAGTGGCGGCGGCGGCGGCTACCAGTACAACAACCGTGGCGGCTATGGAGGTGGAGGTCAAGGTGCGTTGACAAGACGTCGCTCCCGCTTTTCCACCGCTAACCCAACGATAGGCGGAGGCTATGGTCGAGGCGGTAGGGCATCTCTTTGGCCGGAGCGCGAACACTACTAATCTCTACACACAGGCTACGGTGGCGGTGCCAGCTGGGGCCCCTCCAACGGCGGATACCCACCCCAGGGCCAGAGCGGTGGATACGGCGGCGGCTACGGACAACAAGGCCAGGGCCAGTGGTAGACTTCCATCGCCTCCTCGACGACCGTCCACGAACTTGAACTTCAAACAATGACGGCACGGTAACGAGAGCGAAGAGACAAGTCGAGAACGAGACGGGACATTTTTCACAATCTGCGCATTCGGGCTTAGACTTGCGGCATGTGCTGGTATAGGGCTGGCGCAAGCGACTCGATCGGCTGCTGCTACTGCGACTCTTTGAATGCTTTCTACTCCTTCTTTTCCGTACAGGATGGGCAGAAGATTGCCGCAAACTGCTGGGTTTGGTTCTCGGACAGATTGGTTGATTGATACCCATCTTTGAATCAGAGCAGCATGGTCTGCCTCTTGGAGCACTTCTGTATTTTCCAGCTCTCAGGCACTGCTAGACTTGTTTCTAACCAGTGACTGCTAACTTGCTGTCTCCCGATTGACAGATCTGCCGGTTCCAAGTCGCATCAGAAACGTGCACATGGGTTTTTCGCAAGGCAATCCCAAAACCCGGATCCCACTGATGTGTGCCAGATCTCCCAAAAAGGAAGCGATCGGCCGGACCCGGCTCACGCTATTTTCGTCTCCGCTGGTTGCAGCGCGCTGCGACCACGGCCATGCCCTTGCACCATCTTTCGGCTATTCTTCCCCAGAATCCCCCACAGTTCCGTAAGCCTTGGCATGCCTGGCTTGTAAACACCCGACTGCACCTCTTTTGCACCATCTCTAAGATCGAATCCTGCAGCCATTGGAAACACCGATGCACTGTGATGAAGAGTTCTGGGCAGAGGACGCGTCATTCCTGTCCTGGACCGACATGGGCGAGGCATGTGTGACACAAGTCCGTTGAATTCAACATATCGTCCAACAAAAAGAGATATATGTATGCAGTGCTGTGTGTTAATTCCTTCCTATCCACTCTCTCCGTTATGTAGTTTCTTCATTTACTTGCAATCTTTCAGCCTTTTGCAGGGTAGGTATCCTTTTTCGTGTTTGTTTTTCTTCTATCTCCTTGCCGTGTCCTGTCGATTTACTCTTTTTTGTAGTTTTCCCCTTTCTGCTCGCACGTCCTGCGTTGAATATCACATATATTCTCAGCACACAATGAGTTCTATAAGAGTCCCCCTAGTGTACATGGTTTTCCACTTTTATGTTCTTAGTAGCGTGTCGTTATTTCTGAGCTTGCTTCTTTCCCTCTCTCCTTCCTTCCCTAGACCTCGAATCCGTGCCTTTTGCGCAGTTACGATGGCCGCAGCGTCGCCGCGTCGCCGGTACAAGACAGCTGTAGCCCACAGCACCTGCAGTCGTTGCTACCGTTCTTGCCCGTTCAGGTGACGTTCGGTTTTGACTTCCTGTATCTATTCGCGCGGGATTCATAAGTCACCTTCACCTCCGCCTACTTGACACCTCAAACTCAACCCAATCCCAACGAACATTCATTTTTTAACGAACATCGTTACCATGGCGGCGACAGCTATGATGCCATTCCTAACTCCCTCGCTTTGTGCCAATACGAAACGGCTCGTTGACGGCAATGTGGAATTCTGCCGCGAGGCCGCAGGTCTCGCTTGTGGCGCTTGCAACTTGGTCCAGTACTGCTCAAAAGAGTGCCAGAAGGCGCACTGGCGCGAGCACAAAGGGCAGTGCAAATCCGACTTGATGCAGCCAGAATACGTGCCTGCTTGGGCTCGCGAAGGCCGGACCCCAAGCTTCATCGAAAATGACGAGACCCTGCCGATCGCTAGCTCTGGACAGAGGCGGTATCTCTGGGGAAACATGCCAGCTCTGGATATCATGAAGATGAAGGAGAACGAAGGACTCGGAGATCTCGGTCGAGACATCAGCCTCCTGTTCGCTGCCTCTGGAGACTGCAGAAACATCGTCAAGACCATTGTCGGCCTTCCCGAAGGATATACGGGCCAATGCACCGCGGTCCTGAACGACAGAGACTTTGCCGTCGTAGCGCGGAACGCCATCCTCCTCCTCTTAGCTCTTCGTCTTGACCCAGAGGCCAGCGCTCCGATGATGATACACCTGTGGTACTCTGCCCTCATACCCGCCATCATGCTGGATACCTTGCAGCGTGAGATTCTACCCTACATTGAAAACGTCTGTGCCAAAGTAAATGACAAGCCGGCCCACTCGCTCCAGGCGAAGACGTTCAAATTCCCAATGGGCTCCTTGCGTCTGCTTCTGAAAAAGGAGCAATGGTTTCGGCTTGCTTCCTTCTTCAAAGTTCCGGACGGTCTCACTTGTCACTCGGCCACAACACTTCGACGACAAACGACGCTCAACCCTGACAGGAAGGACAATCTCGACCGTATACTTTACTCATGGCCGCCCGGCCAACGCTTGGGATGTATGAAATTCAGAGCCGAAGGCATACTCCTGCCTTTTGGGAGTTCCACTCAGGAGTTCGATACGCCGAATCCGTAAGTCCTGTCGGCCCCTTGTCCCCTTACTCTCTTGCGCTAATACCGCTTGCCCAGAACGTTTTTCCAAAAACCGGGAGTGTGGCCCATGAAGGACGATGCGGATCCCCTCCGCGGTTGGCTGCACACAGACTATCTGCCATACGCTCCCATCGCCAAAGCCGACGTGTACGGAAGCCTGTTCTTCTTCCTCGGCGACCTGCTCCTCAAGTTCTGCAAGCGTGTCCGAAACACGCGCCTCTCGTTTCAGTTGTACAACGTGGATGTGCGAGAGCTGCCTAGCTACCTACGGCAGGACGGGAGAAAAGCCTTTGATCGCATCGAGGTATGTATGTCACACTCGCGCTCGCTCGCCTATGAGAGAGCTGCATCCGATTCAATAGAGTTTGTGCTACCGGGTTTTGCATGTTTCGATGTCTCATTTGAAGAGGAAAGGCATCTATGGAATTCTGCTAACGCCCGCTCCAGGTCGACAACATCTGCGACAGAGGCTACATCGGCCCCTCGACGACCGTCTCCCTCTTCGCGCTCCTCCTCCAACCAAAACCGCAAAACCCGCACGCCACCCTCATCCTCCTCTTTCAGACTGCAGTCCGCGAAACGGAACGGGCGCTCGGGCACGGCTACAAGGCCACCGATCTCCCTCGACGGTTGCAGCGCATGCGTAAACTCCTCGGCGACTGGCACACAAGAGACATGCTGCTTGGTAGCCTCGCCCGCCCAGACGCAGGGGAAGGAGAAGGCGAGACGGCGGCGGCAAAGTATAATCCGGAGCTCATCCGCATGGCGGATGTGCAAGACAGGTTTGGCGATTTTGACGGCTTGTTTGACATGTTCTGGAAGGGGGAGCGGATGGACGAGGTTCTGGCGGCGAATGGGGTGAGGGTGAGGGTCAGGAAGAGGGGCCGTGGGATTGTGGACCAGTGGCCGTATCGTGTTAGGCGGGGGATGACGAAGGAGGAGTTTGAAGTGTTGTGTAGGGTTGACGTGAGCGGGTCGGAGAGGTACGTGGAGGTGGAGAGGGTGGAGGCGAAATAGGGTTGTGGCGGATTGGCTTGCTTGTTCGTGTGCGAGGTGGATACATAATACAGGAGATAAGGCAGAAAACGACGACGACGGCGGCGACGACGAAGATACAGGGCATTACTACGATAGCAATATCATTACCCCTTGCATATTTCTTTGGGGGTTTTAAGCCCTAGTTTTATGAGGACAGCAATAGCATTCCGACCTCTTGTTGAAATCCGTGCGATGACAGATCAGAATAATGATGTACTGAATGACATATACATTGTGAGTGAGTGGCTTTGCACGGGTCTGTGATTCCGCTGGTTGGGGTGACGTTGGAAGCCGAGGAGAGGTAAAGAGTTATACTCGTGTCACGAAAACGGGATCTCGGGATTCCATGCCCCCAAAAGGAGACGGTCCAAGAACCATATCCAGAAAGCTGGAAACATTTCCGGAGCGAATGGATATTGATAACACAATGACCTACGAGGGTTGTGACAATACTGTGGTTGCCTCGGAGGTGAAGTTGAACTCCGCATGCCAAGAAAACGTGCGCCAAGCCAGAATCCGCGCGGCTCTCCGAACCTCAACCTCAAAAGGACGGCCGACCACCTCCAAACCCCAAACCCCAGGTCGCTTTCGGTTCCACGCAGTTCCCGCGGCGCCGATACAGAGAGCAGGTCGCCTGCCCTCCCGCCCATGGCGCCCGCCGCCACCATGGACGATGTGCCGGAGCCGGACACATCGACTGCATTTACCATATTGAAGCAGAAGGTGGAGCTTGACTTCAGCTTCTTCCCTCGCCGCGTCAAAGGGAAAACGACGATAGACATACAACCACAGGATGAACACCTGCGCTACATTCAGCTCAACTGCCGGCAGCTGGATATCACATCGGTTCGGGTTGGCAGCTACAATGCGACCAAGTCAACATACCACTGCGACCTGTACAAACGCCTGAATCTTCGGCCAGGTTCCGATATTCATCAGCATCACTTGGTCAAGAAGCGCCTTACAGATCATACTGATCTCAGAGAGCTGGAGCTGGAGATAACGGTACCGCCCGCGGTAAAGATCCGACGGATGAACCCTGAGGATGCGACAGCAGACCAGGTAGCCGCGACCACATTCGGAGGGGACGGAGAGAACTTGTACACACCGGTGAAGGTCGAGATTGAGTACGTCCTGGAAAATCCTCGGGATGGACTGCAGTTCGTGGGCGTGGAGGACGGCGATGCGAGGTATCCGCACGCATACACACGGAATTCGCCTTACCCCGGAACCGCATCCTGCTTGTTTCCTTGCGTGGATGACGGCAATACAAAGTGCATATTTGACATATCCGTCCGCTATCCACGGACTTTGGGCGATGTTTACGGGAAATCTGGACTTGCGGGCGCGCGTGCGAATGGGATTTCATTGTCAAGGTCACCGAAGGCCGACAGTGTCATGAGTGACGTGGATGAGGACATGGCAGACCTTACTGAAGAGGAGAAAACGCTGGAGATGTCAGTGATCTGCTCTGGAGAGCTTACGGATGATGTAGGTCAAGCGCTGTGCATCTTAGACTGCATACTGACGATGCTAGATATGCGATCCGAATGATCCTACACGGAAAACTGCAAGCTTTACATGTGCGGTCCCTGTCCTTCCACAGCACGTCGGCATCGCGGTGGGACCGTTTAATCATGTGGACCTATCCGAATACCGCGATACGCAAGATGACGAACGACTAGGCTCCAACGCAATCAGAGTGCATGCGTTCTGTCTCCCAGGGCGAGAGGACGAAGTGCGTAACAGTGCCATGATCCTCGCCAGGACTCTGGACAGTTTCACCGAAGTCTATCAAAGCTACCCTTTCGAAAAGGCATACAAACTTGCCTTCGTGGACGATCTAGACTACGACGTTGCTCACTCGGCATCATTTTCCATCTGTAGCTCCCGTCTTCTGTTTCCAGAGACGATATGGGAGCCATTGGAGAATACTACTCGTATTCTGGTTCACGCGGTGGCCAGCCAATGGATTGGAATCAATGTAACCCCGCAGCGACCCAGAGATCAATGGATCATTGTGGGGGCCTCCTGGTTCATGGCTGAGTTATATCTACGCGATCTGTTTGGGCGCAATGACCACCGGTTCCGGCAGAAAATGAACGTGGATAAGATTCTGAAACTTGACGTCAGACGTCCCTCGCTATCGATACTGGGGGAATATATGACCGTTGATCCAGGCGAGGCGGAGTTCATGGCGCTGAAGGCACCAATGGTTCTGGCTATTCTCCATAATAGACTTGTGAAGCAGAGCGGCCGGAATGGTGTGGACCGATGCTTGTGGCGCTTGCTGTTCAACGCACGTAACGAGAAACTACCCAACGGCATGATCACCACGGAAGGTTTCCAGGAGATCTGCGAGAAGGTAGGGCATCAGAAGCTCGGCACCTTTTTCCAACAGTGGGTGTACGGCTCAGGATGCCCGACGTTCGAATGTCACCCTGTCTTCAATAAAAAGAAGCAGGTCATCCAACTCACGATCAAGCAGACGCAGGCCGACCCGACACTGAGGCCCGAAGAGCGTCCTCTGAATGCCAACGACTTAGTGAGGGAGGGGAAAGAGAAGGCGAATGGTTTCCGTCCGAGCACGGAATGGCCAGCTTTCGTGGGACCAATGACTATACGAATCCATGAAGCAGATGGGACTCCATACGAGCACATCGTTGACATAAACTCGTCCACGGTGAAGGTTGAGATACCCTACAACACCAAATACAAGCGTCTCAAGAAAAGCCGTAGGGACAAGGAACGCCTCGCTGCCGCGGCTGGACTCGATACAACCGGTGACACCCAAGAAGATGCTATCATTTACATGCTCGGAGATCTGTTCGAGACGCGAGAGGAGATGCAAGAATGGCGAATCTCGGAATGGTCCCAGGAGGACGAGGCTAGGATGGATCAGGAGTTCTATGAGTGGATTCGAGTGGACGCCGACTTTGAATGGATATGCCGCACCAACATCAACGAGATGCCGGCTTACATGTATGTGTCGCAATTGCAGCAAGACAAAGATGTGATGGCGCAGGCAGAGGTAGGTCTTGAAGCATGTGCTATGGAACACACCGTTGACAGTTCTAGTCTATTCAATGGCTGGCCCTCAAGGAGGGTCACCCGCTTATATCCAGCATTCTCCTGAAGACATTGATGGATAGCCGCTACTTCCATGGCATCCGGACTATGGCCGCAAATGTCATTGCTAGCAGTGCGAGGAAACAGCTGGATTGGATAGGGTTCTTTCATTTGAAGAAGGCTTTCCAAGAGCTCTATTGCATTCCTGGGTCGCCGATGACACGCTCGAATGACTTTTCCGACCGCGCGGCATACATTATTCAATGCGCCATCCCCAAAGCGATTGCGAGGATAAAGGGTGCGGACGGTAAAGCGCCTATGTTCGTCAAGCGATTCCTTCTGGATCTCATCCGCTATAACGATAATCGTGGCAACGAGTACAGCGACGATTTCTATCTTTCCACTCTCATGCTCGCCCTGGCACAATCGCTCACCATCACGAGAACACATGATACGACCCATAGACCCCAGTTGAGTTTTCAGGAGGAGAACGAAGAATTCGAGTTTCTCAAGAAGGCTCTAGAAGAACTGGGTCGTCACCGACGCCTTGACGAATGGATCCCGACGTATCAGAACATTTACACCATCACAGGCCTAGAGTGCGCACTCATGCTGATGAAGAATCAAGTGACCCCGTTGAAGCCTTCAGAGTTTCTGCAGTATACGCGGCGGGTCAATGCAGACAATGTTCGGCTAAAGGCGTGGGATTGCTTGGTTCAAGTGGGCATGATCAAGAACGACAGCGTTGTGAAGTACATGATAAATGAGATCTCAACAGACAGATCTCCTTACTTCCGTGCGAACCTGTTACGCACGTTTGAAGTTGCTCTGGGGCAGGTTGCTTTGGGCGATGTCTTCAAGCTGGAAAGGATCGTGGCTCCCACTACAAGTTTGGTCATCGAACAAGAAGACGTTCTGCCCGATCGTGGAGAAGAGGTAGCACGACGCAAGCTGGAAGGCGCGCTGCGAGGGTTGAGAGCCGACCTGAGCGGTAACGAGACTCTCCGGGAGGCACTTACAAAGGCGCTACAGTCGACGACTCTTTCGGTACGGGACGTTGCGGAAGTGCTGGAGATATGCGCGATGCTGTACACTCCGGTCAATAAGGCGATGGTCGTTTTCAAGATACCCAAGTACTGGAAGGCGGAGCACCTGGGCAATGCGGTGATGCGTTTCTACCACTCGGATCGTTACCGCACGAAGCCGTCGAAACCGTACGGTAAACCGGAGGAGCAGCCTGCTGCGGCTGGCCCACCAAAGCTTCAGATAGCTCCGCCACAGGCACAGGAGGCTCCCGCCGCTCCAAAGCCCCTTGGTCTGAAGCTTAAGTTCAAAACATCATCGGCTACCGAACCGAAGCCGCCAACGGACACTCTTCGTCCTGCACCAGTAGTGCCAACACCGAAGCCAGCTGTATCACCAGGAACGACTCCCTCTGCTGCACCTACTCCCTCAATTCCCACCGTTGCACCTTCTGCCGCCTCTCACACTGTTCCTGCTTCCCGCCTAGTGGTTCCTCCTCAACCTACCACGACACTACCACCACCAGCATCCAAACCCGAACCAGCAGTATCCCCTAAACCCTCACCACCAGCGCCCAATCCAGCGCCCGCTTCTTCCACCCCGGCAGCACCGCCAGCCAAACCCGCAACGCCCGTCATCCGCTTGTCGAAACCCACGAGTAATACCAACGCTACCACCAGTAACAAACCCGCCAAACCCCAAAACTCCACCGTTGTCAATCACAACAACGCCGGCATGTCTTCGTCCTCGCCTCGACCCCGCAAAGTCGTCATCCTCCGCCTCCCACCGGCGCAACTCGCTCGCATGCGGGACTCGCCGAGCAATAACCGGCTCACTCCCCATGCGAGCAACACCGCTACGAATAGTATCGTCAATGGTGGACATAAGAGGAAAGCGGAGAATTCGCCAGAGGGGGCGGCGCAGCGTGGGCCTAAGAGGCAGGCTAGTGTTGAACCTCTTGGGTCTACCTCTGCCGCTGGTGGTGGTGGTGGTGGTGGTGGTGGTGTTAATGGGTTCAGTGCTGGAGGGGGAGGGAGTCGGATCGTGAGGTTGAGGATTGGGAGGGCGAATGCGGAGGTGTTGAGGGGGAGGGGTGTGGAGTAGTGGTGGTGATTTGGGTGATGAGGTGGGCTTTTGAGAGGGAGAGAGAGTTGGAGCGGGGTAAAGGGGCGGTCGATGTATTATATCGCTTTACGGGTTTCTTCGTTCCTTTCTTTTTTGGTTTACGAGGGCGTTTTTCTGGGGGCGTTGGTGGTAGGGGTCGGGGGCTCGGGGCTGGGGGTTGGGGATTGGCGGCGTTTTTCTACGGAAGATGTTGGAAAATTGCTTGGATTTTGCTTCTTTGAGGGGCGGTTGGGATCGGGATGCTTTTCTTTCGTCTTTGGAATTTGCATCAGCGATGGCGTTTTGATATTTCTTCTCTTCTTGGGCCTTTTTGCGCCTGCTCAATGATTGAGGATGGTGCGAGAGATGGTGCGGACGGGACGAGACGAGAGCTGTATTGGTAGCAGATCTTGGGAAGGGGAGGGGGGGGAGGGGAGGGCGCACCAACATTGACGAGGAGGCAGTCAAGGGAAGGACGGAAGGAGTCTGATACCCTGATAGATGAACAACTAGACTTCTGCGAATGTGAAGGTCCTCTTCACATAGATTACCTGGGCTGGTGTGCTACATGTTGTGTTGTGTTCGTCCCTTTGCCGCATTGAGTCTCGCGCTCAAGTGAACAAAAGGCAAGGGTAGTCACGTTACAGTGAATGAACTCCGATGTTGAACGTGCCCCACTGCCATCAAGGGCTGGCCTCAATATGAAGACCATATGAGATTGGGATATATCCTTTGATGGCCTCTGTGAGGGCCTCATATAGCCCGAGAAGTTCATATTACATCGGTCGTCCCTATGCTATATCTATCGTACATCGTTACAACCGTAGTCGAGTACAAAAAGGGTACAAAAGTGAGGAACAAGCAAACTACCGCTCAATCAATGCCAGGATGCAGTCATGAAATCGGGAAAGCGGCAAGAAAATGGTCGCATGACCAAAGTGTAGCCACGAGCCAAGAACGCCAGTTTCTGCTCCAAGGAAGAACAAAAGGAAAATGAGGAACTTTGGAGCAAGCATGGTATAGACAGGAAATGCCGTTGCTGTTGTGAAAAGGGGTGACGGCGCTTGTTCTACATCAAGGGGAATACGAGGTGCAAAGACAAGAAGATGAGGAAGAAAGAAGAGAGGAAGAGAAGCAATGCTCTGCTGCCGGGGAATGAAGAGAAGTACACGGTAGCGTCGCTGATGGGATTGCTCCATCCAGACGAGCGCTGATGGCTGAAAACGACAACAAACCAATGAGAACCGGTAAGCTAGGCTCAGGGAGCTCACTCTGGCTCCGTAGATCGCGCTCGGAATAGGCGAGAGACCGATCTTATCAGTCTCGCGGGGGTGTCCCAGGTATCTACACATCGTTCAGTCGACTCAGGGGCCGAAGTGGGTGTGGTGTTCTCACTGCTTTGCCTGTCCCGTTTCGTGCCGTTGACTTTGGGTGTGGCAGTTGACGCGGCTTGGTCTTGTTCACCCAACGCCTCGTCTTCCTCTGACTCTTCTTTCTGCTCTTCCACTCCCTCATCCTGCGGCCCCGTCTCGACCGCCTTTCCCGCTTTCTCACCATTCGTCCCTTCCCCACCTGATTCTTTGTTCAGCAGGGCCGGTTGGCTGGAAGAAACTCTTTCAATTCTCTCGCCGCAAGACAGACACACAACGAGCATGTTGCGTACAACCTTCTCTTTTCCCCGACGCTGATCCACAATGGTTATGCTCGGTCGTCCTTTGCTGATACTGAACTGAGCGGCGAATGCGGGTCTGGCGGGGCGGCCTCTGCGTTTTCTCTTCTTCGGGCTTGAATATGGCATGTTCGCATTCTGGCATGCAATTCTTACTGCATTTTTTTCGAGGCAAGAGGAATGTAACCAGGTGTTGCAGCCTTCGCAGTGGAGGAGTGGGATTTCTGGGTTAGCGGGAGTGTGGTCAATACAGTAGGTGTCAAGTTGCTGTGTAATCAAGTCAGCCAGAATGTGGACATGGTTCTGGTGAAGCATACCGAGAGCCTTTTCTTCCCGTCAGTGACATCGAGAGTCTGCCTCCAGTACAGCTCCTTCTCCGGATCAAAGTTGTTGTTCGCATTGTCCTCCCAATGATAGACGTCCACGCTGCACTCTATTGTTTGGGCTTCGATAACGGCCATGTCATTTGAAGCAATCAGCTCGTTCGTTCCGTGATATGGTTTGCGACCACCCGGGAGGTCTTCAGGACGGTACATCCAGTATATCCGTACGTAGACATGCGACGCGTCTCCCGCTCGTATTTCCAGTACCTTGCCGATCCACGTATCGATTGCCGCATTCCGTGCAGCATCGTTGCCGGGTCTGATGTGCACATAGGTGCCTATGGAGAATTCCTCCTCGTCGTCCTCATCTACCACTAGGTAAAGGTCAGGGCTCCTCCTGGTCCGCGCGACGGGGGGATATACTAACATATACACCTTCTGAGCCCCTTCAATTGAGTAGCTTCCCAGTAGCTTTTCGGCTCTACATTATAATAGACGTCGCCAAGGTCGGCCTCGGGAAAAGGATTGGGCTGCGATTTGAGAGGGTTTGCCTCGGTGTTGTCCCCATTATCACCGCGCAGCGTATCAATCAGTCTCCGCTTTTTCTTGACGGCGTGCGGTTGTCCCTCGGGAGATTTGCTGAGGTAGGTGATGCGGAAGCCATTTCGAAGCTCCTTTGAGCGCTCGGCCTCGGCCCAGAAGCGTGCGTCGGCTGCATCCAGGCTTTTTCTTGAGCGCTTCCTTTTCAATTTGCCGCTGCTGGAGGGCGCCGGTGTAGGTGGTGCAGGCTGTGAGGCCGATGCCGTGGAAGGAGCAGAAAGGCGCGCCATTCGTTGTTGGAAGAACAAGATTCCGGTGAGCGGCCTGCGGTGTGTGTTTCGCCCAAAGCAAAGCGGCGGGTCAAGCCGGAAACATGCAAGAAGTGTGTATCATGGACACCATCTGGAAGAGTGAACATCCATGGATTTGAACTGAACGCGTCGCGGGGAAAGGAAGCTTGGACCATGATTATCTTGGCGCGTTGTTCATCCACGTGATCTTAATCGTGAGATCCAAGCTTGGCAAACCAGATCTCTTGTCCTGCACTTGTTCTCCTGTGTGCTGGTGCTCATGCTCCCTCTTCTGCCCCTGCCCAGAGCTAGGGGGGACGGGAGCTTTGCACCGATGCCGCAAGGGGTAAATCTAGATATCTGCTGACTGATGATTGATGACTGATGTTGGCGGCTCTATTGTTAGGCCTCACTGATCAATCCCAGTAACACATTCCGCTCTGTTCCCTCGGCACCGGAATTGTATACACATTTCCTCATCCGTCAGCCTTCAGTCTCTCAAGCCATGCAGAGGTCTTGAGGGTGCTGAGGTCCCTTCGCGTTGGGCAACCACGGGCTCAGCCACATTGGCTGCATCATCAACCACCCTCCACCTTCATGACCTGCCCCTTTAGCAGCCCTCGGAGCGCGTTTCAAGCCGCCGGCCAGGTCCCTTTTGGTTGGCGCCCAGAGCTTTTACAGACGCATCGTCAGCGACAAGACGAACAGACTTGTGCTGGAAGAGGAACAGCACGCCGCGTGGACCCTAGCCCAATAACCCCCAAAACCACGCGCCAGCTCGGCTCTTCGCCTTTTAAATAATACGAAGAGACATTCGCTTCGGAGGACAGAGACATACGTCGCTTCTTCATCCCGCTGCGTCTCCTCCTCCCTCCCTCCCTCCCTTTGCGAGCACCGTTTCATTCGTTTCGTCCCAGATCTACTTGTACGTATGCGCTGCTATCTATTCGAGTTTGCTCGCCTATTCCTGTAAATAGCCCTGGACCTGGACTTCTCTCCACAGCTTTCGTCATCGGCGCACCCCTAGCGTCGCGCCCGGAGACGCTACCATCCACATAGAGGTACTCCATCGCCGGCCCTACTCATCATTCTCTTTCTTCTCCTCACTACTCCTCTCGCTTTATCGGCCTCTCACTCGCTGAACTCCCCCCCGATCCCGCACCCCGATCCCGCAGGCCCCCTCCATCTCTCCTCCCGCCGCAAACGTCCTGCGAACGCCCTTTCCGGGACTTCCGTCACTCGCACGTCGTCTTCTTGGGCCATCCCCACCCTCCCATCGCACACAAAGGCTCACCATACCTTACTTGGAGTCTTTGCTTGCTTCACCTTCGCCTGAGTGCTAGCAGCAGCCATGGTCCGTCCCAACCGGGTCCTGTCCTTCATGTCGGAATGGGGAGGCTCACGCTCCCCCCATCGCAAGACGGCTTCCCAAAATGGCCTGTCCCAGTCACCCGCCGCTCCTGCCTCGCCCATGGCAAAGCAGTCGCCGCCTCAAGCTTCCACCACTCCCGACCACTCCCTCTCCTCTACCGCTGTCGACAACGCAGAGACGCCGCCTCACAGCCCTTCCTGGCAGCAGCCCAAATCCGAATCCCGCCTCTCCTCGCGGCCCATGTCCATGATACAAACATACCATCCCCCGGTCATGGAGGTGTCGCAGGACACTCTGCCAGAGCTGCAGCGCATCTTCACCTTTCTCAATAGCCATTCCAACAAGCTGTACCAGGAGGGCTACTTCTTGAAGTTTCATGACACAGACGAGCGTACGTGGCACAGGCATACTTATTTTTGGCTGTTCCAGTCGCACTAACCAACGCTGCAGGCGGCCGTCCCGCCCAAGATCGTGTATGGCAAGAATGCTTCGCTCAGCTCGTAGGCACCATTCTGTCTCTATGGGATGCCAGCGAGCTGGACCAGTCCAATGGCAACGCCGAAGTGTTTCCAACCTTCATCAACCTCACAGACGCCGCAATCCACATGGTAGGTGCTTCTCTGGTGGCATGCTTGCATCCCTGTTAACCTTTCCTTAGATGCCGTCCATGGTTTTGAACGACGGTAAAAAGCTGGACAATGTGCTCAGTGTCTCCACAGCCGCCAGCAACAAATACCTTTTCCACTTCAATTCTTTTAATTCGCTAACACAGTGGACCGCTGGCATCCGTCTAGCCATGTATGAGCACACCACTCTCCAGGAAGCTTACACCGGCGCATTGATTGCAGGCAAGGGGAAGTCGCTGAACAACATCCGCATCATCCTCGACCGCCAGCGCGCAAAGCACGAGGACTGGGCCCGCGTACGTTTTGGAGCCGGTACCCCCTGGCGCCGATGCTGGTGCGTTGTCAGTCCACCAGATGCGAAGGAATATGCCAAGCTCCAGAAAGCTCAAAAGAAGACGAAGCCCTATAACCGGTCACCCCTTGTGCTCAAGGGTGATATCAAGTTCTACGACACGAAGAAAATCACAAAGAAGACGCGACCGATCGCCACCGTTACCGATGCCTATTCGTGTTATGCCATCTACCCTCAGTCCAAACCGCTCATCGATCAATCTACCCTTGTCAAGATTGAGGGCAAAATCACGGTACATGGAACTACAGACACCACTACCGAGGGCTTCGTTTTCGTCATGCCCGAGTCACACGCCGCAGTGTCCGGCTTCGAGATGATGCTTCGTTTCTTATTCCCTGTTTTCGACACCTTTGCGCTATACGGACGGCCGAACAAGTTGATCGCCGACGTGCTCGATACCCGCGGTTTAATGTTTGCTATGCCCCCCGATCGACGGTACGGCTATCTAGAGATGTGGGACGTTGTGGGCCTTATTCATACCGAAGGGAGCCAGAACTGGTCCGAGAGGCAGTGGCGGAAGCAGCTCAAGGAGCTCACCGCCAAGCGGATGCTGTCTGCTCCGTCCAGAACGTCTAGCCGTACCACTACTTACAGCAGGCGCAATAATCTCAGTCGGACTAGCTTACCCCCTAGCCGAGCCGGCACGTTGCGATTCGAGGAGCGGGGCTCCATCAATTCACAGCCACCAACACGCCAGCCCTCCCCTTCGCGGAATGAGTCTGAGCGTGGTCCTCCACAGCGTATGGAAACCGCACCTCCGTCAACGACACCCAAGCATCAGCGATCGGTCTCGGAAGCTATTGGATATAGGAAATATCAAGCTGACACGCCATCTCGCCTTTCGTACGAACTCAACGCAGACAGCCCTCCGCCCCCACCAGAACATCGCGAACTCCACTACCAGCTCGAGAACCAGGGTCATTATGGGCCCTCATACGGATCGGCCCCCGCCCCGGCACTGCCCGTTGGTCCAGTAGCCTCGCCCCCATCATTTACTCATGCACCGGGCCAGCGACCCTCTGTACCGCCGTACCAACCTCCTTCCACAATGAGACCGCATGCTCAGATCGACTCTACAACCCTTGATCAGTTAGCGGACGCTACTAACACTCCCATTCCAGCTGGAATTGCTGCTGCTGGTGCTGCGGCCGCTTGGCGAAGCCGCGACACCGCGAGACGAAGCGGCGAATTCGAGAGCAACGGAAGCCAGGTGTATCCCACTCCCAACGGCCGTGGCTATTCCGCTGACCAATATGCCAATGCTTCTCGTTCTGGACACTCCGGCAACCGGCTTCCTACAATCCCCGCTTCCCCCTACATCGAACAACCGGAATTCACGGAATCACCCACCACTTTCCATCCCACTGCCCCTCCGGTTCCTGAACACGCAGAACTATCCATGTCCCATCCCCCTCTCACCCATCGCTCTCATCCTGGAAGCACGGACGGGGCAGATGTCATACATCGCAAGCCAGTACCAGGTCGGTCATCAGCGTTGTCCCCAAACGGGGACGGTGATAATTATTCGACAAAAAGCTCAAGTATTGGTAGTTTACGAAACGCGGTGATCCACCCCGACGACCTCGACAGACTGGAGACGCTCCCCGATACTCCCCAGCCACTGAGTCGCTCCGACGAGGACAATATATCCACCTCAACTCCCGATTACGCCAGCACCCACAGCGAAGAAATCCAATCGCGAACACTGCCAGAGAGACGTGATGAGAGGCCCCGCAGCGTATTCCTCAAGAAGGTCGGCGATCCCAGTCTCAATCCCAAGCCGGAGGTGGTAGTGGGGGATGCTCACTACAGCCCTGAGACACGCCAACAAGATACAACTGAGATTCCTACTATCGATTTTGGCCCCACATATTCTCTCGACCCAGCCGGAAAGCGACCCGGAACCAGCGGAACCCTTACACAGGGTATGTTTTCCAAGTCAAAGGAAAACCTTGCCCCTTCGCCTCGTGAAACAGCAACACCACCTGGGCGAACAACACCCAACGCGGCTATGCATCTGCGACAGCTATCGGGCTCTTCGCAAACGAATGAGGAACGCACCATCGCCTGGCAGCCAGGTCTGGCATTCCAGCCCGCTCCGCCGAAGCCGAAGATGGACCCAGAGGAGTGGGTAGCGCAACGAGCAGCCGCAGCGGCTGCTCGACCAGGGACGTCTCCACTCTATGCTCATGGAAGGAGCAAGTCGCACACGCCGCCGCCTATGAATCGGGCCCGGTCAGGCGACTGGGCGCATCTACAGCGAACCCCAGAGGATATGCCTGCACGTCCACCAAGTCGCCCCTTGAGTCGGCCGCAGTCTCGGGGGGCGTTGAATCTGCTCGATCAACGTCCTGTATCTCTCTCTGCTCACGAGCAAGAGCAGGTGGCCCGCTTGACCGGAACCCCTCTCATCGATATGACGCACGCCCGCACCAAGTCACAACCCGCAACCGAAGGCTTGACTGCATACATTGACCAACGAGAGAGGCAGAAAGCGCATGCCAAAGCCAACCACAGCACGGCAGCGATGCAAGCTGAGATTGACAGGCGCATGATGGCAGCACAACAGCGGCAGATGCTGGAAATGCAGCAGATGGGACAGCAGGTCGCTATGGCGCAGGGTGGGTACGGTGCCCCGACAATGGGATTTTCTCCGCAAGCATACAGCCCAGGACTGACGTACTCCCCGGGTATGACGCCACCGGCCATGTTCCCCCAGCAAGGGTACTACCAGGCTCCTGTGTCGCCGGCGATGCCACCTGCGTGGGGTACTCCGAGTCCACAGCCAATGCAAGCCTCGTACTTCCCGGCGCAACAGCAACAACCTGTGCAGCAAAGATATCCCTCGCCACAGCCGCAGCAGCAGCCTTTTATACAGCCGTATGGAGCGAGCTTTGATCAGGCGCAGGCGGCGGCAAGGTATGCGCACCAGCAGGGTCAGCAGTTCCGCGGTGCTTGAGGAGCTGCCGAAGAGGGAGGATTTGGGGTAACGTTCTTTGGGTGTTGGAGAAATCTTTCGCTGTATATATATGATGAGATCTAGAAAATCTAATTCAATAGAGGTTTATGTGGTCACAAGGACGGGGAAAGTTGAGGTGGTGATGAAGGTGGTGATGTCTATAGTAATTGACGGTCTCTGGTTGTATCATGCATGGATGTATCTTGCATAAGGCCGAGGAGTGTCAGGGCTGGTAGACACGACGTTGTAAACGCATCTGAGAGCATTTTCGACACCATCTTCCTCGGCATAGACGAGCAAGGTGTTCGTTCATATATAGCTAATAGTGGAGTGCTCTACCATCTGATCATCCTCACCACCATCACCATCACCACATAAACATCGCCTCCAGGCCTCTTCTTCTTCTCCCCCATCACCCCCACTTGTCCTGTTTTCATTCACCTCTATGTGGTCCGTGGTAGTAAGGCATAGAGTTCTTTTCTTTTTTCCTTTTTTTTCTCTTTTTCGTTTTTGGAAGACGTGCTTCTAGTCATGTCTTGCATGGTACAGTGTTTTGTTCATTGAGTGAGCGGTTTAACGTTTTTTTGATCATTAGGTCCGGTAGCTGCGCGTGAGGCGCACATTCTTCTACTACTTCTTCTTTTTGTGTGGTTTGGGGATGAGGGGTGGGGGAATGCAGCGGGGTGGGCTCCCGGGGCTGGCAGCGAGGGGCATGCTCTTCTTCTTCTATTACTTCTGTTTTTGTATGGTTTCGGGATGGGGGAGTGGAGTGCCCATGGTCGACTGGAAATTCGGGTTTCTCAACTATGCATAATAGAAGGTACAGCCAGGTCTTCTTTCTTTTTGCTTGGTTTCCCTGTCGGCGGGGTGGGGTCACTCGCGGGCGACATAAACAAATCCAGGGGACCATTTTGGTTTGGAAATGGTGCCGCCCCGGAGGGAGGAGCCTTCCCCCGTTTTTCCATTCTATCTTTGTAGCTGCGATTTCTTTGAGGGTGAGGGTTAGGGGTGTTGGTCTTGGTGCCGATGTTGGGTATCTCGGTGTGTAATGTTGGCAGGGACTTTTTGGGTCCGAGGAGGGGTGGTAAGGAGATGGCACGCCTTTAAGGAGCATGGCTTTGGTTGTTTTGTTCTTTTTGGTGTGTGAAGGGTTTGTCAATGGGGAGGTGAGACATGTGGCAGCAAGATTTTGGTTTGAGGATGGGAATGCGTTGGGTAGTTTGCTTCCTTATGCAAAGAAGGAGCGGGAATTTTTTCGCTTTTCTTCTTTTTCCCCTTCTTCAAACAAGAACATTCAAGCGGAAGGTACTGTTTTTGAGACTCCTGGGCTCGTTATCAACATGGGACGTGCAGATAGGCCTCTTGCTAGCTCTGAATGGTTCGTGCAGGCTGCTTTTACATGTAGCTGCCGGAATCCTTTTTTCCTGGACGATCTGGCTGTCGATGCCGGCATCATGTTTCAGTCTGTTTTGGCTTGGAAACAGTGCGGGATGAGGAGAGTTTCCCATGTCGCGCAGATGGCAGAATTATGGCTTGTCGGGCTTCGCAGCCGCCGTCATCAGCCGGAAGATTTGGAGTTGGAGTTGTTCGGGTTGCTGATTAGTGTTTGGGGAGCTTGCTGCATAGAGAGGTCTGTCTAGCTCTTGAGGCCAACATACGGGAGCTCGAACACGTTTGGGGTTTGATATAAAAAAAACAGTGCAGGAGATTTGCTTTTCCATAAGCGAATGGAGCTCGGAATTTGCGTCTCTGAGTTCGGTGCCGACATGTCTGTGCAACTGACCTCTTTGGTTTGTAAGTGGTTGGCTTGTGGGCATGTGCCATTCTTCATGGTATTTGGCCGACTTGGTTTTCTGGTCTGCTGGTGTCGTGGGAGATATAGGCGTGAAGCTGAACTGTTTAGCTTGTAAAAGGTTGGCATCTGGGACATCTGCCACTCTCTGTTTCTCTCGGCGCCATCGGTGATGGGCTTCTGGTGTAGCTGGGAACATGAGCAGTTGAGCCCAAGTCTTTGGTTCATCAAGTTCGTGTAGTGATCGTTTTCTTTAAGGGATGTTAACAAGATGTGTTTATTCGGCTCGTCTTGTCCTGCCCCGCTACTCTTGCTGCCATGGTGCTTGTTCTGCTGCTATTCGAAGGTGTTGGTTGGGTAACTAGGTCGCTGGTCGATGGATCGCACATAGTTTTGTCCTTTGAAGATTTCAGTAGTTCGAGTTTCTGGTGTCGTGGTGTTGCGGGCATATCATGGGCAGAGCTGGGGCATCGAATAATCCTTTTCCTTTGACGTGAATGCCCATAAAAGGCAAGAAGACATTGTCTCAGCCACAAGCATTAGAGACTGCATGCGAATCATGTGTTCGTACTTCGGGATCTCACACCAGGCGAGGAGCGCTTTGAAATGACCAGGGAGAGTCCAACTCTTCCGTTCATGAATTTTTTGAATACGCGTTCTGTTTAGGGGATGTTAATGGGACTATTTCAGTCTGCCGGTTTTGTATGGTCCCGTTACTTTTGCTGCCATAGGGGTCGTTCTGGTGGTTTTCGAAAGTTTTGGTTGGGTAACTAGGTCGCTGGTCGAGGGATCTCACATGGCTTTTGCCTCCTGAAAATCTCAGTACAGTTGGCCGGAGCGAGCGTGAAATTCCATTTATGAATGCGCTTGAGGAATTGGTCGAGATGTTGGACATGTTCGTCCATGCTGTTGCTAAAATGTCGAAGTCGTCGATGTAGCATCTGGCGAACGGCATATGCTTCATGATCAGAGCCCCCAATCTCTGAACATCTGATGATGCACTAGATTCTTGAATCCTATGCTGCACATTTTTAGGATTTCCTGTCCGCGGTGTGTGTTGATGGAAAATTTGTACCGGTGGTCCGGGTGGATGAGAAACTGGAAGAAGTATGACAGTCCGTCGACTACTGTGATGTATGTAGTTTGCGTCTGCGAGGGATGCCTACATCGTCTTCCTAGACCTCTTTTTAAGAGTCAAGGGGCTATGAAGTAGGAGAGATAAGCTTTCTCAAACTTCAGCCGTTCTGAAGATATCTCTAGCTTTTGACGTTTTGCGCCAACATAGAACCAGAAGTTGCGGTTTTGGTTTGTCGGTTGCTCAAGCGATTTTCTTCCCATCAGATTCTGGTTAAGGCTTCTGTGTTGTTGCTCTCGTCTGTGAAGGATGGGATGCGTACATCGACCTCATCGACCTCCTTTTGTGAGTTGAAGGGGCCATGAAGTAGGAGAGATATTCTTTCCAAGACTCCAGCTATTCTAAGGGTGTTATTGCTTTTAGCGTTGGCGCCGACATAGTACCAAAGTCCTTACTTTTGTTTGTCGGCTGCTCATGGATTTGCTTCCCATCCAACACTCTTCCCTAACTTCGGTTTTGCTTCGCTTGTCCTGCCATGCGGCACACTTTATACGCTCGCGGCGCTTGGTTTTAGGAGTATATTTGGTCCTCCGGAAAAGAATCCATACTTGGTGCGATAGCGAGGTTTTTTGTCTGCAGCGGACACCCACACGTTCATACCAGTCGTCCTTTGGGGTTTAGAGGTCTCGGATGAAGAAGGTGGGGGAGATTGCTTTCCATACTGGGCCAGTGTTTATAATTGCCCGAGTGTAGTTCCCTAGCTTTGCCGCCAAGATAAGAGATAACAGTCATGGTTTACAGGTTCTGAAAGCTCATAGAGAATTGAGTGATTGATTCTGCCTGCCTGGCCTGTCGCGCACGTCATGAGCGAGAGCGAGGATGAGAATTTGTTTTGGGTATGAACTTATTCATAAAGGAACCGCGCATTTGGCTTTTTGCCTTTTTTATTTTTTGATCGTTGGTTGCGATGAGCGCGCACATTACAAATTCTCGGTCCAGTTTAACGGTCTTATTTAGTAGGAAAAGATCACTTTCGTGGAAAGAATGTTGGCCAGATTTTGTTTCCTGGCCTCGCGCCAGCATGGCGTCTCAGTTGGTGTTCTCTAAATTAGTTCGCAGATAGTTCGATGAGTTCGCCTGCTTCATAGCGTGAACCTGAGCTAACTTTGTTTGATCTGCTCGTCTCGCCTAGCAGCGCACATCTCGAGCGTAGCGGAGTAACAGTTTGTATCGTGTAGCTAGTCGTTTAGACAAGGGACGTTTCATGACACTTTTTTTGTGAAGGTTTCGTTGTCTGAGGATGACGCTCGCTCTTTACATCAAATTGTTCCCAGTATTCTGAAGGGTGAAAACTCGGAGGAGCGAGGTAGCTGTTCATTTATAGGAAGGCATCGTGATTTTTGTTCTGTTTCAGTCGTGGGCGACATGACAACGCTAGGCAGATATTTTGTTCGTCAATGGTCGAAAGAGTTTCGAAGTTCCGGGTTCTATCGCAGTGATTGGGACTTGCTGCTACAACGTCATGAAAGGGACGAATGCTGTTTGCTTCTCTCTTTCTTTTGACTAATCCTTTGTCTAGCGGTCTCACATGTTCCAATGCCTCACAGAATCTGAGTTCTTCGTCTTCGAGCAACCTCTCCATGGCCTTTCTTGTTTCGGATTTCGAAATAGGAGAGGAAATGTTTTTTAGGGCGTAACATCAGTGTGTTTGATTCCTAGTCCTAGAGCCTCGCCGTTGACATGATTGGAGAGCATGATGGTTTAGGTTCGTGCCCTTTCCAGGTTCGTTGCGCAGCCTACATGTAAGTAGTAGTTTCTTCAAGGTTGTATAACACCCCTTGCGGTTAAGTGACCTTATCATTGAGCTCCTCAAATTCTTTTCTTAGGGCTTGAGGATGAGATCATGGACATTGTATGTGTCGACTTTTAATTTCAACCGGAACTTCAAGTTGCTTTCTATAGGAGAAATGTGACTATTATTATTTCCTAGGCCGAGGGTTTTTATCGCGGACATAGTCGTAAAACGCGGTGGTTTATAGTTTGTAGAAGGTTGAACGGGTTTGGTCTTTTCTTTTGCACGGATGTAGACAGGATTTACTTCCTCTGCTAGTCCTGCTGCCATGCATTCGATCGATGTGGATGTTTTCTGTAAGCAAGTCCTTTTTGCAAACTGTCCCATACGAATGCTACCAATGCAATTTTCTAGTGTCGGAAGACGCCAACATGACAAGATGTTCAACATGTTCTCTGTCTTTCATAGTAATATCTCCAGGAAAGGGATACAGATCGTTCTCTATCAGTAAACTGAACATTCAGTTGTTGTCGCTGTTGCGTGCACATCTCAAATCTTTCCTTCGGTTTTCGGTGTACGAATTGGCGCAGCGCCATCAACCGTCTTCCTTTTTGTCGTAGTTCGCGAGCTTAGACCTGCACGATCTGGTTGCAGGTGGTTCTTGGCCTTGCAGTCCTTTCTAGTAGGAAAATTTGCCAACATAGCCCTTGTTTAATAGAGCATAGTGCTTTTCTTGACTGAGCGCCCAAACATATGGACCACCTACTACTGCTCTTGGGTCTTGTTCACCGTAAGACACGTTGTCTTCCATAAATTCGTCCATGTGAGAGTTGGTCCGTTTGCCCCAACACCCACATAGAGTCCCCTCGCTTCCGATTTTGAGTCTAGAAAACAGTGGAGCAACATGCAGCCAGCGGGTAACCACTTCTTTTGCCGCACTTTCCTCGTTTTATGGCGGATATGTTTCACTTCAGCGGATTTCGATGCATCGGACTCTGCAGCGACATTATGCGCAATCTTCAACTTTAGTTTTTCTCTGCTGGATTCATAAAACCAACTGAATATGCGCTGGGTTCTTATTAGGCTTCCTGGTCTTGCGCGCACATGCAACCTCGACGGTTGATTTTCGATGTCGGCTGTAGGACGGTGGGTAACATGCTGTCGGGTGGTCCAATTCCTTCCGCTGAAATCCTTGTTTTGCCGCGCACATTGTTGCCTCGTCTCTTAATTTATATGCATGGGACTAGAAAGAGGATATTCGGGTCTTAGGACCGATTGTTTTGTTTTGCGCGCCCGGAAGGAACGCAAATGATTGCGTCCCACTCTTCTTTGAAGTTCTAGTCGGCAGCGGACAGACGGCTTTTCGTAGAGCCACACTTTAGTCTCTTTAGTTCTGAAGCCTTGACGTACACATCGTCCTTTGCTTTGTCTCTTTAGACATTAGGCAAACAGAGCAAAAACATCGTCATTGTCGAAATCCTTCTGCCCTGCTCTCTCGCTCCAAAGTGGACATGATCTTGCTTCCCCGCTTTACATTTCGTGTAGGAAGCTTCGCATGAACTACTCTAGTTCTGCATCATGGTCTTTTTCGTTGATGGCCTCGACGGCCCGACATCAGTCGCTCCTTCTAATCTTTGGAGTTTGGACTAGTGTAAGAGAGACCATTCTCTTCTCATAAAGCTAAGTGTATTCCTGGCGGCGACCTGCACATTGTCTTGTTGTGGAGATCCTTCTTTTATGCGGACCTAACACCTTGTGCAACGCAGTACAACCCAACTCGATTATTTCCCGTAATTCCAAGCTAGAGTCGGACACGTGCATCCAGGTTGACTTAACGATTTTCGTCGTTTCTAAAGACCGATGCCTGCATCCTCTCCCTCTATGCTTGTTCGAGGCGGTGAATAGAGTGTGACACATTTCGTTCTTTAAACTCGAGCTGATAGGGATTTGTCGACTTTCGAGGGCTTGATACCCATGATATCGTAGGCATGTTTTCATTTTTGACACAGCAAATCACCCAGCGCCAGAATTACTTTTCCTATGACTCTGGGATGTGACAGTGTCCCCGAGTCTTTTCACGGTTCGAGCAGCAAATACGCACCCAGGTTTGACTTGCTGCATTGGAAACCGAAGGGGAGAAAAAGACCTGACATTGAAGTGGTTGACAATCTTATTTTGGCACCGTGACAGGCGCATTATAGTTTCGTCTGCGACTTCCGCTGTTGGATGTAGTGCGACAACATTGCATCCTGGGCTTGTTGTATCTTTTGAGTCTCGAGCGCCGGCTACATTTTCTGATTTCCCTACGATTTTAGAGATTGCAATTAGGGCAAAGGCATTGTAGGCGGTTATCCGAGCGATAATGTTTTCGCCATCTTGCCGGACTAGGTATATAACGAGCGCCCTTTTTTGGCTTTAGTGGTTGGAAAGAGTGCAACGCACATAAGGATATCCTGATTCGTAAACCTCATGGGGGGAACGTTTAGGTTAAGACGTTTTCCGGGTACTAGGGTGAGTTTTTCAGATCATAGACTCTGATCAAATTCTTCATAGTGTTAGGGGAAAGAAAAACGGGGGAGCATGTATAGTAGGAGATCGATATTGCGGAATCGAGTCTCCCTGTTCCATATACTCCCAATTCGAGATGCTTTCGGTTGCATGGTCCCGAAGCGCATAGATTATCTGTGCACCCTGTTTGCTAATTGCAGTAACGGTAGTTTTGCATGTTTGTGTGTTGCTGCTGTCTAAAGAGAAAGGAGAGAAGGTTGCATATCGCTTCTCCATGTAAATTTTGGACGATACTTCCGCATCACACACAGCAACGGGAGTGCTGGTCCTGACTGGTGCAACGTGATTGTCATTGTCGGTGTTTACGGCGATTTGAAGACCTCGTAGCTTCGGCCGCTTGGATTTGTAGAGTGGAGGAAACAGAGACGGGGAGGGAAGGGAAGGGAGTCTAGGAAGTCATTCTCTTTCGCCAAGCTTAACAGACTATCAAGTAGAAACTGTAGATCACAGTCCCTCCATGCGAGCAGCAGGCGAGTATTTGATTAAAGCAGTCCAACTGGCATTGTCGGAAATTGAACCGACTTTCTAGGTGGCATGACTCACCCCTTTCTCCCTAAGCGATTCATAGTATCTAGAGGACTGTGAAGAAGGCATTTGCATGCAAAAACAGTAACATTGTTACCACAACAACGTTTGTGGAAAGCGCTCTTCCTATCGGGATTTAGAGAACCGCTCCTTAGGTTCGAAGAGAACGTGTCAAATCCAGAACCAGTTTCTAAGATCCTAGGGTTGTAATTCGGTGTCTCTTATGGTGTCCACGGATATAGGAGGCGGAGGTGCATTAATTCTAAAGGACCTTGGATTGCGGAACACAGGCCCGACATACTCCGTCAGAATTGATTTTTAGGTTGTAGTATGTCAAGCACATATAGGAAGCATATTAGAAGTTTTCGAGGATTTTATTACTCTCTACCCAGTGCGTCTCCGATGTCAGGGAGAAGGAAAGGGAGCATGTGCAAGGAAAGTAAGTCCCAATATCCAGTGAACGAACCAATTTTAGTAAGATTAGTCGGCTCGATAGACGCTGTAAAAGTATTGCCTACTTTTTCATGTAGTGTAGCCTTAAGGCTTGTGGACTTATAGTGTGCGGCGAATTTAAAGTCTCATTTTACGACACGAGCCGATATTACAGAAGGAAATCCCTAATTGAGGTGAAGGTGTATGGGTTCTAGTTGTAACCGCCTTATAATAGATCTCTGGTGGTGTAGATTGGTGTATTGTGATGATCTTATAACTTTCGCTCCGTAAATCTTAAAGTTCGATGCAAGGAAAGCGGAAGTGCATAGAATAAACATCTAGGCACCTATCGCACAACCAGTGCGCAATATCATTTTTAGCTTTCGACAATGAGCGTTTTAGTTCTTATCGCGGTGGCATTTTATCTCCTTGATGGTCATAAGACGTGGCTAGGTGAAGTGGTCTAGACGGGGACGATGCGGGCCGGAAGAAGAGGTCCAGATTGCTGGATCGGGGCTTCAACATCCAACGGCTGTGATGCGCTTTAGGCTCTGCTGTAATCCGGGCGACATCTAGCCTACACATGGCGAACGTATGCACCGGATTTCACACAAAACATGTACGAACTGCGGGCGCCTTTCGTATATCGACTTGCCACAGCGGCGAGAGAGGTTGTCTACATTGGATTGTCGATTGGACGATTCAGGTTAGTGGGTCGCCTGGGGGCTGAGTCGAGTTGCGTCCCATAAGGAGTGTGGCATAGTGTTTTTCATTTCTCTCTCAGGCATTATGTCTCATTAATAAATCGGTCGGTGGAACTTCATAGAGGAGAGTGGGTGCAAGTGCTCATACCAGGCAATATTAGATCCAAATTTTGAGTTCTTTGGTTTCCATCCTTTGCAGTCGAGCCAACTTATCCATGTTCATATTTTTGCAAAGTTTTCGCACACATCGGAACTGAATCTTGGCTGAATAAGAGGAGGAGGGACGCCGGGAGCGCGGAAAAAGGAGTAGAGACATGCCATAGGTCGGACATATTTCATTGGCTATATTTTTGTGTCCATATTTCTTAAGTTCAACTCGTCCAGTGCACCGTTCTCCTTCGCTTGTTAAGTCTGTAGTGGGGCCATGAAAAGACGCCTGTGTAGCAATGCAGTCGCCGAACTGGCTTTTCCCATCTCCATAGCGAACAGAATTTTCCGTTCCAGTGCACATCCCCCTCGCACATAGCCACGCGTTCCGTTTTCCTGAAAGACACATGTAGCTTCTTTGAGCTCTTTATAAGAACTTATAAAAGTATATGTACTCAATTGTGTTTTAGAGCAGAGGAGCATCCGGTTCCAGTGATTTTATACATCTCTTACACCTGACATGAGCTAGTCTTTTCGCGAATATTGAGGTGCATGATTGAGCCCATGTGCGGCTTTGCACAATGCCCGCAGTGTTATAAAGTATAAGATTACAGCATAATAAAAGCTGTGTGCCCCTCACAGACAGTTTTTGTTTCTGGTGTTGAGCCTCGCATACGTGCAGGTTGTTTGCACTCCGCTTTTAAGAACATAACATATTCTTTGAGCCATCTTTTAGGTATTCCGACCGCAGCGTGTCTAACTTTTTCGGTAACAGCGCGGAGAGATCCAATGCAATTGAACCTATCTAGTGGATAGTTTAGGTCGAGGAAATAGTGGGTGGAGATGAGTGTTGAGCCATCTAAGGGCAGTAACATGATGACCAAGCCCTCTTTTCAGGTTGTCGAGAAAACTGAAAATAGGCTGAAGGCGTTACGACAATGTTAAAGTGCAAAAACGTCGGTCCGTCTGGAGGAAATGGGTTATACTTCTATTACTTAACCAAGCAAACGAAGAGCTGCCAGGATAGATAAAAGAGCTAGGGCACCGCATAGATATGCAGTCCTTCTGTGCACTCTGAACGTAGTGTTCCCCAAACAACGTAAGCCTCTCCTGAGAGTGGCATATATCTTCCATATTTGGATTTGGTGAAGTCCTCTCCACGTCATCAAAAGTAACGGGTATAGGTTGGATTCTAAAAGCGCCGCACAAGCAGAATCTAGTCCTTCGGCCGATTGCAACCCTTGCTCTCTGAGGTTTGGTGGGGCATCCTTGGACCGTAGGGTAGAAAGCATGAGTACATGCTAGACGATAAGACAATATCCCGTAATTAAGTGATTCAATTGTAAGTGGCTGTGAGAGTGGTTGTTCGATGGTAATACGAGTGCAAGGCAACTTTTGCAATCATTAGACTTTGAAGGATGATTTATCGCTAGGGGCCGGTGCCTCCAACCTGGCAATGAAGGAGTACGAGGGGGGCCACAGTAACCAAATATCCAGAAAATTGACCGGTCAGGCACATTCCCTCGAATCAATCCTATAGTCATATGATTCAAACGAAGTTGGCAGTGCTGTGGTACCGCCTAACCAGGGACTAGTTTACCGAATATTTACAGTCGTTGGGCTACTTTTGGAAAGCCGGTCCATGATCTTTCCATTTGAGAATCGCATCTTCTGGGCATTGCTTAACTAGGCTGCACGTGCTCTCATATCTCATATCGCCGTCGTTTAAAGTTTAGAGCATGACTACGGTCCGAAGTAATCGCAAAATCAGAAGGCTAAAAGCAATGAAGCATGCTTGGTACGGCCATAATCTATTACAGCTTTCAGTCCGATGGTATGTTCTTTGGAGTCGCGACCTGTTTTGGCGAAGTAAAAGCATCTGAAGGTGTTGGAGGCTTTAGTTCTTGTGGGACCGTTGTTTAGCGATCCTTGCATGCTCCCTTGAATCGATACATGTACACCGGTGAACTCTGACCAGACGCGCTTCGGCCTTGGACCCTTGCCTAGGCAAACACTAGCCTCGCAGGATGCCTCGGGTAACTACTTAATACACAGTACTGGTAGACGGCCCCCTTACTCCCTGCTCAGCCTCGCCCTAATAACGGTTATGCGGCACAGGATCGCACAGACCACCAACAGAAACCACCATACATATATATACCGCGTTGCTGTAGGCTGCCCTAGAGTGCGGTCGTATGCGCTCGCAACTAAGACATCACGGTCCTATGTAGCAGCCCTCGCCTCACAATGATTCTCTCGGCCTCTATACTGTCTATCATGATTGCCGCCGCGGTTATTGCACAAGAGCCAACACAAATTCCTCCTGCAGGACCTGGGGATCCAACGAACACCCAGAAGATTGACCAAGATACGCTAGCGCAGTCTGATGGCACCGTGGCACCGTTGTCCACCGGTCTCACGACCTCTTACTCACATCTGTTGTTCCCAACGGCATCTGTGGTTGTGACAGAACTACGCAGTTCGCCTACACCACTTTCCGATCTATTATCCGACGATGATTATGGTTCGGTTCGCATCTTGGGTTGGACATACCGCATAGACGGTAATAGTCCATATAACCCATTTTGTACGTGCGCAATGCCTAAACTCTTGACAAGAATTAGGTATATCCCTTCCAGATCTCGCACACTAACACCGCTGTTAACAGGGGCCCCGATGACCTATGCAGCTGAATATACCACTTATTCCACATCTAGCCGCTTTTTCGAGTTGTGTACCCAGAAAACCTGGGATTCAACAGGAGACAAATTCACGTTTAAGGAACCTTGCATCCCTATATATACCGAGTGTGGAGGAGGGTGGATCAGAGGCCCTTCAACGTCAAAGCCTTGGTACGAGAGAGAGTCATACCATCGATTCCCAACTGGATTACAACAGCTAACTCATTCTCGAATAGCGAAACTGCTGAAGCATCGCATAAATCATCAACTGATCAAGATATCCTCCAGTACCGTCTTACTTCGTCGTGTATCACCGACCTCCTCTATTCTACGTACGGCGCTTGGGACCCTCTTTCGAGGATCAGGTGCGAACGGCCCGACCTTGCGGGTGCTAGCCCTAACACAATATACAGAATGAGCCCTACAGGTAAGACATGCAAATAATTCTCACATCATCAAGTCCCGATTCTTCATCTCTCTATTGCCGATGCTGCACAATACCAGAGCTAACATCCATCATAGAGAAGCCTACAATAAACTACGAACCTTCATATTCCCCGCAATCCGGTAGCAACGATAAAGACTCCCCACCTCTTGGAGTCTACATAGGAGTCCCATTAGGCCTCCTGGCTGCCGCTCTGATCGCACTCCAGATATTACTCTGGAAAAGGAAGCGACAGGCGGAGAGAGTCACGGCTGCAAACGCTGGCGAAGAGGCAGAGACAGCCAGAAATTCCGAGGACTTGCCCAAATACACCGGCCCCGTTGCAGTTCCGGATCCGGTTGTGCTTCCAGATCATCGGATAGGAGACGACGACATGTCTGTTCGAAGCACGGATCCGCCGCCGTATGCCCCTTGAGCGAAAGCTCCAATATTGGGCCGTGGAAGGCGGAGTACTGCTTGGATCATGGAATGGAAGTTCCCGCTCCATGATCGTAGTCGCAAAGGGAAATGATAATGGCGAAGTTGAATGTATTTTTGTAGCTGTCGGCTACGCTTCTTTCTTACTCTGTAATGATTAAAGTAATTGACACCCTCGAGGTGGCCATGGGCGAGAATTTGGCTAAGACCACCTCCATGAGATTGTTCCCTTCGGTTTCCGCGCTAGGCAGAACCTGAGTCCAATAATGTGTGCAACATCCAGGAGATGTGGTTAGTATTTCATGAGTGTACGTTCCAACAATGATAACGAGTATCATTACTATCCCAATTCTGCAATACAGCGACATGTGCTGAAACATCTCCTCGATTTGACTAGACTAGCTAACGCTAGGCGGAGAAAATCGATATAAGCCTTGTCGGACACTACCATTCGTTTCCCACACAACAGCGGCTTATCTTCGAAAACGGAAAATTCAGATGACAATGGCCTATGTGTCTCTTGCGAGAGTGAAACTTTGCAATGGAAGGGCTCCATCTGTTTTTAACTGGCCTAAACTGTGGGGGTAAAAGTGCAGCAAGAATTGTTATCACCATCATCACTAGGCTCCAACCGACTCGAACAGAATAATACCCATGTAATGATTTTATGTAGATGGTAGCACCAACGCGGTTGAGACTGTCGAAATGCATCCAATTATAAGAACGCCATATGCCACCCATTTTGATACTCCCCCCACCATTTCCCCGCTTTTTGTTTTCTTTGAAAGAGTTCTGAGCGCCAATTCACGAGTAAAATCGTCAAGAATCTCGACAGATGTGAATGAATTCCAGGCAAGAGACTGCATGATTACCCATATGTGGTTCGTGATATGCTTCATTGAATCGCTCCCACTGCAATCCTTCTTTGCAATGGCTTGAGGATACCGTTCAGCACTACCGATTTGTCAAACCAGTAACGAGACGTGGTGATATCGGTACTGCATATCTTATTGACTTTGTGCTTGCTATATATTCTCATAATAATGCTGATATGCGTCGAGGTTTTACCAAATCTTCTTCGAGCATCGCAGCTAGCTACTATGCCCAACATGTGCGTGAGATACCACATGAATTAGATTTCCCTGAATCTTCTCTGTTGTCTACACTTAATGCCGCAGAAGGACATGGGGCCAATGCTAGCACAAACACGCCACCGACCTACTGTATATAAAGCCCTTCTACCTTCCCCTATTTACACCTAGAATAAAGCACTTTGCATCCTCATCGAAAAGGCAGACAGTGATCGCGCTATGTCCGCGTGACTTGGAATCAAAAACTCATAGAGTGGTTATGTGTACTTCATCATTCCACCATACTGTAATCCATTCTGCTTTTTTCCATTATGAGACAAGTCCGCAATGATAACCACCACCACCACCATCACCAACCCCCTCCCTCTCTCCTCCTCACCAATCATCAACCTCACCATAGAACCTCCTCGCCCAAATATTCATCCCCACCTTCTCCCCACTCTTCACCTCCAACCCCGCATGCACCAACCTCTGATCCCCCCTCCCCTCCCCATCCAAATTCACCCAAAACACCGCATTCCCAGTAATCGGCGTAAACCTCACCCCTTTCCTCTTCCTCCCCTCACCAACTCCACCATCATCATCATCACCACCACCACCACCACCACCAACCGGCCCCACAGCCATCCTCCCCTCCCACTTCCCATCCCCCACCACACCCCCATCCACCTCCACAAGCGGAAAATACGTCTCCCCACCCGTACACGTATCCCTGAGGAACACAAAAAAGCTAATCGGTCGATTCATCAACTTGCCTTTTCCCTTTCCATCTTTCAGCACCTGGTGCGTGGGCCAGAAATCCGTGTGGAGGTCGTACTTCTCGCCGGGTCTGTATTTCACCAGTTGCGGCGTCGCGAAGGGTTCGTCGGGGAGCATGGAGCCGCCGAGGAAGGCGCGGGCGCGCGAGAGGATGCAGGTGACGAGGGGGTGGTCTTGGGGGAGGGGCGCGGAGGAGGAGGTGCGGCCTGAGACGCGGACGTTGGCGCCTGTGTGGGCGCGGGAGATGAAGGAGGGGGCGAAGTCGGGTTCGCTATAGAGTGTTAGAACGGTAGTGGAGTAGAGATTGTAGAGGAGAAGAGAGTGGTGTAGAGTTGGTAGAAGACGGAGAGGAGTGGAAAGGATGGCATACCCAATGTTGATGAGTTCCTCTGCTTCGGCCGCGCTGGTGAAGTTGTTGATGTATATGACGAGCGGATCCAAGGAGACAATTTCAGTGGTGTAGGTGTGCGTGTAACAAGCTTCGAGCAGCGATTGATTTGACGGTGTAGCTTGCGCTTGTTCCGATGTTTGAAGATGGGATGAGGAGAAGTAGGTTTGCAATCTCACTGGAAGCAAGTGCTGGATACTGGATTGTAGCATAACGACGGGAAGCGCGAGAGGCAGTGCGAAAAGCAGCGTCTTGGGGCCGAAGCTAGCCTGACAATACAGTGAGCTGCCAATGTTCTGTGTTTGGAATGGGGTATTCACTATGAGCTCACCATCCTCGGCCTCGCCATCGAAGCTTTCCCGTGCCGCGGCTTTGCCATCTTGTCCCAGCCCACGCAAAGTGTAAGACCGCGAACGCTTCACTCCAGCAATTCCAAGCCCCTTCTATTTCTCTACCCTTATCTATCAATGCTGTCCTCCCCTCCCTGACTTCGGCGCATCAATCATTCCCATATACATTGCCCAGCTAAAATAGGAACATCCCATTGGCTCCTGCACCAAAAGCGGTAACCCCAACTTCACTCATATTGACTTGCTAGTGCAGCTTCATTTCTGAGTCGCGTGGTAGAAATCTGGGGTAATATCTGCAGCGGGGAATCCTTGTCGATGGGGAACGTAGTGCAACCCCAACCCGTTCACATGTCCTTCTGTACGGCTTCCGTGCTTAAATGAGGTAGAATTAGATGCAAAAGTAAGCATAATCCAGGGTTTGGACGGAACGGAACGATAATCCATCTGTAATGTACATACACGTTTCACAGCTGCCTAGTGATACCATCTTCTCCCCTACGCATTGAAATGCCACCTGGGATGCCTATCTCCCTGCTTCAAATCCTCATCGGTATCATGGAAACCCCTCGTCTCCGGATGCGCAGCCAGATACTCCTCCTTCTGCTTGTTCTGCTTGGCCAGAATATACCACAGCGTGCTGACAACAACAATATTCATGACAAGATATCCCAGTGCAAAGCAGTGCCCAAGAACATACCGCGGTGCCGTCTTAGGACGATACAACTGCGTGCCTAACACAGCCCCCAGGTTACCGATGCTGATTTGCATGGCGTTGGCGGTGGCGCGCTTGGTCTGACCGGAGACGTTGATGGCGGGCCAGGAGAGGACGAGGGCAACGCTGGGGTAGATGCCAATGGCAGCGAAGAAGGTGCCTACGTATGAGACTCCGGGCTTCTTGCTGGGATGCTCGTTGGTGAGGAGGATGATGTAGCCGATGATGGCGACACTGGAGGTTATGATGATGAAGAGAGCGCGGCGCTGGTATTTCTCGGACAAGATAGCCCAGAAGACGGTGAAGATGGTCGCCACGGCATAAGGTGGGATGGTGAGCAATTGAGATTGAGCAGAGGTATAACCCATATCCTTGATTATGGTCGGCTATAACGCGGTTAGCTGAAATCCTTGAGAGATATTCAACGGACACGTACCAGAAAAAGAGATAGAGTATAGAGGGGCAAGCTCATAGTGTGGAAGCCCAAGCCATATAGCCAGCATTTGATGTCCTTGAAAGTGACCCAAACGTCGGCCCAAGTGAACTTCTCGTCGTTGGTTGAGTCACTGTCGGCTCTAAGCCTGGCCTGGATGAAAGAACGCTCCTTGTCGGACAGCCAGCTGACGCTTTCCGGGTAGTTGGAGATGAACCAGTAAGCGATGACGGCAATAACGATGGTCAATAGTCCCTCCTGCAGTCGTGTTAGACTAGAATGTAGTGGGTAACGCCGCATATCCTCACCAGTATGAAGATCCATCGCCAACCCGCGTAGCCTCCAACGTGCCGCATATGTGCGATACCCCAAGCAAGAATACCACCAAAGGCTCCAGCAAGAGAGGCGCAACTGAAAAAGAGCGAGATACGGTATTGGCGTTCGTTGCGCTTGTACCACATGGAGAGATAGTAGACGACACCAGGGAACAGGCCGGACTCAGTTACACCCAAGCTAAGCTGGTGAGCAAAGTTCCCGTCGTGGAAAACTCAAGGCTGGTACTAACAAGAAACGAACCACAAAGAAACCAGCGAGGTTTTTCGTAACACCCATGAGGGTAGCTACCACTCCCCATGCTATTGTTAACGTGGGAAGCCAGAACTTGGGCGTTGTTCGCTTGAGGATAATGTTGCAGGGAATCTGATTATTGTGAATATTCGTCCGGTCAAGTGGGATTCCGTGGACTGACTTCAAAGAGAACGTAACCGATGAAATAAAGCGTCAAACCAGTGAGGTACTGATTGCCGGTCATGTGCAAGTCGGTTGTGAGTCCCTCAATTCTCGCATTGGCCACTACATACAAGCTGTTAGACAACATTGATGGGATGGAGTTAGGCTCGTACCATTGCTGCGATCAAGAAAGGAGAGCAGATATAAGATAGACACAGCGGGTAGAAGCCGCAGATCGAGCTTCCTCAAGAGTCTGCTCTCATTGACCCCATCGACGGCGGTATATTCGATATCAGAGTCTGGGTTTGTAGAAGCGCCGGGTCCCTCCAACTTGGAGGCTTCATAATCCGTAGCCATAGCACTGGGATTCGGAAGGAAGCAGGAGGAACAGAGGGACCAGTGACGAAACTACTACAGTGCTGCATTGTGGAAAATATAGCGGATTCAAGCACACAGAGAGCAGCCTTGACAAGAGGAATGATGCAAGAACGTGGCCGTCGCCCACAAGCCTGGGTCTTGAAGCCACGGCAGCAAGCTTCCGGGGAGAATGACAAGCCGTGATTGGGCTGAATCCAAGAATCTCGCCTTACAAGAGCACAACCAGGAACGGCGTTGTAGCGTTTTTGGTGCGGAAGTCCCTGGTCGCATTGCGCGAGGTGATGTTAGTGGTTGATATACGGCATCGAGGGGTGCGATGTCGCGATCTCGGATCCGCATTTGGCGACGAGCAGGCGGTTCGCCGTCAAAAAGTGAACCAAGAAAAAGGACAGTGGCGAATAACCGACTCCGGGATTCCTGCGAATTGAAGAGAAATCGAGCTGGCCGAGCAAGTCCAGACTCTTGGGTCGTGCGGAGGTAGACTACTTACAGGCTTCGCGGCGTAGCCAGATGCATGTAGCTATAGATGGAATCATAGAGAACCGGGATAGATAGATAGATACCACAGTAGGCTTGGGCACGGGGCCCCCACGATAGATCGTGAATGTCGGCGGAGAACCCCATCCTCACCTTGCATGTGTTCGTCATGGCGATTCTCCGGAACTGAAGGTTTTCTGCCTTGAATAGGAGTGGTGCAGGACGATATGCCGTCGAATTTATCGCAAGGGATTAGGTGAGGGAAACAGAGAGCACTTGGCAAACCACGAAGCAGCAGCGAAGTTGAATGAAATATGTGGTATCCATTGATATGATTACCCAGAGCATAACCAATTCAACGACACGATGATATCAATGCCGTGAACAAAAGGCGTACATCTGCGGTTCGGTTCCCAAACATCACCACGTTCGAGCCCAAACAGACGATGCCCAGCTCAGATATCGACACGTCTGATGCAAGCGCCTTCAACCCAGACGCCTATTCTTTGGTCCCAAATTCGATAGGAAACTGATAGAAGGTGAGTCCGGTATGTTCTACTTTAGAGGAGTGGAGTCAAAGGTACTGACCGTGGTAGAGGGTAGAGAAGCGTACGACGGCGGACCTTAGTCCTCGTTGGCGCCCTCCATCTCCTCGCCGTCAAGAGCGGTCTCATCGGCTTCAGAGGTCAGCGAAACAGTTAAACGTACGTTGGGAGTTGCCTTACCGTCCTCTGCCTCCGTCTTCATCTTGGTGGCCTTGCCTTTCTTTTTAGGAGAGGACTCGCCATCGACCTCTTGTTTCTTGGGAGCACGCTTGCGCGGCGTCTTGGTTGGCGTTCCTGGAGCGGAGTCGTTGCCATTGGCCTTCTTCTTGGGGGTGGCTTTGGCCTTCGGAGTTGCGACGATACCCTCTTGAGCATGTAACTTGTGCTTGATCTTGGCCCAGGCGTTGGACGCGGAACGCGGGTTGGTCATGCCCGTCGCTTCAGCAAGTTTGTCGTAGTCGATCTTTAGGACGCGTGTCAGCACGACTCAGCATGACGAAGAGTAGGGCTCGGTATTTTGGTCAAGCTCACCTCTGGGGTACCAGATTTGAGGCAGAACCACGCCTTGGACATGATCTGCATCTCGCGCTCCGTGAAAGTGGCGGTGGAGGTGGCTCCGCCATCGCTGGCTTTGTCAGACATGTCGAAGTGATGATGGATAGATCGAGGCTTGACGTAGGCGCAAGAGAATATGCAGGTGAGATAAGAAGTGGTGCATGTAACGCGGGTGCAATGCGCGGAGATGTGTGGAGGAGGAAAGGTTGGAGAGAAGGCGGAGGTGAGTTCAAATAGAAGTGGGTAGCGCACGGACGACGATGGTAGGAAGTGAGAGTGAAAGTGAAAGTTTGACCAGAGATAAGCGATGTGCAAAACAAGTGTGCGGTGTGCGGTGACGACGGGTGAGACGACGGTGAAAGCCAGGCATCACCTCACCTGTGCACCCCAACAAGAATGCGCCCCGGCTGTGGGCACCGTCAACCACAGCAATGCGGCCTGAAGTGAGGCTCCGGGCTACAGCTGAAAACAGTAGTCCCAGTGGTGTGTCTCCACAGTTACTGCTCTTCAACCATTGACTGTATGGCTTCGAGGGTACGATGACCGCAGGAAAGCCTAGATAGAGGTCAGCTGAATGGTGTACATACTTCTCGCTCTAGTAAAATACTCAAGTGGTTTTCCGTGTTCCTCACTCACCGAACAGGGGAAGTCAGCAACAGCTATTCACCAAGACATAATCTAGGTACGAGGAGCGAGGAGCGCATCATCTCGTATGGTAGGCAATGGATACCCAGTAATATCTGCCCCTTATGCATCCTAATCCTGACTTTGCGCAGCATATGCCATCACTGGTCCACTGCTGCCTTCTCCGCGAATTTCTCGAATTGCATCGTCTTGGGCAGTAAAACACCCAAACGTGGAACCGAAATTTGTCTGCAGCACAGCTCGCCCCAATGACACAGATACGGTGGTAGGAAATTGGAGACAGAAGCAGGAAGATGCAGTATGCACTGGGAGAAATACAGCAACTCTAGCTGATGGACAGGGAAAAGTGACAGGACTGCTCCGGAGACCAGAGACTGAAGAGTATGCTAATGAGGCCAAACACACAATGATACATATACGACAAGGAGCTGGTTGACGTATTATGATAGAATATTCGTGGAGGTAGCAGATGGCAATGCAATCAGCCCATCAAGGGCAACCATTAATTGATATGCTGCGGCTAGTCGCTCGATGTGGTATATCTGGCCGACCGATCACCGGCCGATGCTATTGATCATCTCTCTCTGCGTGGCTCTATCCCTGTTCGTCTGACTCAACGGCGGGATACCTAGGAAGTCGGTCAGCGAGAAGCGTCTGCCGCGTCTTTTCCTGATTTCCATACTTCTTAAATCTCCCACGACGTCCTTTGCTTTGCCGAAGTACACTTCTTGTAGTAGGTTGCGCATCTTCAGTTCCATGTCTTCGACCATCTTGCCGATGTTGGCGACGTGGGAGGAGTCATCTTCAACAGCCATGTCTTGCTCGACCTGGCGCACCATGTTGCCGGAGAGGTCGAGAGCGCCTAACGCGTCCGAATCTGTGCCGAGTGACAGGATTACGGTGGAAGTAAGCTTGTAGTGGGCGGTGCGGGCACGATCTTGGGCGTCAAAGACGTGTATGCTGTCCCAGCTGCCGGAGCTTTTGGGAGAAGGTGAAACCGCTATGAATTCGTGTCAGCGCGAGGACGATTGAGTTTCAACTGGACATACACTTCTTCAGGAGCACACATCCCGCAAAACCGTCGTCCATATCCCATAGATAGACGCTTGATATACCACCTTCGAAGTACCTGCCAAGGTCAGCATATACTGCCTGCGTTTCTCTGGAGTATTGCCCCCCGGGAGACTTACAGCTCCCTGTACACATCAAAGGCTTCATTAGCCTTGATCTCCATTTTCCTAATGCGGTCGCTAGGTGTGACACCCTCCCCCTCGTCTACGGGAGGCTCGAACTCATTGCTCCACGGACTCCTCCAGCTATCTCCGTCTCGATTGTAATCGCAGCATAGAAAGTCACGCTTCGTTTTCGAGCACTTCTTCACGGCGAGGGGTATATCGACCGACTCAAGGAGGTCTTCGGTCAGATCTGGGTTCAGGCTTATGAGGTGGTCTACGTTCTGCTTGACGTCCTTTGGATTCAGGCGACGCAGGAGGTCCCTTCAACCCGGTTAGCTGACATTGAATGCCCGGTGGGTAGTTTTCGCTTACAGTGCACTGTCTATCGGGTCGGCCATAGTGGTTAATGTGTGTTGGGCTGTGGGCATGCGAAATCTGGCGTCTGATGAGATGCGGAGTGAGGTTGAAACACGACCGTGCCCCTCCAGGACAGCTTCATGATCCGACGGTCCGTGCGTCTCGCGCGCACCATCCATGTCTTGATGATCGGTTTTGCCCAGGCCGTAAAGGTAGAGAGGTGGATAGAGAGGTTGAGAATAAAAGATATGCGTTTAAAATCCCCATCGGCATGTTGGAAGGTCTTGCCCTCAGTTTGCAACTGTTTGTGTTTGCGATGTTGCCAACTGCTCTTTCTGTTTACCTTACTTAAGCTCCAGCTTTCACTCCTCTATGGTCATGTAATGTACCAGCACACCCACACCACAACAACACTTTGAGTCCGCATGTCTGCTTCCGTGCTGCCAGGTAACAAATCTATATGAAGTTAAAAAAAGTTACGGCTTGTGCATCGGCATGCATATTCTTGAGGCACGCAAAGGACAATCGAGATGCCCAAAGGAGCAAGGCGCCCGCTTGCTGACATAATCAGAGTCCCTTAACCGCCCACGTATAACCAACCTCCACTTCGCGACCACCTGTCCCACCTGCAATTCTCATGTCATGCCCAGTCTGTTATAAAAAGCATCGAGTTTCCTTTTTCCATTGAAGATATCTCCCTTGTCAACACTACGCGCAGAGCCCAAGAAAAAGATGGCTCACTTCGGCACTGAACTGATGGGTGGTGTTCAACTTTCATCCCTCTTCGTCTCTAGCTTCCCACACCCGCTTTTTGATCCACCTTGCGCCGGTGCTACATATTATTTTCTTTTTCGCCATGGCCGGGAGCCTATCCCCAATATCAGCGCGCCCTTGCTGGCCGGCTGTACCTCTTCTTCACCCGGCAATACTGAGGTGGCAGCCTCGGCATCCGTCCATTTTCTCCGGGCGGTTTCATATACAACGTTGCACAATCTCAACTTAACTCTTGCCCCGCCTAGCCATTCAATTCCCCAGATCTTGCAGCCGCACCCATCCATGGTATCATTTGAATTATATTAAGCTAAACTTGCTTGCCAATCTGCATGATTGCCGCAGGGATCCATTAGGGCCCACCAGTAGCACGTCTTACCAAGTGCCCGTCAAAAGTATATCTATATTCCAATTTACGCAGGGACAAGCTCTAGGTAATCTACCACAGCTAGGCCTGGCAGGACCGTCCAAGTTTCAACCCACGACTCCGAATACGAATATCTTCCATTCACCTGAGTTGAGGCGGATACGGCAGGCTATATCGGCGGGCTGATATTGTATCCTGCGACTGCTGATCTATATCAAGATAATGACCTGATGCATGCTGATGCGTCCGCTCGAGAGGCAACCCGTACTGCCATATTTCGACTTGTTTGATATAAAAGCTGACCGATGGTTCGAAACATTGCGCCGCCAGTATGAGAGTCGAGGAAGTCGCGACCCAGCATCGCCGCTAATTTAGAGACTTGTCGCTCCGGATGGTGACTCAACAGTGTTCCCCACGACTCGACGATCCACGCATCATACCTCCAGGATGAGGGTCTTTTATGCTTTGCCCTTCCTGAACCTCTTTTCAGTCTGTCTGACACAGGACATCAACAATGCCGTGGCCTCCGGGACCGTCTCACAGATTCCTAGCGCACTTCCCACACCAGTCGACCCCTCCTGGCGCCACAATCGTACCAGGCAACGAAAGCACGTCCACGACTTCTTCAAGCTCTTTGGATGGCTACGACATAACGACACCATCAAAGATCATGACTTCCCAGCGGCAATACGGCGGATTCAACGAATCCTGCATGAGCCAGAAACTGGAGAGTATGACGAGAAAATGGAGGTAGTGATGAGCAGGCCTCGCTGTGGTACTATTCAACCATTCAATGCAACGGATGCTCGCATGCCCGACGGTGGAACATTGCGGAAAAGATACGTGTTGTGGGGACCGAAATGGAACAGCGCAACTGTTACGTATCGCTTTCTGAACTACACTTCCGACATTGCTGCCGACCTACAAAGAGAGACTCTTAGGTATGTAGCATTTCTCACCGTGCTCCCTTCACATATCTGCATACTAACTATCTCGAAGGAAAGCATTTGCGCAATGGAACCAATACCTTCCCATATCTATCGTCCCGGCAAGTGACAACATACCCCGTGCTGACATACACGTTCGCTTCATGACGATGGGTCCCGATGAACCAGCATATGCCTTTACGAACATGATAGCCGACGGTCTTACCATGTCGTCAGGCCTTATCAACATCACTTTCAATGATTACTATACTTGGGCCGATGATCGCCTCTTCAGCTTCACGGCTCTTCACGAGATCGGTCATGCTCTTGGCTTGTCCCATAGCAAGGTCGAAGATGCCGTCATGTGGCCCTACTTTGAAGGGATCGTGCGACCTATGCATCCCGACGACAAAGCTGCGATCCATAGCCTCTACGGATGGAAGGAGCCTAGATGGAACCGGATAGACATGAATACAGCCACCAAGAACATCGCCCAGGTGTCATCGTTCGCAGACAGCCCATCCGCTCTGGACGGCCTGTATCAACTTCGATCAACAGGCCAAGTCTTGTTTTACAGTTCCAGTGGTACCTGGGTCACCGTCGACAACAACAGGGATACGGTTCAGATCTCTGGAGCCGGCGGTAATCTTTACCAGCGGCATGCTGATGGCAGCATCTATCGCTACAGCGGAAGCGGTACCCAGTGGCAGTACATAGGCGCACCATCTGACAATGTCGCTGACATTGTTGCTGCGTCCGATCAGATATATCAAAGACGAAAAGACGGGTGGATTGCACGCTGGACTGGGTCAGGGACGCAGTGGACGACCATCGAACAGCCTCGCAGCTCAAAGCAGATTGCCGTTACTGATAACAGGACCATATGGAACCTTCTCACAACAGGCGACTTGGTGCGGTCCGAGTGGCCGTATGGTGTCGGTTGGACTGTTGTCGACATCAATTCTGCCAATACCCAGATCGCGGTGGGCGGTGATGAGTTCTATAAGCTGGAGGGCAGCAAGGTCGTATGGCTCGACACGTCCATTTATATGTGGGTGATTATCGAGAATGCAGGATCTGTTTATATCTATGCTGCAGGTGATTATCTGTACAGCAGGCACTATGATGGAAGCACCTGGCGCTATACTGGTACGCCAATGGTGTGGGAGATGCTGGACAACAGCCAAAATATTGCGAGCGTTATTGGAGACCGGAGCGGTAATGTATGGGAGCTGAAGGGAGGCGGAGATATACTGAGGTTGGTCTCCTGAGGTCATCAAGAGTACCCTAAGTGTATCTTTGGCGCAGGTATTCCGTACGCGAGGAAATGTAAGTGGATTGTCCACAGGAAAAGTATCTCAATCGTAGTCTGTGACATGTTACATGGTATGCCCAATTCCTTTCGCGATGCAACGGAGATACTAAGATGGCCACACCACTATCTCCACCCGATGCCCGCGTGGGCAAGCCCCACCGGCGTTAAGCCCTTCAGGGCTGGCGCAGGACGCTTAGTAATAGTCCCAAGGTTCACTCAGTTTCGACTCTAGTCGAATTCGTTCCTAGATCAACTCTACTCCAAATTCACTCCATCCAAAGTTGGCTTGGGCTCATAAGAGCACCCAAGCATCGTGCAGTACCATGCTACTCTCCTGAATGCGACGCTCACATTCGTTTGTGTTGACGAGAAAATGAGTCACGCCAGATCATGGAACAATTGCAACGACGAATCATAAACCAACATAAACGAACATGTTGAACGGGCAAGTTTTAACCACACCCGCATCCGTTACTAAGAGGAAGCAAGCTTGCAGGAGCTGCAGACATCGAAAGAAGCGATGTGACGTACGACGGTCGACCGCCATCTCAAGCGCTGCTAACTGGTGGCAGAGTGCACGACCATCCTGTTCTCTCTGTCGGAAATGGGGCCTCCAATGTGAATACACCGTTGCAATATCTGATCGACAAGAAACATATAATATGCTGGTCCAGTTTGGAGGGACATTTCGTGATGACCAGTCAGGCGTGGCCGCAAGCATTGGACAACCGAGTACACTGGACTTCACGCAATGCCCTGGCACGGACTTCCTCCTTACATCGACCGATATGATGCCCAACTTGGATCCACAACCAATCGGATATCCTACTCCAATGTCGGCCGACCTAGATGCTGTTGCGCCAGAATACCCGCTGGACAAAGGAAGACCTGCCGAATTGCTAACAGACTTGAACATGCCGCCTAGTCTACCGTCTAAAGATTCATTGATTGAGCTGACTGTTCTCTTATTTGACCATCTTTACGACGAGTTCCCATGTTTCCATCGATCCGGCCTCCTGCAAAGCATCCAAGGTGATGAGCTCCAGGAGAAAGCGCCGTCGTTTCTGTATGCTATATGCACAGTTGCATCACATTACCATCATGACCCAGATATCCGCAGCAAGCAGCGAGAATGGTACGAATTAGCAAAGATCGAATACGACGTTTCTCCCCGATATCCGCAGTCCGCTCTCCGTACTCTACAGACGGCTATCCTAATCTGCTTCCATGGACAAACCATAGGAGACTTCTCTGCTAGTTGGCTTTGCATTGGAAAGGCCTGGAGGCAAGCTTGTGCCCTTGGTTTGAACCGTATGGACGCTGGCCATGGCGTTGACAACGGTATCGCAGAATGCTACCCTCTGACAGCGCTCCAGAAATATGAAAGAGAAGAGGTTCGAAGAACGCTTTGGATGCTCTATGTCTTGGACAGAAACCACTCTTGGCCAACCGGATGGCCAACTGCAATCGACGATCGGCAGTTTAAGGTTGATATACCTATTGCTGACGAGCTGTTCCAGGCCATGGCAACAGAGGTAAGACTCTTCCCGTACCATTTCGTCAAGATTGTAATATAAACATACTGAACATTTCAGTGCACGGACGATACAGTGCAACCCACGCCCTTCTCCTGGAAGTTGGACCCCCTCATCTCATCCTCCCCGCCAGCCTCTCCTTTAAACGTCTTCCATTACATTTGTGTTGCCTATGTTCTCCTGGGAAATGTCTCCGACCAAATTCACTCGCTCCATTCACCCCCCGACTCACCCGAGTACGCCCAGGAATGCGAAGAGCTAGACTCAATGATCGTAAAATTCCGGCTTACTCTTCCTCGTCAACTTACATCCATTCTTCAATCACCTCCAAAGTCTCGAAGCCATGTCATTTGGCTCAATGTCATCCTCAATGCTATGGCCATCATCCTCCACTACCGCTGCGCTTCTCTGAGTTCCGAATCCGATGCACAGGACCAATTCACTCGCGCCGTTATTGCCGCCAAGAACACTGCATCATTGATAAGAGACGCATCTCGCATCTCCATCGACCTGCTTCTTAATCCGCACATCTGCAGCGCTCTCACACTGACCGCTTCCGTCTTGATAATTCACTGGCGCCTGGAAGCGGATGACAGTGTTAAAACTGACATTGATATCATCAAGCTCGTCATTGAGAGATTCGAAGAAAAGTTCTCGTTCCTGGGCCTGAAGTTCCGATTGGCACTAGAGAGGGACCTGGGGAGGGACAGAGAGGGTATACTAGATTTGAGAGACCGAGGACTGAAAGGATTTCTTGCAGACTGCTCTAAGTGGAGCTTTGTCAAGGAGAAGGCTTTGGAAATGGGAGTGGTAGTCACCTGATCTTAAAGAGATATCACCGTGGGTGCTGAACGAGGCGCTATAACTTCAAGAGCAGAAGCAGCATTAGAGAAGGACTCAGGAAGAAGGAACGTCTTGCACGTTACGAACCAGAGAACTGGCGTACGAAAAACCAACCACGCCACAGACAACTCCCTGTTCCACTCAGGCATCATGCCAGCCTATACAAAACACCCACGGTCGACCGTTACGCGACCCCTCCCACGGCTTCCCCAATCTAATCCTTCAACAACCTCCCCCCATTCGTCTCCGCCCTCGTCCCCGTCGCAAACCCATCCCTCATAAACCACGCATACGCCTCAGCAGCATCCTCGGGCCTGCCAATCCTTCCCGTCAACGTTAGCCTCTTCCAAAGGTCGTTCTTCACATCCTCCCCCAGATTCCCCGTCGCTCCCCTCAATAACTCCGTGTCTATTGCCCCAGGCGAGACAGTGTTCACTCTTATCGGCGCCAAATCGACCGCGAGGCCGCGCGCGAGCCCTTCGATGGCGGCGCCAGAGGCAGCAACCACGGCCCACCCGGGACGGGGCTTCTGTACGTTTACACCGGCGGTCAGCGTGAGACTGCTGTCAGGCGACTGTGGCATGTATTTGCCCGTCGAGAGGAGTTTGGCGATGATGACGGGCGCGGCGAAGCGCACGTGGAACGCCGGGTATATCTGGTCGAAGGTGATTTCCGGGATGGAGGCAATGCGGAGGGCGTCCCCGGCGGTGAAAGCTACATGGTTGACTTTGTTTTGTCCGCCGTTGGTCACTTTTTCAAAGAACTCCTTCAGGTTTTCTTCCAGATTCTGCGTGTCGGCGAGATTGAGGGCGTAGCCGGTGACACGCTCGGCCGGGAGGGAAGGATATATGGAGCGGAGGAGGGCGACTTTGGAGTCTACTTTTTCCTGCGTCGAGCCGGAGATGGTGACGCGCGCGTTGTTGGACAGGGCGAGCGAGGCAACGGCGAAGCCGATGCCGGAGGTTCCGCCGAAGACGAGGATGTGTGCGTTTTTGAGACGGTTGGGATGGGCCATTTTGGACTGAAGATAGAGGGTATGCTGCTGGTAGAGTGGTACTGTGCAAAATGTGGATGTTGGAATAGATGGATCCTTGGAGCGAAGGAAGGCTGGAAGTAGACCCTTTGGAAGTGGATGGTGTTCTGATTGTTCTGTGATGCCGTCTATTCGACTTCTCAATGCCTCCTTATATACCATCTCTCCTCCCCATCTGAAATCGACCCCGTCCTATGCGGCCCGCCCTCGATCCCGCTCATCCCGCTCAACCCACGAAGACTCTGTGCTCATGTCCCCGACGCCGCCTTTCGTCCCCGACATCCCCGCTTCCACTTCCAGCCCATATTCCTCAATTAGTAAGCCCTCAAAAAGAATCTTGGATAGGCGGACGAAGTCTTCAAAGGAGCGGGCGGGAGCGGGCACGCTAATGCATGAGCGGGGAGATCATCTTGGCGTGTGGCTTGGAATAGATCGTGTGGCTGGCGTGGCTCGTCACTTGCGCGGGAGGGGAATGCCGGTGTGATGTTCCCCGAGCAGGCCAAATAAATGAACATGCAAAGAGATCTACAGCCATCTGAGTGGAGCATCGGTGTTGCGTTTCTGCTACGTTTGGGGATGGGAAGCGCAAGAGGTGGATTGGACGGGTGATCACGAACCATCTTCCTAACAGTGTACTTCACTGCATTAGATGAAGCTTGAGGACAGATGGGAGGTCCAAGCTATGTAGATACGCAGAAGCGGACATGAAGCCTGCTACTAAGTGACGTTCCAAAGTGTATAAACCGGGTTGTGTTTAACAAGTGTAAATGTAACAGCGCGTTTTACACTACCTAGGACACATTTGTGCCTTACAATGTAAAGGGGAGAAACAACACTTAGCTACGAAATATGTATCTCAGTGTGATTAATAAAATGCCTAGGATGCATTTGGGTCGAAGGTGCAAAGCAATAACACCGACAGGGGATTACAAACTGTCTCCTCCGCAGTTTTATATCCTTACCCCAGCGACCGTCTTGACCGGAGCACGAAAGCGATTGAGGTGCCATAGGCTCCGCAACCGTGCATCTAAGAAGGCGCACTGCGACAGTAGGCTACCTTTGCAGTTTCAAAGACGAGGGCTCCAAAACGATACACTCGGCACAAGATTCGAACCCAACTACATCCCGAACAACAAAGACAATTTGAAATAGTTGTATTTCCCTAGTCTTGCTCTCCGAACGTCCGCGCCCACAGTATAACGAACATACTTATCACGACAGCACGGGCATCTTCCTCGTTCTGAATAAGTGGTCCATACTTGCCCGCCCAATCCTCATCGACGGTGGTTAGTCGAGATTCCTATTTCGACGGTCCCGCGGTTTGGGTATCAACAGGCGAGTCTTCACTCTTGGGAGATCCGCTCGTTTGCTCCTCAACCGGTTCCACAGATTGGGTGTTGACGCCAGGCGCGTCGTCTGCGTTGGCTTTGCCCTGTGCTTTCCCCTTCTTCCTCTTGTTCCGCTTCTTGCCTTTCTTCTTTGGCGTTGGGATAGTCTCCTTGCCATTGCCGCTTGGAAGGCCGTCCGCCATGTTGTCGCTGGTGGGAGTAGGGACACGAGGTGTCGGACTGCTGGCCTCACCACCAGCTTGAGTGCCAGCAACTCTAGTGGCGTGCTGTGCAGGTTGAGCCATCGGTGAATTCGGATGAATCGTAGCGATGCTAGCCTCAGAGGCTTCCTCGGTGGCCACCTCAGCGGCGTCCTCAGTGGCTCCCTGGGTCATCACATCCTCCGGCTCGGAGACGAGGAGATCCTCTCCTGCAGTCGGAATCAGAACCGATTTGGCCTCCCCTAAGAAATTTTCTATGTATTGGAGATCCATCCTCTTCTTGGAAAGTCGTAGTAAAGTAGTAGCATCCCAATTGGTCGGGGAACGCTCCTGACTATCAACCAACTGCCGTTGATCATGGAGTTTTGCTTGAGTATATTCCCACCTCTGCTCTGCATGCGAGCACGCATGCCACTCTCCCTTTTCGAGGTAGGCGATGCTGTCACAGGGAAAGCAATAATCATGGTGCAAGAGTCTCTCCACCACCGTTCTTATGTTGCCACAATGCCTGTGCTTGTAAGAAGACGAGATCCCTAAGGTAATCGCGAAGGTGTGCGAGCACTTACCCAACTCTTAATGGCTCCTCATGGATGGTCTCGCCATTCAGCTTCTCTAGGATAGTGTGGCGGCCGGTGCCCTCAGTTACCAGCATCAATACCTGGACGGTAGCGCTTCGATGATCCCGATCTTGATCTGCGGCTACGAAGATCGCGTACTTGATGTTATAATTGGACCCGTTCACTTTGGGATTGCGACGTGGGTGTTGCGGGTCTGGAATTTCGGGGCCGGGTACGGTGCTTGCTGGCAGTGTCATATGGAGAAGGGACGCCATCTTTACCCGAAAGAATTGCGATGTGATGTCATCGTGGTATGGATAGTTCGACCTGACAACGACGTGAATTTTAAACCCTTCGAAAGCGTTGCAGTCCCATTCGAGATGCACGGGCATTTTTGCGATAGCGATGATGGGTTAAGGATAGATGAAGAAAGTAACGAAAGTCCGACCACAAGAGTCGGGTTGATGATATTGCTGGTGAGTGATTGAAAGAGATTAGGATTTGAAAGGGAGTATCGATCAAATCTCCTAGCGGAGTGGCTCCTGATTTTGAACTGCGGTGGGAAGTCGTGATCGGATGGAAGCTAACATCGGCCCGTATTTAGAAGGAATGAAGTTGTCACCGTCTTAGCGAAACACCGCTCGATGCATGTGGATTGGCGATCGTGCCCTTTCCAGCACGCGGGCCGCAACGGCGATGGCTTCCTCTGGCAGGCCGGCGACCCTGGCCACTTTGAGCGCATGGCTGTGACGGTTGACCCCCTTCCTCAACCGATGGATGTAAGAGAACTTTCCGTCCGGCCCCTCGGCGACGTCGTTGCAATAGCAGGCCAGTTTTTCAAACCCTTCCGTCATGTCAGCGAGCACATGAAAGTGAGTCGCGAACAATGTTCTGCATTGGATGACGTGGTACAGGTGGTGTAGGCATGCGTATCCCACAGCAATGCCATCTTCCGGAGTAGTGCCACGTCCGACTTCGTCCATTATCACAAAGGAACGCGGCGTAGCCTCCTTGAGAATCTGGGCAGTCTCTACCATCTCGACCATGAAAGTGGATTGGTCTTGGAACAAGTTGTCGGCCGACCCGACACGGCTGAAGATTTTGTCCACAAGCCCAATCTCGGCGTACTCCGCAGGCACGAAGGAGCCTGTCTGCGCTAGGATCGAGATGAGAGCGTTCTGTCTGAGATAAGTGCTCTTTCCAGCCATATTTGGACCTGTTATGAGCCATATCCTTTCATTGTCCCCAAGAAGGCAGTCGTTCGGCTCAAACTTGCGACCTTGCTCCTCGAGGCTGGTCTCCACCACTGGATGGCGACCACCGACGATGTTATGAGAGGTCCCGGCATTCAAAATAGGGCGAACCCATCCTTTGTCTCGAGCGAGTATCGCAAAAGCACATGCTACATCCAGTTCGTCAAGTGCGGCGGCATTTCGCCGTAGCTTGACGATGTTTCGGACGACTTCCGCTCTTAGACCAGCGAGGACCCGCTGCTCTTCATTTCGGATTTGGAAACGGGTCTCATCCATTTGTGCACCTAACCGAGCCCATTCGGGGATCTGGAAGGAGCGTGTCGATTTGCTGCTGCTCAAACTCTTCGGATAGTGGGCGGTCACACGGGATACATCTTTTCCCTTGACGTGCGCGATGTGCGCCAGATTGGGGGTCCACTTCAAAGTCAGACTTTCAGCGCCCAATTTCCGCCGCAGGTCCTTCTCCAGATCCAGTTTGGACTGAACCAGAACATCAAGAGAGTGGTGTAGCTTTGCTAGCGTTTTACTCGCATTTCGCTTCATTATCCAGATATCTTCTCTCCCATCTGTGGCGCTCTTGAAACTGGGTGCTATCATATGCGGCTTGGGTTGGATACGTTTTGGCAGAGTCTTGAGGTCTTCTTCTCCCGCCTCCCTTCCAAGGACTTCTTGTGTGAGCTCGGCTACTGCAGCTGCCTCGTCATCCTCTATACGGTGTCGCTCAGACAATCCCTCTTCATCAATAGCATCCTGAATTCTCTTGGCCAGTTCCAAAGGCTGACTCAACTCGAATCGTCTTCCCAGGGACGAGAGACAAGCCCTTCGTCTCCTTTCTGTAGGCTCATCCTCAGCAGCGATAGGTATGGAGCTACGTGAGGCAGAGTGTTCTTGGAGAACAGACAATATATCGGAAGTGGTCATAATGGTCTTGGATATTTCGATCAGATCGTCGGCATCTCCACGGCCTACAGTGAACTTGGTGACAAGGCGCAGTGAGTCAAAAGTATGGCCAAGTAATGACATAACTTCCTGGCGGAGTTGCGGATATTCGATCATCTCTTGCACCAGGTCCAAACGGTCATTGATCGTAGACAGGGACATCGACGGAGCGCCTGCCACAGTCAGCTCACCGTTCAGATGATTCACAGGAACAGTATATCTGCATACACAATCGCTGCGTCAGAAGCCTAGTCCCGCTTTTGGTGACCGTCTGCTTCAGAGAGTGCAGCAGGCTCCCTTCGTACGTGCCGTCCCGGAGGGTAGTACGGATCTCAAGGGCCCTCAAACTGTTCTTGTCAATACTCATGTGCTCCTCGGCTTGATGTCTCACAGGAGCACGCAGTCGAGTCTGGGAGCCAATCAACTGATGCTTGACATAGTGCAACAGTGACCCACCGGCCGCAACCTCGCCGGGACGGAAATTGGCACAGTCGAAATCATCCACAATATCCTCCAGCATAGGTAACCAGTCTTTGACTGTCAAAGACGATTCTAGACGTTGTTGAAAACTGATTGTGTACCCATCGTCCCGCAACGTCGAAACAAGCCTACCGTGGTCGTTTTCAGCAAAGATGCTATCAAGCACGATTTCTCTCGGCTTTATCCTGGCTACAGCGGAGGGCAACGACGCGATGTCGGTGCTCTGGGTCATAAAATCCCCGCTGGACAGGTCAATCCAGGCAAGACCGACCTCAGTCCGGGGAGATGGCTGCATAGAGGCAACCTTGCTGCCTCTGCGGCCAGCTTCATTCCCCATCAATTCTGAAGTGTCCACATGGATAGAGAGCAGATAATTGTTTTCCCAGGGATCCATGAAGTGCTCATCTATAAGGGTTCCAGGAGTGATAATACGTGATACCCTCCTAGTGTAAGCGGGTTCGCCTTTTGCTTTGGTCGGGGCGTCGTTCAGGAACTCATCACTGATAGCGACGTGTTTGTTCAAGTCCTGCACGAGGATTTTGAGGTACCGATCCAATTGGTAGGCGGGAAATCCAGCCTACAGTCTGAGCGATAATTCAGGTGGAGGGTAAAACTCTTGAACGTACCATCGACACTGCAGGCCTACTACTGCCTCTTGTTGGTTTTCTTCTTGTCTTTTTGATGTTAAGCAGAGGCGCATATTCGTCGGCATGTTCGAAATATAACTAAAGTCTCATCAGCATTGTCCGAGCCGCACGACATGGTCTCAAACCTCATAAAATCCCCCGACTCTTGTCAACAGTACACAGTGGCTAAACTTCAACATGTTGTTGCGAACTTGCTGCAGGAGGGGAGGGTATTCCGGCTCCGGCTCTGCGTTTGAGACATCTCCTGGCGAATGGTCGGAGATGTCACCTTGTGGGAGGTCTTCGAGGGTAAGGACCGACTGCTTTTTGGCTCCTCGGATCTGTTGATGCCATATTGAGAAGAGTGGTGCACAGCGTTTCTCACGTGAGACTCTAGGAGGTCGCGTCAAGTTCGCGGACGGCGAAGGAACAGATAGTATGTTTCGTGTTGATAATAGACCAATGGGCTTAGTCCGCTGGATACATTGACTGCTGCGCGAAGCATGCCGCAGGAGCATGTTCCAGGATGCTTCGGCACTGAGAAAATGGTCAGAGAAGAGGTTTGTCTTGAAAAAGTGTTTGATAGTGAAGCGTGAGAAAAGCACTTGAAGAAACACCCCCCCTGTATTTCAGCTACCCCGATACGGTTAGCGGTTGTGTGGGGTGAACGATCGGCTCAGTTGTGCTACCCCACGCATGTGGCTTCTTCCACCCTTCAATCACACCTGGGCACGACGATTTGCCATGGCGCCGCAATTTGATCCTTTGGAGAATGATCTCATTCTCCGTGCTGCCAGAGGTACTTCTAGCACATCTGGTGTCTCTTCCAAACTGACCTTAGCCAGGCGAGAAAACCGAGCGGGCGCCCATGTGGGTGATGCGTCAAGGTCAGCGGGCAGGTTGTCTGCAAGTCCAATCTTGTTGCGACTGACCCAATGCAGCTGGTCGCTACTTGCCGGAGTACCACGAGGCGAAGGGAAGCCATGACTTCTTCGATTGCTGCCGAACTCCCGAGATTGCGGCGACGTTAACGCTACAACCCATCGAGAGATACGCCGGGCTCATTGACGCCGCCATAATATTCTCCGACATTCTCGTGATACCACAGGCAATGGGCATGGAAGTCATCATGGTGGATAAGAAGGGGCCACATTTCCCGGAGCCGCTGCAATCACCCGAAGATTCACAGTACCGGGAGCTTATGCAAAGGAAGGTGGACGTGAAAGAGTCGCTGGATTATGTGTACAAGGCAATCACGCTTACAAGGCAGAAGCTGAAGGGGAGAGTACCGCTGATCGGGTTTTGCGGCGCGCCGTGGACACTTTTGGCGTATATGGTTGAGGGAGGAGGCAGCAAGATGTTCATACAGGCGAAGACGTGGATCTTCAGATATCCGGAAGAGAGCAAGGCGCTCCTGCAGAAGATCGCCGAATGCTGCGTTGAGTATTTGGCACTCCAGGTTCAGGCTGGTGCGCAGGTAAGAGGACTGTAAGGTCTCTTCAGGTGCCCAGCTACTGACTCCTTGTAGATGATACAGGTTTTCGACTCCTGGGCAGGAGAGCTATCTCCTTCCTCCTTCAGAACATTCGCACTGCCTTACCTCAACTATATCGCCGATAACCTGCCTCGGAGATTACAAGAGCTGGGCCTGGAACGTGTGCCAATGACGGTTTTCGCAAAAGGCGCCTGGTATGCCCTAGAGGTACTCTGTGACTCGAATTACGATGTCATTGGCCTAGACTGGCTGCATGATCCGCGAGAGGCGTACGAGGTTGCTCGTTCCAAGGGGAAGACACTCCAAGGCAACGCTGACCCCGGTGTACTCTATGGTGGGCGGGAGGCCATCACGCAGGTGGTTAAGGAAATGGTCTCAGGTTTTGGAGGTGGGAAGCAAGGCTGGATCGCTAACTTGGGCCACGGTATGGACACCTGTCTGCAGTTGTGAAGAGCTTCGTTGACCCATAATCAGGTATCACGCCACAAGTAAACCCTGACGACCTGAGGTTCTTCTTCGAGGAGATTTACCGATACTGCAAGGCCTCCGCATAGTATGAGCAATGGTTGTGCTGCAACCACGGCATTTCGTGGATATTCTTTCGACGTCATCGACACAGCGCTTTCCCTTGTACATATTCCCACGAGCTCCATGTAGAGCGAAGGATGCGCTCTCGAGCGTTAAATTCTGTTGTATAAGACATATAGAGAAGTAAATCAACAATGGGGACAGGATGCGATGCATTATGGTGTACTAGGATTGTCACATGACGACAGATTTCTGATGCCTATTGAACGTAAGTGATGGCATCGATCCGAGCGACCTGTTCCGGGCCTTTTATGGATTGTATATTCTTATTACCCTTGCTATATGTCCATGTGTGGGAGAAATAGGATTATACTGTGTAGGTTCCGTTAGCATCACGTGATAATATCACCCTGATTGGCTGCAGGGAACACAATGGTGAACTCGGGCTAGCGCGGCTCGGTGCATCGTAGCTCCATTGCGTGCAGTGAAGAGCGCTTCAACTGGGATAGAATAAGGGTGGTCAACAAGAAAAAGTTGCCGGTGATTCTCGCGTCTTCTGGGCTCATGTCGCGTTTGTCTTCTCTGCGCGGGCCCCGGCGGCGATTGTGCCTCGGACAAGGTGAAGAGGGTTGTGCTGCGGCGAGGCAGTCGCAGATGGAAGTCGATGGAATCCCGCCGAACTTTCTCTCGGCACCGCAGATTCGGAACATCCTGGTTACGCTTCTTAAACCCAAAGATTCTCTCGGGCGCCTGTCACTACTTAATTTTCCACTTAAACCAAAATCTCTGCTGTAAAGCTTCGACTCGACTGTCTTCCCCGTCTGCCTGTCAAAATCTCGCACGCATCCTGCGCAGTTTGCGAGACCAAAGAGAGTGATCCGTCAGCCGGCCTCTTCACTCCCCGATCCCCTCCCACTCCGTTACACACCTTCACTCAATCGACAATCGCTCCTCCGTTTCACACCTAGTGCGCTCATAAAGCCTGCTGGAAACCTCTCCAACCAAATCTTCTTGCAGATCACAGTATGGTGAAGGACACCAAGTTCTACGATATCCTAGGCGTACGTGTCTCTCAGTTTTGGTCCCACGACCGCTCTAGGGTCAGAACTGACAGTGCTAGGTTCCGCCGGATGCGAGCGAGTCACAGCTGAAGTCTGCGTATAAAAAGGGAGCCCTGAAATGGCATCCAGGTATGTTCACACCTCTCTGTAGCCTCGTCGCAGAGCCTAACACATGCGACAGACAAGAACGCACACAACCCCGAGGCCGCAGAGAAGTTCAAAGACCTATCGCACGCATATGAAATCCTTTCGGACCCTCAGAAGCGTCAAATATACGACCAATATGGCGAGGAAGGCCTGGAGCAAGGTGGAATGGGCGGCGGCGGCATGGCCGCTGAGGATATCTTCGCACAGTTCTTTGGAGGCGGTGGTGGCCCGTTTGGCGGCATGTTTGGGGGAGGTATGCGCGAAACGGGACCAAAGAAGGCACGCACCATCTCCCACGTCCACAAGGTTTCGTTGGAGGACATCTACCGTGGAAAGGTGTCAAAGCTTGCTCTCCAGAAATCCGTCATTTGCCCCAAGTGCGATGGCCGCGGCGGTAAGGAGGGTGCTGTGAAGAAGTGCGCTGGCTGCGATGGCCGTGGTATGAAGACTATGATGCGCCAGATGGGTCCCATGATTCAGCGGTTCCAGACGGTCTGCTCCGACTGCCAGGGAGAGGGTGAGATCATCCGGGATCGCGACCGATGCAAGCAGTGCAACGGCAAGAAGACCGTTATCGAGAGGAAAGTTCTCCACGTCCATGTCGACCGTGGTGTTAAGAGCGGCCACAAGATCGAGTTCAGGGGCGAGGGTGATCAATTACCAGGCGTCGAGCCCGGAGACGTCGTCTTCGAGATTGAACAGAAGCCGCACCCGCGATTCCAGCGCAAGGACGACGACCTCTTCTATCAAGCCGAGATTGACCTCTTTACCGCCCTTGCCGGTGGCCAGATTCACATCGAGCATCTCGACGACCGGTGGTTGACGGTTGACATTGCGCCGGGCGAGTGCATCAGCCCAGGTATGTGGAACTGGTTACCTTGATGGACAAAGGCATTTGCTAACGAAACTAGGCGAGGTTAAAGTGATCCGCGGCCAAGGTATGCCCTCATACCGGCACCACGACTTCGGAAACCTCTACATCCAGTTCGACGTCAGGTTCCCAGAACGCATCACAGGCGACGACGAGGGCGGCCCTATGACACAAGAGCAAATCGATGCATTGGCAAAGGTTCTTCCGAGACAGACCATACCCGGACCGGTACCTCCTCCAGATGCCATGATCGAGGACTTCACGCTAGACGACGTCGACCCGACGAGGGAGCATGCCCGTGCTCGCGGCATGGCTGGTATGGAAGATGAAGACGACGATATGCATCCTGGTGCCGAGCGCGTGCAGTGCGCATCACAGTAAAGGGGATCATGATGATGAAGTTACGAAGGAACGACGCAATATGAAAGCGTGGGCTTCAATACTCGTTACCAACGGGCTGGAGGCATGCATATCCGCATCGACCTCGGCCTGGCTTTCACGTGTTGAACTTGGATTCTCGTTCTCTCCCCCATGGAGGAGAAATAGCCGGTTTCTTCCCTTGCATCTTTCTTCCATCTCTCTGTGTGGGCATGTTCGGGCCTTCTTCTCTGGGATTCCCTCTTATGTCCTTTTCGGTTGGTTTTAGACTTTGTGGGGTGGCGTGGGATGATGATGCGCCTCTTCGCTGCTAGGGCTTTCTCCTCCCTGGGGCGGAAATCGGGCAGGATTATTCATTTTCTCCTTGGATCGGGTGTCTGCTTGGAGAGGGTGGAGGTGCGTGGAAAGGAGGATGAGGATGGATTGAATGTGGTGAGCAAGGATAGAACCAGGATGGGGAGTGAAGTGGATTATAGACAATGGAATTGCATTCACATTCTGAACTTGGATGTTTGGTACTTGTTATGAGGTGAGGGTTTTGATGTGATGATGAACTGACTGGTGGTGATGGAGCTTATCATCACCGTCACCATAACTAAAATCAAGTTGTCCACTGAGATATGTAGATCGAGACATGGCTGCTTCCTCTGCAAGTATCTATTTTCGAAGGCTAATTCTCGAGTGTAACCGAAAGAAAGCGAATGCCCCTCCCCCCATGAAATAGAGCTTGCAATGTTAGATTGGAGAAATATAAGTGTGATGGGATTGTAATAGAGCTTTGGGCGGCATCCTTGGGAGTTTCGGAAATGCTACATGAAGAACCATCGAGCAGGTTTTTGATGTCGAGGAGCAAAGAGAAAAATGATCTCAAAACATTCGTCGAAGCAGTGTACGTTTCAGTGCTTAGGCTGCTGTGCAGCGAAACATATCATTTGAGGAATGGGTTTTGCGGTCTCGAAACTAGGGATGGGACATAGGCGGCTTAGTACTAAGGTTTTCGATGGCCGAATTTCATGGACTTGGGTCTTCATCTGATTGAGGTCTTGGAGGAAGCCTGACACTTCGTTATTACTCGCTGTAGCTGCGATATGGATATATTTTGGATTACCGCCCGTGCAGAGCATGCACTTGCCGGTTCTGTATTTGGGGTGTCGGAGAACCGCACATAATCTCTGCTTCGATGGTCTTTGGTGTCTGGCTGTTTCATAGTCCGACATCTCGCACGGTTAAGGTTAGACACTGTGAGGTATCGTATCCCTGTGTATGGGTAGAGGAATGCGTGGGATACTGCGAGTGCAAAACATAAAGCCTCTGGTAAGGGATTTGAGTTATCAATAAATTCTCATGGTGGGTTGTGCTTTTGATTTATGATTCCCGATCCTTCATTCGGGGTCGGGGTCGGTTTTTGCTGCTTAGGAGGGACGGAGATGCCATGGGGAGTTTGTGTGCCTTTGATTTATGATCCCGGATCCCTCATCATCTCGGGTTTGATGTCTTGCGGCTTTGCAGGGAAGCAGGTGTCTTCATACCGTCGTGTAGTGACATATATATAGAATTCTGTGGCTGCAGGGTATGCTTGCTGCGGATAGTGTTCTAGAAAAGGGGGCGTAGGCACATAGAGTGATGCAGAAGAAGATTTGACGTTGAATCTCATGGGAGCTGATAAACCCCATATTAGCGGTACAGTTATTTTTCTAGTCGCAAGTTGGTGTTAAGGTATAGGGATTGAATGGGGGCCGTGAGTGTAAAACATGTGAAGATGTGCAGACGATTACGATTTCGTCGATTGATTGCCCATAGGTTCCCAACATTCGTTGTCGTGCGCAACTGCTAAGTTCTCGTGGAATCACATAAAGTGGACGTCATTATGGTATAGATGATCAGGGACTTCTCCTCCCCGTCATGTCTTTTCAGATAGTGGGGTATATGGGCTGCTGCAAAGGCAGAACATGACTTCTGGACAAGATGTTTTCGTTGATAGGTTATAAATGGCAGAGGAGTGCTTTCTGTTGGATGTTTGATGTTAAACAGTTAAATCAAGAGGCGATCATACACGCATCATTGTTTGAATCGATCGAGTTAGATATGGAAAGCTCGCCACTCAAGACATGCTATGTCTTCGGTAACTCGTTGGGGTTTCCGTGGGAAGACAGCACATAGTCTCTACTATTCGGTACTTCTCATGTGGATATGTCGTTGGTCGTTGTATTGCCAATTTGCGGTGCAGGCACCTGGACGCCTCCCCTCATGAGTTGAGTTATGAGTTGAGGGTTTAATATATGGAGCCGACTGCGACTACAGAACATTTATCAACTGGGTTGCCGGTAGTTTTGCGAGAGATGGAATGTAGATTTCTTCGCTTGCATTTTCGTGTAGCATGGTAAACGACGGATTATCTTGACACATAGGTCGATGGTTTGCATCGGTCACGCCTTATCTGACGGCCATCTTCTTCTCATCTTCTTCTTTCGGTACGAGGGAGATCGTTGGAACATAGCGGGTATTGCATACAGTTTGAAAATCGGAGGTTTTTGAAACTGCTATTCGGTTCCGAGCTCATATGCAGATGTGTAGCTCAGGCAGCTAAAGACCTTATTTCGTTCGTTATTCCTGGATGCAGAAACGGCAGCCGCAGCGGCATATTAGGACTTGGTTCTTTAGTCTTGTAAGGGCGTTCGAGAGTGCGCATCAGTGCAAGTTCTGGTAAATCTAGACACCGAGTGTTATGAGAAAGCGAAGGAACAGGAGTTGCGGTAGAGGCACGCGAGTCGGCCTTTATATGTGTGCGGATAGAGAAAGACAAGGATTACTAGCGCTCGCAGAACATATGTATGCCTTCATTTGGTTTGTTTAAAGATGGCACATAGATGGCAGACCTCTGAAAGCTTCGACGACTCATTGTTGGCAGGTTACAGATCGCTGATACGGTACAGCCGACTCGGCGTTTCACTTCATCGATTCAAGCGAGGGTGATTTTGGAAGGTGTACTGCGACATGAGCATTCATTTTTGAGCCTGGCTTAAGTTGTTGGAAGAGAGCACATGAGTCGCAATCGTGAGATATTTTTGATTGAGACTGCCATAGACGTAGACTGTCGAGATTGCGATGAGAGTGGGGAGACGTCTCTCTTCATATATGACTGACCCGGGAAGATATGTGGAGTGTACATGCGCTGCTGCGGCCGTGGGCATGCACTACGTTCTCCCGGATTTGTTTCAAGGCGCACATTATCTCAAAAACCATTGATGCTGGTGCCAACTTCTTTGTCGGTGCGCATGGCGAATGGCGGACCAGGGAGGAAGGGGTCTGACTCCATTCGGGAGAGGCGAAGTGATTGTTGAAGTCTATTGGCATGAGCAAGAATTGCAGAGAGTTGCTAGACGTTATGGTTTGAGGAAATAGCACATCATTATGGCCTTCCAAAAATTTCCAATTCGAAAGCCTTGAAAACAGGAACCAAAAGGGGATGGCTGTTTTTAAAAGCAGGCAGTAAAGACAGTTGTAGAAGGATTAGTGCTAGAGTCGAACCTGTTTAACATGCAGGACCATCAGGGAAGATCTTTTGGTTGTCAAGACTCGGAGCATGACTTGATTCCGCATGTCATAGAAGCGTGAAAAGCGGACTGCGACAGCAGGACATTACAACGAGGCAATCGAATTCCAAAATGTTTACATATAATGTCCAAGTCTTTTTGATTTTGCTTCGAATTGCTAGAAGTGAGGAACAGGTTGGCGTGTTAGAATACGGGCATGGAGACGCCGCCAATTATCAGTGAACCTAGACATTATTTGGTGTAAAGGGTGCCGTGACAGCAAAACATGCATATTGCCGTCGTTCGTCTTTGAATGCTGAAAGATCGAGCACAGAGTCCACGTCTCATCAATTTGATTTGCGGTTTCTAGCCGACTATAATCGGCTTTTTACAGCTGCGGCGTCTCGGAGTAAGTGCCTATGTTATCGAAATTGTAAATCAGAAGCCTCATTGAACCTCTTTATTTTCCACGTTTAGATTGTAAATGCAGATATCGGAATCCAAACAAAAGAAATCTTAGATGCATGCTTAAAGACAAAGGTTGGGGGAAGAAAAGTCAGTATGTGTATTATAGCTAGACTTTATAAACAGGTCAAGTGCGGTTACGAGACAGGTTTATGGAAAAGCTACCTTTGCGCAATTCACTGACGTTTCGACTTTAGAACTGCGCCTACTTCGTCACGTCGAAGACCTCGCCTCGCTCCACATTCCTAGAGATAGCGAGTACAGGTAAAGAAGTCAGCGATAACAACTCGAGGATCATCAAAGAAAGGAAACAAGATCCCCAAGATCTTGATACATTTGTAGGACTTGAGCGTACTGGGTTTCGCTCCAATTAGCGCATCGTATCCTCACGGTTTGTAAACCAACTGCGATACTTACAATGTTCTCATCAGTAAAGACACCAACTTGATCCGCATGATCTATACCGCCCGTCACGCCAAATTTCCAGTAGGACCCTCGGTTCATGGCTAGAGCGCCGCGGTTGAAGTTTGTAATATCATTGGATGGATTGTTCACACCATCCGCCGGGCCGTCCATTGACACTGTGTCAACAACGCCGTCATTGCGCCCGGAGGGGTCTAGTGGTGTAGCTACACCACTCATTCCTAGAGAAAAGATGGAAAGGAGAGGGAGCATGTCTGCTCGCGGAATTCGTCCTCCGGGACTCGGGACTCTAAATGCGTAGCCCAAACCGCTGGCGTGGTTATTGAAGACGTTAACGAGCCACCGTGCGTACGCAATGTCATTCGGATTTCCTGGGGTCAAGCTGGAAGCTCCATGGGCGAGCCAAGATAGAGATGAGACCGCATTTGCGGTGACATCTCCGGGGCCGGGATATGCCAAACCAAATAGCGATACAGCGGGATGTACTGGTAGATTCTTAAGGTCCTGCCCTGTGAGTTCTTGCCGGGGGAGGGGTCTTGTGGCGTCAAAGGACAACGTGAAGTAATAGGTTTGAGGAGATGCACTTGGATTGAAATCCGTGTTCAGCCTGTTGATCCCCTGCACGCCGTTGTCCCTTATGCCGTTATCATTGGAGTTCCACCAGGTCATGATAGCATTCTGGAGACGACCATGCATGGCTCGAAAGCTCTCCCCTGGGTTGGGTGTGAATCCCCAGTGATCTAGTTGCAGATCGACAAAGCGGGTTGGATTAAAGGCTGCCGAAACTACCAGGCGGGTGATAACCTCGTTGACTGGGATGTTACGAAGGATGTCCTGGCCGGATAATGAGCCAACAATTTGAAAGACTTTTATTTTTACTAAGAATTTTTGTTATAGACAGAGACTTACGTTGAAAATAACGTCGGTAATAGTCGTGCCTAGATAAGGCGTACCTAGGGTTACCACGGATTTGACAAAGTTTTGTCGGTTCCCTAAAGCCAAGCCAAAGTAAGCTGGATTTCTCCCTCCATGACGACCTGACAATAATTCTATGAGCAGGCGCACGGTATTTCCACCTTGTGAATGACATATCATGTGAACGGGTTGTGCTCCGCTCCATTGCCAGCCCGGGGGTAACACTCCCAAGACCACGGCTTGCTTAGTCAAGCGTGGAGTACCGGGTGGAAGATTGGCGATATAGCTCCCGTAGTCGACTGGGATACGTGTAGGTGGAAAGGCTTGTCGGCCATCGAATCCTGGACCTGCACTAGTCACAGTTGCGTCGTGCCCTTATACTCTTATGCGGTGCCAGAAAACTTACGCGGCCCTGCCAACGTTATACAGTTGGCAGTACAATTCGCATGCCCGTTCCCAGTTGCTGGATATAGGCCCAATACGAGGAAGAATTACTGGTCTTCCCGTGTGCCGTTGAAGCTCTGAGGCAAGGTCCTCAAATCCACCCCAGTAATTGACGGATCCAAACAGGGGTTCACCGAAGCCGCTGAACCCTGGTACTACGTGATTGTCAGTTATAGAAGCAACCTGCAAGGAATTGTATTACCGAGAACGATGGGATGCGTGTTCCTTGCCAGACCCCGGCTATTGAGGTCGCCAACCAGCTCATGGAGGTTTTGAAGTCCAGACGGGGGTGTTGCAGTTGACATATCATTCCCCATATTTCCCAACGTGGAAAGCTAGGAAATCAATAAACGAAATGGCAATAAATAATAAGGACGATCACTCACCCTAAGGGATGTTAAAATATATCTCGCCCTTCCAACACTAGTGATCATAAGCCATCCCTGAAAGCAGCCCCGGGGAGATCTCGATACCCTACTGTTATCACATGTCATTTTCATCGTAGAACTGTCCATTCGCATGCTCTTGCGGACATAATGATATCAGCATTGCAATGCTGTCCTGAAGAACTCGAGTTTCACTTGACCCCACTTTAAACGGCAAACTCCGTCCCCACTTCTGCACACCTCAGGCTTGATTTCCAGGTATTCCCAAGGTTCTTCTATGACAAGGTTGTACAAATTCATACGCGAAAGTGAAGGCGTCATCTTCATCAACAAATGGAAACGACAAGATGCTATAAATGACTCGCTACCGCACTTATCAGCGTAAAGCTACCTGTCCGACGATAGGTACCGAAGGCGATATAAGGGGATAAGCCTACACCATATTAGCCTTGCTAGTATTCTTGCTTGCCTGTGCTTCTGTGACAAATGGATAAATAATTTCAACAAGACTACGATGGCGATCACTAAGCCAGCGGGGTTACGGCTAGTTCTGAGATAGTGCTTTTACATGTGCTTCGATGACGAGTGCCAATACAGTATAAAAGTTCAAACGGTCCTTACAGTTAAGCGGGACTACTCTATAATTACGAAACAAGCTTAACCAATTTACGTACCCTGATCCTAAAGCGAAGGTAGCAGCGAAAAGCAAGGCGCATCTACTCAACCCGTCCCGTCTGGTATAGGATTACGATGTACGACTGCTTCTGTAATTTCAGAGACTAGACATTGTCTGTCTACAAATCTTTGAAATCTGTATAGAAGAAACCGAAAAGCGCAATATGATTACTAGTCAATCTTCTTTTCAGGTTGCACCTAGGTGACCCATGTACATCCCTACGTAGAAAATCGCAGCCAACAAACCGAATGACAACCCAAATGAAAAAGAAAGAGTGATAACATGTGCGGTAATCCTTGATATTCTTAGACTCTCAAATGAATGTTTGTCTCGCTGCTAATGATATGATGAAGTGATGCTGGAGCGCAACAGGACCAACCCTGAGCTTTGTTTTTTGCTTTACCAACAAGAAGAGCCCGTCAGAAAACACTCCGTATATCTCTGGATCGGGGGAGCACAAGTCCTCTTACTTGAGTAGACATTGACACATCAACCTCCGAATCCTTAGACGTTCTCAGTAGGTGTAACATTCCAGTTTCAAGAGATGATCGAGACGCGCTAAGCAGAACATATGCATCTATCGATCGATTCAAATACTCTCACTAGAACATCGAGGTAGAATAGAAACATAATACACCGCACATAGAAATACAGACTATAGATTCTAGAACGGCAGAAAATAACATGAGCTGTTTCCTTGCAGGCTTCTGTTTCTCGAATATGGAAAGGTGGCGAAGGTAATTCTGATGGTAACCTGAGGATGTAAGAGAAGAACAACATCGGGGGCTTCTATGTCTTTTTTGATCCTGTTGTGAAAGATGCAGAAGAGAAAGACACCTGTCCTCTCTACGCCCCAAGGTAATTTGAAAGTCTAGGTGGCAGAGCTACTACACAATAAGCGGATGTTCTGCATTTTGGTATGCATAACGAGAGATCCCATGTTGTGCAAATATCGCCTCCGCGTAGAACAGAGCAGGCTTAACCTCGATTCTAGCATCTATTGCTCATTCACTCCAAGCCAAAAATCAGGCGTAGTTCTCGCAGTTTCTGCGGCAAAGTAGCTGGACAGAGCCATTCTTGTTCAAGCGTCTCTATTTTACGACGCCGAATCTGATGAAGGCCTCGTGAAATTGCACGGGGTAACAGATTACATGGTAGAAGGTTAACATGAGGAAATGCATTGCAACTCTACAGCGAGTAGTTACAGCAGAATGACCTCGTTTCCTGCGAACATGAGACAAGAACGGAGCTTTTTCTCATGTCGGCAAAGAAAACTGCAGAACGCGAAACATACGGATTATGTCGGTCGTTTAGAGCAGCTACGGCTCGAAATCTCGAAGTGTGGTGATAAGGGCGACGCCGAAGGGAACATGATGTGGTCAACGAATAAGTACTCGTGCGGTACAAGTTCCCGAGCCCGAGAATCTTCACAGATTAAACAAGATATCCTTTTAACTTCTAGAGAAAGAGGAATTTCCAGTTGCTCCGTATCTCCATGTATGTAGGGTAGGAGATATTTGTTTAGGAGGAGTTCAAGGGTTGCTCACATAACTAGCGCGTTTCTTGGGTTTTTGGAATAACACTGCTCCATGGAGAGATCAGAGGTAATTATCTAGGACGGAACGCCACCATACCCTCGCTCCGGTTATCTTCTATAAGGATGCAGCGAAATCGTAATTTAACATTCCTAGTTTCGGCTCGTCGAACATGCTCTCTTCTTGATTTCGGTTTTTGATTGATGAAGAAGAGTACCAGTACATGTCTCGAATGCCATGCTGATTTCAGGTTACACGACCAGAGAGCGCAAGGCCGTAGTAAGGGAAGAGAAGAAAGACGTCAGGGCATGGAATATCTCAAGTATAATGAAAGATCCAGTCCGCTTCCGTATAAGTTACCGCCACAGTTTAATATAGCACCATTTGCGGTTGACATTGATATTCCGGAGTTGCAAACACGGTATGGCGTTGTGCGTATCTCGAAGTTCATTCACTCGTTCCTTGTGTGCCTAAGCGGATGCGCCTAAAAGTAAATGAAGTCTTCGTACATGTGGAGGCGGTGCAGTAATCCGTAATTGTGTGCAGAGGAACGAGGCGACGACATTTCGTGCACATGTAGGTATTGTAAGTCCTTAACATTGCTGTCTTTGCTTCCTGCTTCAAGTTGGAGAAAGTACATGGCGTCAAAACTGAAATGTTTTCAGAATAAGTCCTCGCATAGCCCACCAAGTGTCCGAATCTCAGTCTTCAGTCTTGGAACAGGACTGAACAACGACATAGCAGCCAGACAAGAAACTTTCGAAGTTATCAAGGTCAACACTCCGGCAAACTCTCGTTTCCGGCTTTTAAGATGCGAGGAGAGTACATTCAGACCAGATCGTGGTATTGACAATTGAGGTTCCCATCCTTCAGCACTGAATATCCCAATCTTGGCGATAAGTATTGGAGAAACACTGGCCAACAATCATGCGTGTGGCCCTGGGCCGTTCTTGATTTCCTCAACATCGAGGTCTTCGTATGCATTTAAAAGGTTCTGCCAAAGGCAGGGAAGCGCCATCATACCTAGTGGTCAACACTTGGTGTCCGCAAATATGCCCATCGAGTTATCCCTAGCTTAGTCTCGCATGCTCCGGAGGTGCTGCGCGACATCGAGTTGTACCTGAAGAATTTCAACTCCTGACATAGGCGTGATTCCCGGTCCCTTAGAATCTCGAAGAGAGCGCGGGGAGACGCATCCTCAGGTGTGCTGGGTATTTAGGTCCTCAACGTCCCTCACATTCTAGGTCCTTTCGGGATTCGCGACGTGCGACGCCAACTCATGTCCGAATTCGAGGTCCCAACATACGGTCTGTTCGCATGGTTTCCAGGGATCTAAGATATACAGGAAACAACATTCTTCTCTTCTCTCTTTTTCTTGGGTCCACCAAACATGCCGGTATCCTTTAGTCGCTCTTATCCTTCAAAGGAAACGCTCCCAATGACATCTAACCATGCTGAGGCCATTTGGAACTCACATTTTTGATTTGCCACGCTTTTTGAGAGATATGAAAGGATTATGTGAAACAGTATCGCAGTCAACAGCTGGCTTTGACGTCCAGAAACGTACAAGCTAATCTTCGTTGCGGAGTGGCAAATTGTCCGGTCGGTCGATAGCATAGTACGGCGCTGCAATAAAGTGGACTGTTATTCAATCTGTTCTTCTGCGAACATTTCCGGTATCCGTTTCTTTCTCTCTTGCCGTCTTACTTGAACAGTTCGTCCCGGTGTATGTCGCTGGTGCCGTTTTATACCACTGCCCATGTGGCGGAAACACATGTGTTTTATGTAGTCTCTAGGATGTACAAAACCCATGACGACACTATCAACTTTAACCTATCTCTGTTCTTCGGCGTTTTTTCAGATCTCGAGCCATGATTCGTCATATTCGTAACATACAGTCCTGTCTCCTACTTTTGAACAGTGCGACCTCCGCTTCCCATGCCTCTTGTGTCGGTGACTTGAAATGCAAACGAACGCCATGAGTGGTATTTCGTATGTTCTTCGTAGCTTTGCGTTTATACCACGTGATGCATATCCTGTTTAGCGTTTCGCATTTTCCAGTCCAGAGGCAGCCAACCCCATCGAGCTTGAAGGGTGGCATTTGGACTCCGCAAACATCAACCCACATTTCTTCTTTTTTACGTCCCAGAGATCCCGCAGCACAGAAACCACATAGTTCTTGTACTTGTCGTACTTTGGGTCCGCAGACGTCATCTGTCGTCGATTCGGGCCTTGAGAGTTGTGCAAGGCGCTGGGGTTGGAAACGACATAGCGTAAACGAATACTGATTTCCAGTCTTGAGGGCTTCCGGAACATAGAGAGCGGGAAAGTCAGTCTGAAATTTGGGGGAAACATAAATGGGATAGTGACTTCCGCCGAAGTTACGATCCATCTCGAGTCACTATAAGGGATTTCGGTCCGGGTGGTGAGGGTGGAGAGGGTGGGCAGGGACATTCATCCAGCTTACGCTTTACTTCGGTTTTCGGTCTTGGAGTTTTGCCCAAACATGGGATCCCAGCCTGTGCCTTTTTTGTAGTTTGGAAGGATTGGTGGAGAACGGCATGTGTGGAGACCTCGATTCAGATTCTTAGTCTTGAAGTCTTTCCAGCGCAAGACACGAGCCCTATCCCCATCGATCATTGAATGAAAGGAACGGCGGAGATTGACATGCATTGTCTATGCAGGAGTTCAAGTCCGGATTTCCAACCCTCAACTTTTCTCGACGTGAAGTGTGACGCAGTTCATCGGCTCTGGTGTTTGCAAACAATGGGAGAAAACAACATGCATCCATTCGATATTTCCATGTATCAGTTTCAGATTTTCCTCTCCTCCGCTTTTGAGCCTTGAACATGACGCGGAAACCGTCAGATTCTTGGATTTCGAAGGTGTCAAGGTCTCAGCAACAAAATAAGGACATCCGGAAAAGGTCACCCAGATTATCATTGGGTGATGAGACCGTCATAGCTTCGTTTATGGTGGATAGCTCCAGTACTTGGATTGGCGGCGCCATAGGCTCGCAACGTTGGTAGTTGGTAGGAATGTTCGACTCTGTCCCGGTCATGATGCATACGTCCTCTAGTGTCTGTTCACCAAAGTACCCGCGAGTGAAGGCATGCGCGAGAACCAATTCTTTTGAGAGGTCAGGGCCGTAGCTTGTACCAGACATTCGTCGACTTTTCTTTTTTTTGATTTCCACAACCTTGGACATCGCAGGCATCGCGCAAAATTATAGTCGGTGTTGTTAGATTCCGGAAAAGAGGCGAACGCCGACATCGACAGTTCACTATGTGTCTTGAGTTCCTCATACACCGCGCGGAATACTTCGATTTACCAATCGTCGGGCTTCGCAAACATGAATCTGAGAGATTGAGTTTTACTAGATGACGCGAACGCGGACATCGACCATTCACGGTAGTTCTTGAAGTTCCAGCAACATAGCACGGATTAGATTCCCAATCTCGGACTTCGCAAACATTGACGTGAGTCCGTGAGTCTTACTAGATTCCGGGAGAGCAGCGAACGGGACATGTACCCATTCACTCATGTCTTGAAGTCCCCCAACCATCGCGCACCACAGCCGGAGGTTTAGGTCTAGAAAACGGCTCCATGAACACGTTCGTCGCAAATGTAGCCAGTTCGCAATTCTCGAAACATTTAGTGTTCGTCCGGTGAAAATTGGTATCTCGAATCTTGCAGAGGTGTTCTACAACCACATACGAACCCACTATCACCCATTTGCAGTCGTGCCTGAGGACATTTGGCGTGCGCGTGTTCGAATCTCCAAACATTTGTCATTAACGACCTGATATTTGGGATTTTGGAAGCGCTCGGCAAGCACATGCCTGGCATTTCCTACATGTTCTCGTGCTTTTGCTTTTGGGAACAAGAGTAGAGCGGGAGTGTACTTGGGAAGGGCAACTGGTATCTCGAATCTTGTAGAGGTGTTCGCCAATTCCATCGCAGCCTTCGCTAATACTTTTTCAGTCCTTCCTAAAACCATTTGGCGTACGCGTGTTCGATTCTTCAAACATGTCACAGAATAGATGGAATCTTGAGTTTTGGAGCGGTGGTCGACCACCACATGTCGAACCTCGCTCACATTTCTGGAGGTCCTTTTCATTTTGGGAAAGAAAGTGGAGGAAAAGTGTACTTAGGAAGAGGAGGAAGTAGAGAAAGTTGGCGGGTTTATATACACATTCGGGAGCGCGGTAAAGGGTCAGGTGGGAACGTGGTGCGGGAGTTTCAAGGAACGAGGGGACTTAATATGTATGTACCGAATTTGAAGATGCGGAGAGGGTATGTTGGGAGGGTGGTGGTGTTCAGCAATGATTTTGGCGGTAATGGTGATACTCATCATAACCTCACACCATACATTAATTTCTAGCAAACATTAAAGGAAAAGAAACGGCAAGCAATAATAGTTGAAACATCCCCCGCACCCTCGCACTCCCACATCCAGCACCCTCATCAAACGCATTCATCATCCTCCCCACCTCTTCCATCTCCCCCTCTCCTCCCCCTTCAACCTCTCTCCCATCCCATCCAATCCCTTTTCCAGCTGATTCCTCAATACCCCATTCTCCGCCCTCAACCTCCCCACCAACCCCTCATACCACTCAATCTCCTCCATACACTCCACTAACAACTCCCTCATCGGCACCAGCACCCTCCTCCTCAAAAGTTCCACCTCCTCATTCAACTCGTCAACCTCCCGATGCAGCATCCGAATCAATTTCGCCTGCGTAGCAATCGTAAACGCGTATGTATCTGCCTGCGTCGCTGGAGACACTGGACGGGAAGGCGGGCTGGGTAAGAGGGTGTAAAGTTCGGAGGGGGTGGGGAGGCCTGTGGGGAGGGCTTTGGGGCCAGTGGATTCGTGGGGGAGGAGGGTTGGCGGTGGTGATGAGGGAGAAGGGGGTGGGGGATGGAGAGGGGTATGGGAGTTGTGGTTGCTATGTAGCAATCTTTTCTGCGTGTTGGCGATGCCGTTAATTTGGGTGGAGCAGGCGGCCGGTGTGCTCTTCCGTGTTTCATGTTTATGTTCTTGTGATGCTGCTGAAGTCGAAGGGGGGTATCGATAGCCGTTCCTTCGCCCCGTGTCTATGCCCTGCTTCCGGGCTGTCCATTCCATTGTTGTGCCGTGGGATGCTTTTCCCCGAGAAGTGCGTGCGTCGTGGGAACTGGACTGGTCCCTTAATCCGTTCCCGTCTGGACACTGACGAATGCTTGATTCCGCTGTGCGATAGCCATTGACTCCGCTGCCATGCTCGTCTTCCTCGAACCCATCATGTTCCATCTCCATCTCCAGTGGCGGGACAAGTGACGAAGTATCCCTTGCGACACCTCGCCCATAAGACGGCCTGCCCTGGTACAAGCCGTTAGTCTCTTCCGCCCTCCTATCCGCCTCGTCTACACTCCCACTCTCCAACCGCGGCCCACCCTCCTCTTCTTCAACCAGAGCACTATTCCACACCTTATACTCCCCCGCCCCTTCCTCCGCCTTCTTCTTTTTCAACCCTTCACCGTGAAACCACTCCGGGAGTCCGATATCATCGTCGAAACATTCCGCATCCCAGAGATTGGACCAGGGCGGAGGCAAGGTAGTGGGAAGATTTTGCTTGAAAATGATATGAGGGCAAGGAGCGTGTTGATGGCGCCGGAAGAAGCGGAGTAAGGAGCGCATACTTGGAGGTTATGAAGGTTGTGCTAGTTCCTGTGATTGGACTGTGGAAAAGAAAGATTTATCGGGCTTATCCAAAGCCAGAAGAGGAATTTAAATGAGATCCTTGGGAAATCATTTGGATCCCTCAGTGTAATCACCTGCCTACGTATCCTCTATCTCGTGATGGGCAGACGGACGGCGTTTGCCGTTGACGGCAGCTGGCGAAGTGTCAAGTTTGCCCGCCGCCATTGAATGGATGAGATGCTGGGGAGACGGTCAAGGAGATCTCCGAAGGTGTAATGTGAGGGAAACGGCTATAGGCGTTTGAATCCTTAGACAGCGACGACACTAGAACACTGTGGGTGTGGGAGCAATGCCAAAAGGAGCCGCCCCAGCTTTTTTTGTCTCCCAAGACGTCCTACCACAAGGCCTAGCGCCCGGTAAGGCTTAATTTTGCTCACGTGGAGAAACAGCTCTTCTGAGCGGTCCTCTCGTTGATCACGTATCTCACGCCCGGATTACGGGAGAATGCAAAGCTGTCATTACCCGCTCCGAACTAATACACATCGTGAAAGGGTATCAAATTCCGCTCCATGCGCCCTCCTCCCTGCTCCCTGCTCCCTGCTCCTAAGAGACGCACAACCCGAACCGGCAAAGGATCGTCGAAGGGAGATTATGCACCGTGATTGCGTCCCATGGAGACGCCATTAGCAAAACATGTACGACCGTAAACCATAGCTTGAGAAGGGAAGTGTAAGCGTGAGAACGCGGTAGCAGGTCGACTAAGGACCCAGCGGCTTCCTGCCATAGACCACAGTCCTGCACAAACGTCAGTGATGTCCATGACAGACAGTAATGCCACATACACGGGCAAATAAGCATGAGTCTTGTAGTTCTTTAGCTCCTTCCGCATCTCGGCGAGGAAGACTTGAGCGCGAGCAACCGACCACTGCACTTGTTAGCCCAGAACCTTACTCGGACACATCGCCGCATACCCCTCCGACCTGCGTCAGCAACCGGATCATGAATCCTTCGATGCCCTCATGCAGCCGCAGTTGGTTCCAGCGCCCAATGTTCTTGAGCTTCTTGTCCTCGGGCCAGCCATTCATGGGCCACTTGTAGTCCACTCGAACGACATCGACGAAGCCGGCCTTCAGCATGCGCTCCTCGCTTTCCTCCCAGATGGTGAAGCCTTTGCCCCACTTCTCGCCCAGCTCGATGACTGTCCTCCCCCAGAGGTTGTAGAAGTGGTCTGGACCCATGGTGCCGTCGTCGGAGATGGGATGAACCGAGTGCTCGACGATCTCGACCCAGCCACCCGGTTTCGTATGTGTGTAGGCTTGTTCGAAGAAGACGTCCCAGTCGGGTACACAGCCGAAGAGCTCGCGGATGTGGATGAAGTCAAAGTAGTTCTCGGGGAAAGTCCAATCAAGGGTCACATCGTCGATTTCGAAGCGGCAATTCGGGGGGACCCATTCTGGTTGGATCGGGGAGAGGTCTGTGCCAATGACGTTCGCTTCGGGATACTGATCCGCCATGTCGATGGCCCAGATACCGGTGCCTGTTCCTACATCGAGGATCATCTGGAGAAAACATCAGTATCCCATCCTGCCTTGCGTCTCTGGCATCCGGACGGGACCTACTTGAGGGTTCTTGATGGGAGCGAGATGCAACTTGCGGTCCAGGGTGAGGAGGTACATGTGATGGGCGAAATCGAGAATCTCTTTCGCCATCTCGTCATTGGGCTACAGGTTTGTGAGTTTCTGACGAGAGACGTCAGGGATCCAACATGGCATAACATACACCCCAGTATGCGCCATCTCTGTAGGCGTGGTACTGCCTGCCATTTTCCATTCGGTAGTGCATAATGGATGAGGCGAGCGTGTCTGTATCATCTCCTAGCAAGCTGCCGCTGTCGAAGCCGGAGTCGGATACAGCGTCGTCTTGGACATGTTGCGGCTCGTCGTCGTGCGGCGGATCGCCCGCGGGCTGCGAGACATTGTCGGCGGGGAGCATGTCGGCGACTGCGATGCGAGCCTCGACGAGCTGTATCTTCCCGTCGCGGCTGAAGAAATGCAGGCGACGCGGAGGAATGGCCGTCGGTGAGCGACGCGATGATGCGCTGGAGCGCAGGATACGGCGGCGGATAGCTCCGTGTGCTGAAGTCCACAAGAGGCAGAGCGATGAGCAGGATGACCTCTCCCGAGTGTGTGTGAGAGTGGGAGTTGAGGCGCAGAGAGTGTCTTTGTGCGGAGTGGGTGGAGTGGTTTGCGGGATTGGGGCGGGGTTGGGTGCGCATGAAGGGCCGTGCGCAGTGCGGCGCGGGAACTGCTCGGATGGGGCGCCAGAAGGCCAAGAGCCAAGAGCGCTCGGTAATCGCTTAGCGTAATCGCTTAGCGCGCGGCCTTGCCCGCTGTGGAGTCTAAAAGAACGCTAAAAGGCCGCTAAAGAAGCCGCTAAGCAAGCCACCCTGGCGGAAAGGAGCCCTGGAGAGCCAGCATTGCCTCACTTTGGAATTGAAGCTCTTCCCGATCAACACAAGTGCGACAGAACAAGATGCACGCCCTGGTCGAGGAAATGGTCAGATTGGACCTCGGGAGGGGACCGCCGCGCAGGGAGCGCAGCCAAGGGCAGTGCAAGGAGAGGGAGAGGGGTCAATCTTCATGGCTGCCAACAGGTTCAACGACATCTCAACAGCTGAATCTCGCACGTCTCCTGCTCTTTGGCGTTTGCTTTGGGACACGCTATCATGGCAGACCTTACAAACGGTCAAGCAAATGGGCAAAATGGCACAGATGGTCGTGCAAACGGGCACAGTCAGCCATCGCTGCCTATCCTCATCATCGGGTCCGGTAAGTCGAACCCCACCTCCGTTGGGCTTCTGTTGGGTTGGACCCTTCCACATAAGCGCTCCGTCTGATGCTATTTTCAGGGAGCACCGGGCTCGCCCTGGCTCAGGGCCTTCGTCAGGTGCGTGCAATCACCGTCCCTTTCCTTGTCCGTCATCGAGAGTGGTCGACAGCCGCCGTGTAAACGGTGCGGCGGGATGCAGCTTCAGGCGAACTGTGGTGCTACGTGGGCCTAACGCCGTTGCATATCTCAACTCGCTTTCCTGGACCGTTTGACCCATTTCCTTTTGGTTGCATATCCTTCCACTGAGTCCCTCAAGGCAGGAATAAGATGCATCGTCTTCGAGAAGCAGCCTTCGTCCGCACGGGAGCGCGACTGGAACATGGGCCTGCATTGGGGTGCCCCAGCCCTCAAGAGCGTGATGCCAGAAGATATGTGGTCGCGTATCCAGTCCGTCCAAGTAGACCCCTCGGAGCCCACAAAGGCTCAAGACACCTTGTCCTTCGTCCGCGGCGATACGGGTGAGACCATGGTCGCCGTACCTGTTTCATACTTCTACCGACTGCGGAGGAGCAAGCTGAGGGAGTTGCTCGCCCAAGGGGTAGATATCCAGTACAACAAGCGCCTGTGTGACATATCGTATGCTGAAGGCGGTCGTTCAGTCACAGCTCACTTCGTCGATGGCTCCCAAGCGACAGGATCGATCCTCATTGGAGCTGATGGTGCACGTTCGACAACCCGTCGATTGCTTTTGGGACCAGACACCGCCTCTATCAATCGTCTCCCGTACGCTGCAACCTTCGTCCAACAAAAGTTCCCCAAGGAACAAGCTCTCTACCTGCGAAAGTTTCACCCACTGTACCTTGCCTCGGCGCATCCCGACAACCGCTTCGCCTTCTTCGGCATGCACGACGCAGCCGACCCGGAAGACCCATCATCCTGGACCTTCTTCTTCTACATCTCCTGGCCGAGCAGCCTGGAGGAGCAGGATGCGACCGCCGACTGGACAGATGCTCAGCGTCTAGCGCAGCAGAAGGAGTTCGCTAAGACATTCTGTGACCCCTGGAAGAGCGCGTATGAGTGGACCTCCGACGATACGCCGGTTTGGTACATGGGCCTCACGGATTGGGATCCCCTCCGTGAAGGCCACAGGTGGGACAACCATGACGGGCTGGTGACAATGGTCGGGGATGCTGTGCATCCCATGACGTATCAGAGAGGCCAGGGCCTGAACCATAGCATCACCGATGCGAACAACCTCAGGGACGCCTTGATCAAGATCCACCAAGGAGCCGACCGGAAGGAGGCGGTTACCGCATTTGAAGATGAGATGATTGCAAGAGCCGGGAAAGAGGTCCAAGAGAGCACAGCGAACTCGAGGCTGTTGCACGACTGGGACAAGGTGACGCTGAGCCCGTTCTACAACAATGGTTTGGGGAGAAACTAGTTCATGATGATGGAAATCTTTTTCGATGCTTGCGGCGTTGCAATGGTCGTTGCTGTCTGTTTACATCCTTTGCGCAGTTTCGTTCTCGTCTGATGTTGAAGTGTCACTATTCCTATACTAATCAGCAATCTCCTAGAATCGAATCAAGCGATGCATCATTACTACTATAAACTGATGCCCATAAGATGACCTATGGGAGTTGCCGGTGTATTCCATCTTCTTTCGAGAGGAATGAAGTCTGCGAACTCTCCGCTAAACCCCATCGAGGAATAGCGTTCCCCGCATTGACGCGTCTCTGCCACGACCTCACGTGCACCCTTCACGTTCCCACATGCAAATTCCTCGATTCATCTCTCCATCTTTCAAACTCCGCCATACCTCCGCCGTCCACGCAGACTGAACGCTTCGACGCCCAGCGGCCATGGACACACCCACGACCCCGACGTGCATGCGCCTAACAGCGAAGAACCCTTACCCCAGGCCCCCGACCGAGCGATGAAAAGATGCCTCGGATAACCAAACAACCGCTAGAACTACTCGCAACATGTAGCTCGGCCATGGCAAAAGATCCCCATACCTATAACCCACCAACGACCCTGACACCCCGACGTCAGTTCCTCCCCCTACCCAGCAGACAACGCACTCCCCAAACTCCACCACCACCTCCAACATGTCCATCCCGACCAATTCCACGGCTGGCTCGGCCACGACCCGTCCTCCGCCCAAGGCCACCTCCACTGGCAACCCTTCACCCCAAAGCCCTTCACACCCACGGACATCGACATCAAAATCACCCACTGCGGCATCTGCGGCTCCGACATCCACACCCTCCGCTCAGGCTGGTCCCCGACACACTACCCCATCTGCGTCGGCCACGAGATCATCGGCCACGTCGTGCGCGCCGGCGCCGCCGTATCCTCGCGCTTCGCCATCGGCGACCGCGTCGGCGTCGGCGCGCAGGCCATGAGTTGTCTGCGCGACGACTGCGACGACTGCGCCTCGGGCCAGGAAAGTTATTGTCCCAGGAGCGTGGGCACGTATAATGGGCGGTACCTCGATGGGAGCTGGAGTTCCGGCGGGTACGCGGATTACGTGCGCGTCCCGGGCCACTTTGTCGTCAAGATCCCCGAGGCGCTGGCGTCGCTGCATGCGGCGCCCATGATGTGTGCGGGTATTACGGTGTGGGCGCCACTGAGGCACAATGGCGCGGGGCCGGGGAAGCGCGTGGGGATCGTCGGGATGGGAGGGTTGGGCCACTTCGGCGTCATGTTCGCAAAGGCAATGGGTGCGGAGAAGGTGGTTGCGATTTCGCGGCGAAGGAACAAGGAGGCGGATGCGAGGGCTATGGGGGCCGATGACTACATTGCGACGGCCGAGGACGACAAGTGGGAAAGGAAACATAGCCGGTCGCTGGATCTCATCGTTTCGACCGTGTCGTCGCCGGATATGCCGCTCGCGGGGTATTTGCGGTTGCTGAGGTCCAAGGGCCAGTTCATTCAGGTCGGGGCGCCCGAGGATAAGTTGCCCGGTATTCCGGCGTTTGCGCTCATTGCCAAAGGCTGCAAGATTGGGGGAAGTTCGATTGGGAGTCCCAGGGAGATTGCCGAGATGTTGGAGTTTGCGGCCGAGAAGGGGATTAGGCCGTGGGTGGAGGCGAGGAGTATGAAGGCGGCGAATCAAGCGGTTGTGGATATGGAGGAGGGGAAGGCGAGGTATAGGTATGTGCTGGTCAATGAGGAGCGGGCGGATCAGGCGAAGTTGTGATTGTAGGGGGTTGTTTATGATGGTTTTGAGTGGAATAGACTATAGAAGCTATCCCGTGTAATCCGGCCCTCGGTCTCCAGAGTGGGCGCTTGTCCCCCCTCCAGCGACAGCATACAGGAGGGGAATGCAAACTTCGACCACAGGTTCGAGTTTTGACCGACAACCCTCTGTTGCGCCCTGTCTTGACCCTCTTATTCAATCTGGTTCCGCACTGGTCTAGGGAGATAGGAAACCGAAAAGCTCTCGAACACTCAACGTCCCAACCCATTCCTAACCCATCTTAGAGCAGACCTCATCATCCCCCAAATCTCCCTAAACCCAGCAGCGCCGTCTTTTTCCTTCTCCAAGAGCCTGTACGGTCAGCATCCTTGACAGGCATGACCATCATGGAACAGCGGCGACTACAAAAGCATCACACCAATACTCACATCACATTCACATCGATTCCTACCCTCTCAATGGCCTCTCGATGCTCCTCAAGCAACGCCCGCGTAAACTCATCCGTCTCCTGCAATATGAACCGACACCGCTTCAACGTGGGATATAGAACGAACACCCTGGGACGCTGAAAGCGCATGATATAGTCGCCAAGCTGCTGGTGCGTCAACCCCGTCGTGGGACCCGCATTCGATCGCAACCAGAGCTCTTCTAACCGAAGAGGCAGATGCGCGTAGTCGAGCATTCCCACTACGATATTCGCGTCCACGATGAGAGTCTTGACGGGAGAGTAGTTGCCGACTTTGCCCCAGCTGCGCAAGGCTCGGTAGCTGCACCATTGATTAGGAGCCGTGGCCGCCATGTCCCACATTTCGAGGCGGAGGAAATCGGGGTTCGTAATGACTGGTAGAAATATACCCATCATGGCGCGGTGGAAGTTGGCGCCGAAGCCGCGGTCAGGGCCACCGATGAAGGACAAGCCCTCGAGGCAGGGCACGGATCCGGCGACCAGTTGCATAGCCCAGATACCACGGGCGGGCTGGAGTCCCACGAAGCGGAGGTGCCGAAGGGTGCAGTTGTGGAAGCGCCAGGCTGAGATGATCTGACGGCGGGTTCGAGAGGTCATTTCCAAGCTATAATCCATTGTGCCATTGTGGAGGGTTAGGATTTGGAGCTGGGGGAGATTGAATACGTTGTGGAGTTCGATGAGGCGAATGTCGTGAACATCTGCGTCGAGGCGTTTTAGGTTCTCGAAGGGTGGTCGCCCGTGCAGCGGGTCTAGCATGTAGTTCTCAATGGCGTTCAGCCAGGGGGGCAGCTCGCCAAACTGAAGTTTTCCCTTCGGCTTGGAGACATCCAGATACTCAAGGTTGGGCAAGTGGGATATGATCTCGCCGAAGTTTGCCTTGTAGTACTTCCGGCGTCGTTTTGAGGAAGCTCTATCTGGGTCCTCGAGCAAGAGATCACGTAAACGTAGCTGAGGATGCAGGTGGTCGGTAAGGGCGGTCCCATTGGCGATCAAACTCTTCGCATGGAGGCCAAGCCAGGGCTTTCTCTGTATGGTTTGGAGGAGTCTGGCGGATCGGCCGCGTGGTCCGCCACGGAGATGCGCGTATAGGTGTGGCTGAACAATGCGGTGGAACTGTTTGGACACACGTGAAAGGCGGGTAAGAGTCTTGAGATCCACCTGGTCGTACTCGGGCCCAGCGACGGCGAAGTAGGAGACGACTTGATTGAGGAGCTCTTCTGGAAGCCCTTTCATGATCTCCGCTAACCACTAATCTGCCCGCGAAGTGAAAGCCAGTGAGAGAATATCCTGGTGGGAGGGACAGGACAGCCTTGCCAATGGCGGTTGACGCTGTAAACAAGCGGTTGGAAATAGAGAAAGTGGAGGGGTTGAGGCTGGAAGTGTAAAAGTCGAAAGAAGAGAAGAGAGTTTGTACCTCGCATACTCACCTTCTCTTTGAGGTGGCTCTGTCACTTTCACTCGCATGGTTCCATTCACCTGCGGTCACCGCAAACGCGATGCGGACGGGGAAAGGTAATCCCGCCGATAAAGCTGCCTCTATGCTCTTCTGGAAGACAAGTTGCGGCCATTCTGTGCAGAGGTATACACTGTTGACTGCGCGTAGTACCAAGGTATCGTGTGATTCAGAACATCGATGAGACTACTCCCAACAGCTTCTCGAGAGGGGTGTTGCGAAAAAGCGAGTGTGATAAGATAGCGAGTTCCGAGCTTCTATCTGTCAAGGCTGGGAACATGAAGAATACCACGGCATGGCGGTAAACTGTTGAGGAAGGCTTGAAGAATGGACCTCAGAGGATTGAACCATTAGTAGCAAGATAGAGCTCCTCGCTACGAGATGCGATCATGACACTGTATGTAGAAGCCATGTGGACAGTTCGTCACCGCAATAAGCGGCTTTCTTCCCTCAGAAATGCGTGTTGCGAGTCGAGTGAATGTTCCGGGCCTCGTCCATCAGATGGTGGAATTCTTGATGGCGACAATCCAAGAGTGTTGCCTGGTGTTTTGGACCCATGGACCCCACTCTAAACAAGCTTTCCGATCCGACCAATAAGCGAGCTGGTGGCCAGCGCTAGTTGGACCTCTCCCCAGAGTCTCACGTCTTCGACATTTCGCGTTCTGCACTCGTCACTTTCCAGAACAGCTTCGTGCCCGTCTTTTAGAAGCTTAAGGGATTGTTCAGGATCCAGTACGTCTCCAATTGCCCTTCGACACTTTGACTCCGTCGCCAGGCTGACATATATCTATCCTTGTAAGATCCCGTTCGCCTGGCAACCTGCGCGTCTCTAACCGACATCCCACCTGTTGTCAAAGAAGAGGCAGACAGCCGCCTCTTTCTCCACCCGCCTGTTTCCCGACCGATAAAACGTGCCTCGCTCCTACTACCACCTCCCGTCCAAGAGTGTTCTGCCGGCCGATCCTCCAGCCACCTGCCTTGACATATCGTCAGCTGCGAGCTCCTCATTCACTCGATCCCGCACTCCGATAGCATACCATAGTCACAAAGTCCGCTCGAGACCATCTACAACCTGCACGCACGGTCTGGCTTGGGGCATCGGCCGGTGGTGGACGAATCAAACAGAGGCTACCCGAACAGGCACCACGTACAAGTGAGTGTCGCATTCAATTTGGTCCACACCACCCGGAACCGTCACGCAGCGACTTTCACTACCCTCTGTGTCCGCCGTCCTTGTCGGGTCCTATCGCCTAGCGCACCGTATTGCTGAATGTTGCCCTGAGTTTTCCCGTTCATGTTCCGGTTGCTCCGTGTTACCGTAGTCGACTCGCGCCTTCGCTCCTGTGCTGCCGTAGCTGAACGGAACTCCATATAATCCTACCACTGCCACCCGCGGCTGACGACCAGCCTCCTGCTCTCTCCCTACCGTTGTTACTTCAGCACAGAGTGCTCTGAACCTCCCGCCGCGCCCACGCATTCCACACGTCCTTTGTTTGCATCCCAGCCCGCACACACCATGGAAACACCGTCGCAAGAGCCGACGCAGCAGAATACGCAGCAAGTGATTGATCCGCGACGCTTAGGGCGAAATAACTCCGGACTCAACAGCAAGGATGTGGCCGATGTGCTCGTCATCTTGCATCCAGCTTCTCCCGGAGCAATGAGGGTTGTCGAAGAGGCGGCAGAGAACAGGCGCCAGCATGTCCTCTTCCACAGTCCCTTCGACTCTGATGATGACCTCGTTGATATCGAAGAGCAGGAGACTATCATCATTGAGAGGCCAGAGGCTCGTCTCGAACACACCCCACGAGCAGGTGCTGACCTCGCCTTGCGCATGTCGTCCCGCCTTCTGAGCCCAAGTCTCGGCTTTGTCTTTGGCCGCAACCCAGCCAGCTCGGACGTCGTCATCGGCCAAGACTCCGCAAAACGCATCAGCAATCAGCATTTCCGAATCTATCTCAATGCCGACGCTGTCTTGATGGTCGAGGACATGTCAACTAACGGGACGCTCGTCGATGAAGTGCTGTTGAAAAGTAGGGATCCGAGGCAGCCTAAAAAGCGAATGCTTAGCTCGGGCTCCATCATCTGTATTATCACTGCTGGGACCGAGATGATCAAGTTTGTCGTTCGTCTGCCCTCTCGCGTGTCTCACGCAGATCAGTTCGAAGAGAATTTGAGGCAATTCATGGCGCGGTGCGCTCAGCCTGGACAGCAGGGAGAAGGTGAGAACCATTCGAGGATATGCTTTGGATCATAACTAAATTCCTTGTAGCTCTACAGCGCCTCCCTAGACGGCAGTTTGGCGGACCCACCATGAAGTGGGATGGTGGTGATCGCTACAACATCATCGGTACGTCGCTAGTGCAAGTCTGTGAAACCGATGTACTAAGACACATATAGGTCAATTGGGAAAAGGAGCATTTGCGACGGTCTACCAACTCGCCACAAAGATGGAAGGAAAATTGGTCGCAGCCAAAGAACTGGAAAAGCGTCGCTTCATGAAGAACGGGCAACTGGACAAGAAGATCGACAACGAAATGAGAATCATGCGAGACTTACGCCACCCCAATATTGTCGAATTCATAGAGTACTACGACTCTGGGGACTACCTGTATATCATCATGGAATTCGTCCGACATGGCGACCTCCAGAAATACTTGACCCAGCACGGCAGCCTGACGGAAAGGCAAGGCAAGATCATGGCCCAACAGATTCTGAGCGCACTCAGCTACCTCCATCGAGCGAAGATTACACATCGAGATATCAAGCCAGACAACATCCTGATTGCAGAGTTGGAACCCTTCACACTCAAGCTCTCTGACTTTGGCCTGTCAAAGGTGGTCAAGCATGAGGAGACCTTCCTCAAGACTTTCTGTGGCACGCTCTTGTACTGCGCACCCGAGGTTTTCCCAGACTTCGACGCAAAGGCGAAGAAAGGGACGAAGCGAACTCGTGGATCTAAGCAACAGTTCCACTCGTATAGTTCCTCCGTGGACATATGGTCCTTTGCTGCAGTCCTCTGGTTTGCCTTGTGCGGTAAACCTCCTTTCGAAGGCATCGCCGATGCTACGGGCCAGGCCATGTACAACAATATCATGACAACCCCCCTCGACTCGACTCCATTGAGAGATGCAGGAATATCGGAGCCTTGCATCGATCTTCTCAGTAAGATGCTGCAAACCGACCCTGCGCTCCGTCCAACGGATCGCGACTGCCTTAATCATAGATGGCTGAGGGAAGGCGCTGTGATACCAGACGATCCGACCTTGCAGTCCATTGTTGAGGAAGACGAATCGGAGATAGCCGAGGAGCAGCTATCCCAACTCCATCTTCGTGACGAGATACAAGAGTCTGATGACGAGGTGGACGATGTCCTAGAGGACGACGAATTTGATCAGCTCGTCAGCGATAGGGACACCAAAAGAGTCCGTACGGATCGCCTTTTTCCACGCCATCAGATGCGGGATGTGGAGGATTCGAGTATGGATGCATCGTTTGGTTCTGAAGATCCGCTCGCAAGCGGGTACATTGTGGAAGAGAGCTTCCATGTCATACCTCGAACGCCAGGTCGACCCCGCCTGTTCGGTGAGATTGGGCAATCTGCTCTCGAAAGCTCTGGAATTCTGAGTATCCATGCAAATGAAGCCCTTGTCATGCACGCAGCTGTCGATCAGGATTCCACTGAAGGAGAACGTGCACAAAGTAGTACACCGCAGGAAAAGCACACACCAGGACAGAAGCGGCCACAGAACAATGGGGCTTTCTCTTCACCCAGTCTCCTTGGAGCAGAGTCGATGGTGCGAGAGTTGGTTATGGCCTCACCTCCGTCCCCAGTGTCAGGAGCTCACAGCCCAGATGAACCGGCCACTCCAAAAACTCCGGACTTGCCACAGCACAAATCCTTGGAAAACCGCAGCCTCCTTTCGAGTCATAACAGTGAAGCTACACCCAAAGCGAAGCCACCGGCGCTGAATCGTCAAATCAGCCTGCCCAAAGGCCCGTCTTTCTATTGGGATCCGTATGATGAAAGCACGCATACGTTGGAATACGCTTCGAAAGTGAGTGGCATCGATTTTGTGAATGGGGTTGGCGAATCGAAGAATAAGACCTCATCCTTGCCGGACACCATCCAGGGTTCCATTGACAGCGATGGAGATTCATCTCAGCTCACCCCGCAGGCCAAACGTGAACCGTCCGTGGATGGCCCATCTAATCCAGATATTCTTGCGCCTGTCGAGATATCCATCAAGCCCCCGCCGCGCAGGTTGGGTAAGCTCACAGCTACGACTGACTCCTTCGCACCTACCCTCACGCTGGCACTTGACCATGCCAATACGTCCTGGGGCCGCGCTCCAGGTGGCAAGCCGCATGTGTACGCCCATGTGTACACCAATGGCCAGGACACGCGCGTTCCCAAATCAGCCTTCCTCATCTTCTTCTACAGCTCCGAAGGGAATGTTGAAGAGCTCTCGCAGGAAGGGGAAGGCTGGAGAACCCTCAAGGACCTCCGAGCCGGGATCACCACCGGTGCAAGAGCGGGCATATGGATCAACGGCAAGCGACTTCAAGCGCAGGACGATAAAGGGCGCACGCTGTTTGGCCACCTCTACAGCGGCGATGTAATCTCTGTCTACCAGGACACTCGCTCGCCGGAGTGTCTGAAGTTCAAGTGCGAGTTCTATGTGGGATTGGCGAAGCAGCCTCGTCCGGCTACCGAGAGCTTTCAGGTCATGGCGTTTGGCAAGACTCATAAGAACTAATGATTTGCTTCTCCCTCATCTGAGGACCAATGGCGTTTGGCGGTATCCTATTACCTGTATCTTTCTTTGGAGTCACTATCTCTGCTTTTTCTGTTCGGATGAGCGGGGGTCCGGGAATATCCGGTTTTTGTGTTTTATAGTCAAATCGCTTCTTCTTGAGCGCACCCTCTGCAGTCGATGGAGAGACATTTGGTATTTGAACAGGAGCCGTCGGCATCTATGGAAAGTGGTCGATCATAGTGGGGAAGGGGAGGGACGAGACACAACGTATGGGTTGCACGACCCCCTTAGGTGAATATGGTTTGAAGAAGGGCGAAATATATAACACAGTAAATCGAAGACCTATCACTTCAGGTAGCTCTCCTCCAGGTTTCATGTAATACTCACAAGCGCTGGTTCTTACGGCCTTGCTGGTGAAACATAAGTCCATCTTTAAATCAAGCAAGGCCGGAATAGTTATGGAGTACATATGTGTTATCCTTGAGAGACTCAATGGATATCGGAGGTGATTGCGTGTAGAATTATTTATGGACATATGGAGTCGTGCTTCGACCTTTTCTTGTCAAGTTTAATTCAAAACAAAAATCTCCATCTCTGTATATAGCAGAAATCGTCAAAGCTGCGAGGTCGTCGTCGAAGCTCTTTACATTCGGCGCTAACGCAACTCGGCTAGCGGATTTCCCAGGGTAGGTCCCAAAGTGACATCTGTCCCATCCCAAACACCACCTCGCAGCATCGGGTCAGCAACGTCGCGCGACCAGCACTTTTCCAATCCCTCGCTCTCCCGCTCCTACCTTGCTTGTTGCGCCGCAATTATGAGGAACTTCTGGGCACTTCCGGCATTCCTGCGCCTTGCGATAGCAGCTCCGCATGCCTTCAGCGTGTTCGACGACTTGCTCGCGTTTCCTCAGGTCCGTTCCCTTGACGCCTTTGTGAAGTATAGACGTTGACATGGGACTAGTATGAGATCGAATTTCCCGATACCTACATAACAGAGAACGCAGCATTCTCTCTCCTCTCCCAGTCTCAATCCCAGACCCCATCATCCACACCACCGAACTCGCAAGAGACGCAAGAGCTCTCCAAGCCCGATAAACAGGCTCCTCCCAGCACACCCGATGATCCCGCACCGCAGGAGATATATGAAGCTGTAGTACACGAGGGACGGCGCTACCTCTGCAGCATCCCCATCATCCCCGAAGAACAGCCTCAAAACTCAACGACGACACCCGAGCAAGCGAAAGCGGAGGAGCAGAAGGAGCTCATGCGCGCAGCGGACAGGGGGTGGAAGTTACTCGAGGGGATGGAGGAGAACTGTATTTACTACCTCAGCGGTTGGTGGAGCTACAGCTTCTGCTACAATGGCGAGGTGAAGCAGTTTCACCAGCTACCGCCGAGTAGAGGCGTGCCGCTGTATCCGCCGGTGGAGGATCCGAGTGTGAAGAGTTATATCCTGGGAAGATTTCCGAAGAAGGAGAAGGTGGTGAGGAAGGCGGGGGAGGCTCAGAAGACATTGGATGCGGAAGGGAGTGGGAAGGAGGAGGAGATGGACGATGAAGGGAATGTGAAGGAAGCTAGGAATGGAAAGGATGGGCTAGGGTCGGATGTTGCGAGGCTCGAGACCAAAGGGACAGCGAGGTATATGGTTCAACGCCTTGGAGGGGGAACCGAATGTGATCTCACCGGCAAAGAGCGGAAGATCGAGGTTCAGGTACGGTGACTGATTCTTCCTTCAGTGCTATAACTAACGATTTTCCCCCCAGTTCCACTGCCATCCAGCGAATGGTGACAGAATCGCGATGATCAAAGAGACCAGCACGTGCTCATATCTCATGATCATACACACACCGCGACTATGCAACGACGTCGCCTTCCTCCCCCCTCAAGAGAACCTCGCGCACAAAATCTCTTGCCGAGCCGTCATTGGCGAATCCGAAGTCGACTCGTGGACCCTGGAGAAGCTGGAAGGCCGCATCAAAGAAGCGGCGCGCCTCGTCGCCATCGCCACCGAGAATCCCCTGCGCGATATGACCGAGGGTGCCGAGGGCAACACCAAGCGAAGACCCATCGTAGGAGGCGTGGAAGTCGGAGCCAAGAAGCTGGTTGGTAGCGAGGGGAAGGTGATTGAGAAGAGCATTGTTGCGGGTGGCGGCAAGGAGACTCACCTGGCTACCATCGCTACTTCTGCCGGCTTCCAGATGAGTAAAGAGGAGATGAAGAAGCTGAGTATTTCCGATCCGGATGAGGTGGAGAGGTGGAAGAACCGGTTGGCGAAGTCGGCGGGGCAGAAGAAGTGGAAGTTGGATCTTGTGCAGACGCCGACGGGGAGGGAGTTTAGGTGGATTATTGGTGGGGAGGAGGAAGATGAGGAACCAAAGGGAGAGCAGAAACCTGGGAGTGGGTCGGCTAAGAAGGGGAAAGGAGCTGGGAAAGAGGCTGAGAAGGGCGCAGAGAAGAAGAGCACGAAGAAGAAGGGGAAGCAAGGGAAGGAGGAGCCAGAAGAGGCACAGGAGGGAAGTGAAGAGGTGTACAAAGATGAACTATGAGCGTCACAAGGACGGGGCTTGACATATGGCAAGAATTGCATTACATACGCTCAAACACCTCCTCCCCCCGCGTGCTACGGGTCTCGTAGCCATTCCTTCAACCTCACCTACACTGGCACACTAAGCGGATTCATCACGCTGCTGCCGCCATCCGCCCTCAGCTCCGCCCCAGTGATATAACTACTAAACCCACTTGCCAAAAACCCGGCCACCCTCGCCACCTCCTCTGGCCTCCCCGCCCTCTCCAACCCAATAATCGTCCTCTGCACATCCTCGCTCTGTAAACTCGCAGGCGGGAACTGCTGGTGCTTCCCGCCCTCTACACCCCTCAAATCGACGCCTACATCAATCTGGCCCGCCGTAATAGCATTAATCCTCACGCCCGTGCCCTTGAGCACCGCGACACCGGCCCTCACGACCCCGAGCGCCGCATGCGCACTCATCGTAAACGCGGGACCCCAACACCCACCGTACGTGCCCGCCACGCTCGTCACGACGATGATGCTGCCGTAACTCTGATCCTTGGGCGCCGCGTTCGGGTATTTGCCCTTGTCGCATTTCTTCTGCATGGCGGCGGGGGCCCACTTCAGGGCCCAGAAGGCGGGCAGCGCGTTGGTGGAGAAGGTCGAGTGCAGGTCTGCAGGGGAGGTTGTGGTTATGGAGGGGGGGCCTAGGAGGCCTGGGGACAGGACCCAGATGTCGAGGCGGCCGAAGGTGTTGAGGCATTCGTCGATGAGGGCGAGGGTGGTTTCTTCGGTTTGTGGGGGGAGGGGGTAGGGGATGATTTTTGTGGAGGGGTGGAGGGTTGTGGTTTGGGTGAAGAGTGAGGTTGGGGAGGAGGGGGTGGGAGAGGTGTTGGTGGTTGTGGTGGTGGTGCAGGCGTAGATGCAGGCGGCGCCGTGGGCTGGGCGGTGTTTGTTAGTTTGGGCTTGAAGGGGTTACTTGGGGGCAGACGGTGAATTGGGACGTCGATTTCGCGTGGATCCGGGGAAGGTCCATGAAGTAAATGGAGTCGGTGAGAGGGATAACGTACCAGCCAGCTCGTTCACAATAGCCCTTCCGATAGGCTGCTCGGCGCCCGTGACGACGCAGACAAAACCATACTGCACGAAGAAATCTAGTAAGCGTTCTCGAACCGCCAAGTAGATGACATATATCGTGGTGGACGAATATAAGGGATCACATACCAACTTCCCATCAGGCCGATACGGTGAAAAGTGCTCCGAATCCAGCCTATCCGGCGATACTGTAGAAGCCATTGTAACCTTCAATTGTCTCCACGTTGTTCTCGCTGTAAGGTATTTCCCTTAGGATGATTTCACAAAGTGGAAAGAAAGCAGACACGAGGACGCGAAGTGGAGATGTGGACATGACTTTGCCATTGCGGGGCTGGACTTTGCTTTTATTCGGGAGTCTATATACAATGTATGCATTATGACAAAGGAGGACATCCACGGGGCGCGGAGATGCATGATAAAGCAGAGGTTGTACTGTGGTTGGAGAGCGAGGGCCTTATCGTAAAGCGCTTGGCTTATCGTGGGAGCTGGTATGGTGGGGTCCTTAATAGAGGGGTCAGAACAGCTACACATATGGGAGATCAACTATAAACATAACAGAAGGTGCTTCATTCATTATTCCATAGTATAGTGAAATAAATCTTCCGCTTGTGTAAGCGCCGCTCTTCGGTTTTGACGTTTGAAGACACTCCCACTTACTCCCCAACACCCGTGAAATGCGTACAGACCAAGATACAAAACCTGCTAAACGTACGCAAAAACAAAAGCCTTAAGCATCTGATACCCTCCCCAGAAAGGACCCTCATCCCAATAACCCTACTTCCTCTGCCCCTCCAGCATCTCCCTCGGCGGCAACGCCTCCGGTCCAAAACTCAACGGCAACAGCTGCCCCATCGTCTTCACCTCGTACTCCCCTTCCCGATTAAACATGAAAATCGGTGTATCCAGGTCCAAGAACTCTCTCAGAAACTGCCGACACATGCCGCACGGGGAGCAAAAGTCCAGCTGGTCCGTGGCCACGCCAATGGCTTTGAAGTCCGCTTTGCGGTACCCAGAGGCAATGGCGTGGCCCATGGCGACGCGCTCGGCGCAGGTGCCGACAGGGTAGGAAGCGTTTTCTACGTTGGCACCGCGGATTATGTGGTCGAAGATGCCGGGATTGGAGCTGCGGATGAGGAGGGCGGCGCCGACGCGGAAGAGGGAGTAGGGGCCTGATGGAGGACGGCGTTAGCGGTTGCGAGTAGACCTTTGAAGCACGGGACAAGAGTAACTGGGCTTCTTGAACTCTGAGAGCTCTGGAGGAACTCCAAGGTTACGCTATTTTCAAGGAATGGTGGCTCACAGTAGGCAAAGTCCCGAGCTTTCAAGCTGGTTGCTCTGAGGTTGGAAATCTCCGTGTGCGTGAGACCGTGTATTTTCTCCTCGCCTCCCTCCGCTTGCGGTAGTTGGATGGACGGGATTTCAGTGCTCATGTCTGCTGGACGGCCGCCGTGTGCTGTGTGTGAATCGAGAAAGCGTCCGCCTCAAGGGCGGTGCTGGTATGTATTAGGGGCGAAGGCGGTTAGAGGCGGAGTGCGGAGAAAGTCTAACCAAATGCGGCAGGTAGCGCTACTCGGCTGGAGTGCAGCGGGTTGAAAAAGAGTAGACTTGTTGACGACTATATCAATAAAGATGGGTTTTTAATATTGACGTGAATTACTTTCGTTAGAGGAAGAATGGGCTTCCGTTAGGACCTTCTTACCCAGTAAGACATCTCCACGGCATCCGGCTACCGGGCAATATCTCAGCACTTCCTTGATTTATGACTGCTCAGGAGGGCGCCATTGCCCAAGTACTATCTATATTTGAATGGTTCGGTGGGAGTGTAGATGACTGTCATGGTACATTACCCCAGCCTATCCCCAAACATGCCAAAAACGCCGATCCGCGAAGGGGTATAAATTACTCTAGTGCTCAAGCACAACCGGCTTCCCCTTCTCCCATGCATGCAAGCTCTCCTTGATATTCATCCAATATCTCAGCCTGACAGCCTCTGCCTTCGCCATCTCCAGATTATCCTTCGCAAACGCCTCCTCAAGTGCCTTTATGCTCTCCTCTATCCTCGCCTCATTCTCCTCCTTCATCCCCACTAGATCCTCCTCCGACTGTGCCTCCTCGATCCGCTCCCTCGTCTCGAGCACTTCCATCAGCAGCTCCGGGTCCTCCACCTTGGCAGTTTCATCGTGCGCGACCTCTATGCCTCGTAGGGAGAGCAGGTATTGTGCGCGCAGGAGCGGTGATTGCAAGGTTTTATATGCTTCGTTTATTCGGGCGGACATTGCATGCGCTCGGTTCTTGTTCTCGGGAGGGTGACTGTCGGGGTGGGCGCGCGCTTGGAGCTGGAGGAATTCTTTCTTGAGTGCTGCGAGGTCGATGGAGAAGGGGCCTTGTGGAGGAGCACCGGAGGGTATGGATTGCGGGAAGAATGCGTAATGAGTTTGCGGCGGGGCTTTCGTGTCTTCCTTCGAGGTTGAGGTTGTGGTTGATTGATTGCGTCGCGGTGGCGGTTGCGGGTATATCCTATGCGTGCAAAGTATACATGTTGCGGTTCTTTGCCGCGGAGAGAAGTGTGCCGGAGAGGTGAAGCTTGCGATGCGCAGCCTTGAGAAGGCTGCAGAAGTGGCACGCCGCATATTAAGAGATTGCGCGAGTAAGAGCGCCGTGAATGGGATGTGGGATGTTGTAAGGTAGGATGGAATGCGTAGTATAAAGGCTCTGGAGTTGGGATTTCACAGAGGCAAAGACCGAGATCTATCTATGGTTACGTCATCAATTCTCCTCTACTGCCACAACACAAATTCCTACTGTATATACATCGACGCATACGCAAGATTAACTATCAACCCATTACCTAACGTACAGTGTGTGCGCCATGTCTACAACCAAATGGCAGAAGTTCAACATGTTGTCTGGGTAGAGAGTTTTCAGGTCCTCCCGATTCGCACTAGTGGCAAAACCTTGTTTCAACCTCACCTTCGCTTTTCTTTGGCACTGCAATTCGAACAAGACAAAAATCTTCAAGATATTCACTGATGGTCAGAAACTATTCCGTGGTAATTCGGATGGGGCAGACACTACTAAAGTCCGAGTAACCATCACATCTCACCGGCCCAGGCTCAGGTCGTATCCACCGACGATAGCAATGTACTGCACCAGGAGCCTCACTCCCTGGTGTCCATTCGGTCATGCAACCTTTCCCCGTTCATCCCATTCCCCCAAGTACAAACACTCTCGTCATCATGAATTCTCGGCACTGTTTCGGTCACGCCATGCGCATCGAATCGCTACTCCACTCTACCTCCATCTACTAAGTATTACTGTAGGGTCTGGCTGTTGACCCCGGGGATTATAGCTCATTAGTCCTACTATTGAGCTACTGACGTCGTTATCTCGTCGAAGGCGTCCGAATAGCTGTATAAATGTGGAGAATATTCACATGCCCCCTCCTCGAGTTTAATGCTTTACCCCGCTGATGTCGTAGTTGAGACGCAAAAGAATTAACGTCTTAAACTAACATATCGGCCTCGATGCAAAGTTTCTGTGAGTGAAATTCCACCCTATCAACATCCCGATGTTCCAATATGTGCGCAACATGACTGGAGATCTAACGTCCTGAAAGTTGACGGCGCATGTCTTATCACCCGGTGGAGAAGTGGTGGTATTTCCCACCGCGTGTTGCAAAGCGGACGACAGCCGGCGCATGTCTTATCACTCGGTGGAGAAGCCGTCGTATTTCCTAACAGTACTCCTTGTTGCGAAGCGCGCGGAAGTGGACGACAGCCGGCGTAACCAGCAAGTGACGTTCGTGTGGTAGAACTTCACAAACCTAGAGGCTTGAGGGATCGAGAAGTTTAACCAGTCTTATATATCTCCACCCAGCTCGAAAACTCCAAGGACGTCATGCAAAAGGCCCAAGGGATAGTTGATTGTTCTGGCTCACCTGTCCTTTTGCATCGAGGGTGCATTCAAGTGCAATGCCCGCTTACTCAGAGAACACCACCCTAGGGTATGCGATGGGCCCCCCCCTCCGTCTACTTATAGTGATATATGTGGGTCCTTCCCCGATGCTAACTCTTTACCCACAACTGATGTTACATTATCTACTGATGCTAACCGCAAGCAGAACACCTTGCAGCGTGATTATGATTTAATGCGGCGGGGAATTGCACAATAACATGTGCTATCGAACAACATGTGCGAGCAAATAACATCATACTTCATTAAAAGATCGGAAGGTCTCGGTGGAGAGCCATAAAAGCCCGGCTATCATCTACCTCCTTCCTCGTCATACTTTCACGATCTCCATACATTCTAATTACGTTTTCAGTCACGGACGATTGAATAGAGTGGTCACTCGTTCTCTCTTCGGCAACGATGCGATCTGAAATTTCCCGAGTAATTGCCCTTGCACTCGTTCTCGGCACCAAGGCAGCACCCCAAGGCTCTTGGGGTGGCGGCGGCGGTTCCGGAGGCGGTGGCCAGGGGAACGATGGGAACTTGAACGCTATCGGCGGTTCTCAGGGAAACAGTGGGAGCTTGAACGCTATCGGCGGTGGCCAGGGGAACGGCGGGAACTTGAACGCTATTGGCGGTGGTCAGGGGAACGGCGGGAACTGGGATGCTATCGGCGATGGTTCGAAAGGTGCTGGCGGTAAAGGGGAAAACTGGAAGGGCATCTCTGCACCTCAGGAACAGGATTGGGGAGGCGGGAAAGGAGAAGGATGGAACTTGGGCGGCTGGGAATCCAAGGGGGAGTATAAGACTTTTCCTGCTCCAGGTTACACCAAGCCTGGCATCCCGTCGGAGAAGTTCCCTTATCCAAAGCCTTTCCTGCCGATTAAGGAGACATATCCTCCGGTGAAGACGGTCGTCCCTACAGAGAAGACCACTCCCCCAGTGAAGACGGTAATTCCTACGAAGAAGACTACTCCCCCAGTGAAGACGGTAATTCCTACGGAGAAGACTACTCCTGTTGAGACAGAGGTTCCCACAGAGGTCCCAACAGAAACCCAGACAGAGATCCAGACAAAGACCCAGACAGAGATCCCGACAGAGACCCAGACAGAGAGGACTACTCCGGTGGAAACAGTAGTCCCTACA